AGAGACATGAGGTCAACCAAGTCACTCCCTCCCCCTCTCCCCACCTCTCTACTGCCCTTCTCAGTCCCCTCCCCCTCACCTTCCCCCTCTCCCCTTCCCCGCTCCTCCTCCCCCTCCCCACCCACCTGGCCTTGCAGTGCAGGTTGGGGCATAGCAGGCACACCCCCGTGTTTTGAGTCGACTCAATACACACGGGTTGGGGCACAGCAGGTACATAACGATAAACCCCTTTCAGCTGTCGAGCGTTGAGACGGTGGCTCAAAGCACAGTGGGCATCCTACCAAACAGCACACAATGGAGCAGCAGCAGCAACGGTCGGGTGGCGGCAGCAGATAGAGACAGGCAGACACCCACCTGGCCTTGCAGTGCGGGTTGGGGCACAGCAGGCACATAACCTCCTTGCGACTGTGCAGCTCTGAGATGACGCCTCAAAGCGCAATCAACCCTCCCCAACAGCACACACTGGAATGGAGCACCCTCGGTGGGATGGGAGCAGGGAGCAATGCATACCTGGCCTTGCAGTGCGGGTTGGGGCACAGCAGGTACATGACCTCCTTGCGACTGTCCAGCTCGTCCTTTATCGCCTTCTTTGCCCGGTGGATGCGGTACCGCACAACGTCATAAATCTGCCAGGTTGAGAGGCAAGCGGCAGGCCAGTGGCGGGCGGAGGAAGAAGGAACACGAGGGAGGTCAATGTGCGAGGCACAGCAGGTACATGACCTCCTTGCGACTGTCTAGCTCGTCCTTTATCGCCTTCTTCGCCCGGCCCGGTGAATGCGATACCTCACCACATCATAGATCTGCCAGGTTGGGAGGCAAGTGGCATGTGGGGGAGGTAAGAACAGGGGGGAGGTCAATCTGCCTGGCAGGTACTGATGCATGCGGTACTGATGCATGCGGTACTGATGCATGCGGTACTGATGCATGCGGTGGAGAATCATGTACGTAAGAACGGTTGTTGCAATACATACCTGGGGGTAGTGCAGGCAGCAGTACGAGTGGGAGTGCTGCTTCGGCTTCCCTTCCCACTTCGACCCCTCGACTTCCACCTCCCCTTCCATCCCTTCCTCCTGAGTCATCTCAATAGTGAATAAGACTGTTGCAGACATACCTGGGGGTAGTGCAGGCAGCAGTAGGAGTAGGAGTGCTGCTTCGGCTTCCCTTCCCATTCTGAATACACATTTGCAGTGATGGCTAGAAGAGAGGCTGTCAGAAAACCCACCTGGGGGTAGTGAAGGCAGCAGTAGGAGTGGGAGTGCTGCTTCGGCTTCTGCCCTGGCTTGCCTTCCCACTTCGACCCCTCGCCTTCCCCCTCCCCTTCCTTCCCCTCCTCCCCCTCCCCCTTCAGTTTCTTGGCTGCTCTCGTGTTCTGCATAGGAAGACGAAGTTGGGGAGTTGGGTAAACAATGAGGGAGAGGAGAAGAGGAAAGATATATCGAAACGGACGCACACAGCAAGGTTTTGAGGCGCCTAAACTTTTAATATGTGTCAAAACGCGTTGAGGGAGAGGAGAAGAGGAAAGATATATCGAAACGGACACACACAGCAAGCTGCTACGCTCCACTCCCTCCTGCCTCTATGTCTTGTCTAATCTACTGCTCTGCATAGCACAGCACTTCACACACCACCACACCACACCACACCACACCACACCACACCACACCGCACCACACCGCACCGTAACACATGCGTACTCCTCCGTTAACGCACTCCACCGCTCTCACCTCCTTCCTGTGCTCACGCACGATCATCAGCTCCTCCTCCAGCATCTTCAGAGTCCGCCTCAGCTGCTTCAAGTGGTTACCACCCACTGCACTAAACCGCACCACCATATCACACATTAACTCCACCACACCCCACCAAACCGCACCGCACCACACCCCACCGCACTCACCTCCTTCCTGTGCTCGCGCACGATCATCAGCTCCTCCTCCAGACTCTTCAGCGTCCGCCTCAGCTGCTTCAACTAATTACCGACACACCACACCACACTACTACACCACACCACACCGCACCAACACATGCAAACTCCCCCGTTAACGCAGTCCACCGCACTCACCTCCTTCCTGTGCTCGCGCACGATCATCAACTCCTCCTCCAGCATCTTCAGTGTTCGCCTCAGCTGCTTCAAGTGGTTACCATTCACTGCACCACACCGCACCACCGTATCACACAGAAACTCCACCACACCCCACCAAACCGCACCGCACCACACCCCACCGCACTCACCTCCTTCCTGTGCTCGCGCACGATCATCAATTCCTCCTCCAGCATCTTCAGTGTTCGCCTCAGCTGCTTCGGGTGCAGATGCAGCTGCCTTGCCAACTCCTCCTCTCGCATCCACTGCCGCCTGATGGTGTAGGGGGAAGAAAAGGGGGGTTAAGGCACAGAGCGACGGAGCAGAGACGTGTTGCCGCATGAGTGACTCAGATGGAGCTGCCGTGCCAGCTCCTCCTCTCGCATCCACTGGCGCCTGGTGGTGTAGGGGGAAGAAAAGGGGGGTTAAGGCACAGAGCGACGGAGCAGAGACGTGTTGCCGCATGAGTGACTCAGATGCAGCTGCCTTGCCAGCTCCTCCTCTCACATCCACTGCCGCCTGGTTGGTGATAAACAAAGAGGCAAGGAAACAGGGGACAAGGAAACATTGCCATATGAGCAACTCAGCTGCTTCGGGTGCAGATGCGGCTGCCTTGCTAGCTCCTCCTCTCGCATCCACTGTCTTCTGAGACGTGTCAAAACTTGCTAGCTCCTCCTCTTGCATCTACTGCCGCCTGCCTGATTCGGAAGGGAGGCCAGAGGTTCTTGAAGGGAGGTCAAGGGGACAGGCCAGGGGTTCTTGAAGCAATGACGATCTACCCACATCATCTCCTAAGCCAGAAAAGAAATGAAGACAAAAGGAAACAAACAACTGCACCTTGTAAGCGCATCGAGGACGACTATAGTGAGTCCCTTGGTCTCCCCTCCGCATATCCGCTCTGCCTTGCGACTGGCGCCCTTGTCCTTCTCCTTTTCTTTCTCCTTCTCCTTCTCCTTATCTTTATCTTTATCTTTGTCTTTCTCATCTGTCACATCGTCGTCGTAAAATGCACGAGCCACTAGCTTCACCAGTCTGCAGGAGAAGAGCGCGGGCAGACACAAACAAACAGAATTGGAAAGATTTCACGAGCCACTACCTTCACCAACCCGCAAGGGTAGAACACGGGCAAAAAATGAAAGTGCAAGGAAGGAGAATTTGGTTGCATCACTATCCACTGGTCCCTTCAGCCTGAACTTGCATCACTTCAAAAAATTTCTGAAAACTCTCAACAGGATGAGGAGTAATTGGTGCAAGAAAGCAGGCACAAATGCTGGTCTATTTGCACAAGCCATTGCGCTGTTGCAGAGAAGCCAACAGCAGCGGTTATGCTTGTGACAATAGCAGAGCACTGCAGAGGGGACACGAGCGCGCACGCACCGACGGAAAGGCTCAACGCTGCTCATGGCGCTTCACACGCGATGGGTTGACGTGACGATTGTCAGAACCTAACGCTGCTCATAGTGCTGCTTACACGACGACCTAAACATGCAAATATAGTTGCGTTGAGAACTCTCAGAAACTAACCGAGCTCATGGCGGGTTCGCACGCGAAGGCCAAATCGGGAATTCTCAGAAATCAACAAAGCTTATGGGGCTGCTGCTGCTGTTCATGGCCAGTAGGCAATCAGTATAGGATTCTAAAAACTCGTTGAGCTCATGACGATGCTCATGGCTGTTACGGGTCGGCTGCTTGCGCATCCTCCACGTCGGAATCGGCCACGTGTGCTATTCCCCTTGAGCTCCCAGCGCCTTGAGCTAGATACGGCGGCTTCAATGCTCTCACAATCAGGTGCGGAGATAGAGCGATTATATCGAGAGGATATTAGTCTACTCGTAGCTTGCAGTCTAGGTTCTCCGAAGTGCCTGGTTTCAGGGAGGTGAGAGGGAGAGCGAGCGCAACCTTGAGAATTGCTTGTACAGTATAACTTTGGCGGCCACTAGCCTTGCCTCTTTGCTCTTCTTCATAAAGAGGTTGGCTTTTGTGTAAAACCTGACTAAAACCTGCTAGCGCGTATGAGCATATTACCGACATTTTAGTGTTCAATTCTGAGATTGATGCGATGGTATATTGAGAATGATCCAAGGTGAAATAATAAAATGGAAATCGTTCTGAAGGATGTGATTCTACGTGTTCAAAACGCTCATAGGTATTACATCGAGTTCAGCAAGGTTACGTATACACACTTATTCGACTTTAGTCGAGCTCAGAGCACAAACGCATTTCACTGCAAACCGCAAAGTTCCGTCTGACACCTCCTTCGGTCTCTTCAGCCACCTTCGTCCCGCGTTTTTCAGAAACTTCTGAATTCTCGCACTTTCAGCATTCTCAAGGTGGATGGTTCATTCGACTTCTCCGGATTGCACCGCAAGAAAGCCTCGGGATTAGGACAAGCATGGGAGATTCCGTCAAATGCCTAACACTGAAAGAAAGAACCCGATAACTCTTGACTAAACGCTAGACGTATTCCGGGGATCCCAAGAGTGATACGTAGTACCCAACGTCCTATCTGCTTGCCATCCTCCGTAAATCTGTCAGATCCTCTTCTATAAGATGGTTTCCAGCTTCACTGCTTTCACCACCACCTTCATCGTGACAGTGTTTCCTAAGACGTGCCTGCGATTCTGATGTTTTTCGTAAGCGCCTACGCCATAACATAAGCTCTCTTAGTAGCTCCTAACACTTTCTCAATTCTTTTTCCCAGATGTCGTGTACTACTCCATCGGTCACTTTCCTACAGATATAGTAGCTCTCGCGTGCTGAGCCTTGTCTTTAAACCCGGCATAGCCTGATTCGGTCGGTCAGTTCAACACTAAGAAAATTCATCTGAGACTAGGACCCCGTACACTCCGGCCTTTTCCTTTAGACTACGGCCCTTTCGTTTAAGTTGGAAATCCGACTCCTTGAAGTATCGTTGTCCCTTGAAATGGACGTAGCAGAGGTGTTACCTCACTCCGGCGCCTGCGGCCTGTCTCCTGACGGCCGGTGCCTCGCCGTCGCGCAGGGGAGGAAGTTGCACCTTCGGGCGGTGCCGTCGCTCGAGGCAAGTACTCTGTTTTCTGTCAACATCCCATGCTTGTCTCTACGTCTGGCTGATAGTGACAATCTGAATCAGCGGTCTCAGATAGTCCTTGAGTTGCCTCAAGATTTTGGCCGGTTCTAATATCTGTAACAACAATTTGAACGAGTATTGAAGGCATCTGAAGAATCTGGCTGGTGCCGATAATCGCAGTTGCACTCATGAATAATCTAATCAGTCAGTGCCACTTCCGTCAAAAGAGATCGGATTGTTTGTTGGTCCTTCCGTTTCCCATCCAACTCACTCTTTCCTTGGCCCCCCCCTCCTCCACTCCGTGCCTGTCAATCTGTGATCTCTGTCCCCTGTATGCGTCCACTCACTAAAACTACAGGACCTCCGGACGTGCACCTGCACAGGGCCGATCTCAGCCGTTGAATGGGCTCCTGACTCCTCGATGGTGTTCGCAGCTTGCTACTCACAAGCTACAGTGCATGTAAGCTTCAGGGGATGTAAGCTACAGGGCGGTGAGCTACAGTGCGCTTAAGCTACATTTTGTGTGCTGCAGTGCATATAAGCTACAGCTAAAGTGCATACAAACAACTAGTCATGTAAACAACAGTGCACGTACGGACCATAAACTACAGTAGGGGCCACGCTGGCCCTTAAAGCCAGGATCTCAAGTAAGAGAAATTGGCTTCAATTGCAAAACACTTGCAGCTCGAGTCACCCTGTTTGTGTAGGCGAAATCGAGTGGTTGGGTTGGAGGTTCAGTGTGCGACAGATCCCCGATTTGCCCGTGAATCTCAATTGCAAAACAAATTGCTGTACATGAGATTTTTCGGCAGGTGAGACAATTGCTGGGAAATGAGCTTCGGAATCCAACCAGATTTCCGTGCCTAGTTGGTTCGAAAGTTCACTGCGATTTTTGTTTGCTTCGCATCCCTCGTTTCAGCTCTCGTCAACTACTCTACCTCGTCAACCAATCACAGCCTAACACAATTCACTAACTGCAAAACAGCCAAACTACTTGAGATCCTGGCTTTAAGTCCTCGCTTATCGCATGTGAAAACTCATATTGATTGTCAAACCCTTTCTTTCAGGTGTGGGCTGTGGCTCTCCCTGATTGGTCCACCACAGTGCGCGAGGACGAGACAGCAGGCTTGCTGCACGCTGCATGGGCTCTGGACTCGAACCACAACCCCCGAATCTCCCACTATCGCATATTAAACCCCCTCATTTCAGGTGTGGGCCGTGGCTCTCCCTGACTGGTCCGCCACAGTGCACGAGGATGAGACAGCAGGCCTGGTGCACGCTGCATGGGCGCCAGACTCGACCCACCTGCTGCTCTCCGCCGACCACAGGCTGCGTGTGACTATATGGAACGTCACTTCCAGGTAACCGGGTTGTTGTGACTGCCAGGTGACTATATGGAATGTCACTAGCATGAGGACGAGACAGCAGGCCTGCTGCATGTCTCATGAGCTCCCAACCCCATCCACCTGCTGCTCTCCTCGGACCACAGGCTGCGTGTGACTATGTGGAATGTGACTTCGAGGTAACCATAGGGGATGTGACTTCCATGTGACTACAGTGAATGGGAATTTCACTTTTACATGCGCGAGGACGAGACAGCAGGCGTGTTGCAGGGCTCAATAAATGCTTGCAACACGCCTGCTGTCTCGTTCTCGTGCACTGTGACCTGCTGTTGAAGGCCTCGATAAATGCGTAACACGCTTGGAGTGTGACACGCCTCGTGGGCCCCGGATTACATGCACCTGCTGGAATGTGACTTCCAGGTGACAATTTCAAACTCTGTCATTTTCAGGTAGTTATATGGGGTGTGACTTCCAGATGAGCGTATGGAATGTCACTTCTAAGTGACTACACGGAAAGCCATTTCCAGGTCTATGTGGAAAGTTAATTCCAGGTGACTTTTACAAAATGTGATTATGTGACTTCTGGGGGGCTATATGGAATAGCAGCCCACATTCCCCAACCCAAGCACCTTGCAGCACAGCCTCGCCGTTCTTCCATTGCCAAGTCCTTTCATTTTCCCTTCTCCCTCACCTGTTAATCCACACAGCCACTCCCCTCCAGTTCACACCCCCCTGCGGCCCTTCCCAAGCACCCTGTCCGCACCCTCGCTTTTTCCCGCAATGACTCCTTCACTCCACTGCCTTATCATCCAATTTGTTTCTTTGGTCTTTCCCTCCCTTCCTCCTTTCTGTCTTCTCCCTTCCTTTCCCCACCCCCGTCCCTTCCCCACCCCACAGCCAGTCTCCCCCACTGCACATCCCCCTGCCCAAGCACCCTGTGCGCGCCCTCTCCTCCTCCCCCAACCACCTACTCCGTTTCATTGCCTAAATCTCCCCTCTACCCGTTTCCCCTTCTCCCTTTCCATCCTCACCCCACAGCCAGTCTCCCCCAGTGCACATCCCCCTGCCCAAGCACCCTATCCGCGCCCTCGCCTTCTCACCCAACCACCTCCTCCCCCAACCACCTCTTCCGTATCATTGCCTAACATCATCCCTCTGCTCCGTTTTCCTTTCTCCCTTTCCTTCCCCACCCCGCCCCTTCCCCACCCCACAGCCAGTCTCCCCCACTGCACATCCCCCTGCCCAAGCATCCTATCCGCTCCCTCGCCTTCTCCCCCAACCACCTCCTCCTAGCAGCCCTCCACTCGCTCCCGTCCAATCAAACCATGCCACCTGCCGCTGCCACCCCTGCTGTTGCTGGGGTTACAGACATGGGTGCCGCTGCTGCTGCTGCTGCTGCTGGTGCTGGCAGTGCCAATGCTAGAAGAACGAGTGAGAGCTCTGCTGTGGGGTTGGGAGGGGTGCAAGGAGTTAGAACAGAGGCAAGAGGAGGAGCACGAAGAGCATCTGCTGTAGCAGGGGGGGGAGGCGGAGGGGGAGGAGGAGGGGGAGGGGGAGCAGCGGGGCAGAATCGTGACGTGGTGAGCCTGTATGCCTGTGACACGTGGCAGGAGGTTGTTTGCTTCCGCACGGACACTGTGGACGCTGCTGACGTGGCATGGGCAGCTGAGGGCAGCGGGGTTATTGTCTGGGATCACCCAATGGAATTCAGGGTACGTGAGCATCTTTTGGACAGAAGAAATCGATTGGGTGCTGTTGATTGGCAGCGAACATGATTTCAACTACAGTTGAGAAAGTTTGCTTCTTGTAGCAATTGGCATCGTTCTCATTACAATGGGAACACACTGCTGCGCCTAACAATGTCAACGATGGCAGCGACTCCGAAGACGAAGCTGGTGAGGCACATGCACACACCAATTTTTTCGCACCCACCTAGCATCTTCCTCCACTCGCATCCACTAACCCCACAATCCCGGCTTCCTCGTTCTACCACGTCAACGTACGCGAGCAAAACGAGTTTTTGGAGGATCTGCGCGACTACCTGAAGCACTCAAAGCACAAGATACGCCACGTCGACACCGCAGGTGCTCTCGAGCACTTTGACGAGGCGTACGCGCTTATCGCCGACCGTTTTCAACTTCTCCAAGTCGCCGACGCTTCCGACTTCAAGACAGCGCACCGTTTCCAAGCTTTACCAAGAGAAGAGCATGCTGACGTCCCGCCCCTTAAAATAGGTAGTCGCGGACGTGGCAGCAATGAAGCGTGCTTAATGACCCTATGATCGCGGCACCCCCCATCGGCACGCTTCATTGCTGCCATGTCCGCGACCGCCTTCTTGAAGGGGCAGGACGTCAGCACGCTCTTCTGCTGGTAGATCTTGAAACGGTGCGCCGTCTTGAAGTCGGAAACGTCGGCGACTTGAAAATTTTGAAAACAGTCGGCGATAAGCGCGTACGCCTTGTCAAAGTGCTCGAGAGCACTTGCGGTGTCGCTGTGGCGTATCTTGTGCTCTGAGTGCTTCACGGATGCACGCACGCCCTCCAAAAACTCGGCTTGCTCGTGTATGCCGGTGTGGTGGAACGAGGAAGCCGGGATAGTGGTGTTGGTGGATGGGAGTGGAGGAAGATGCTCGGTGGATGCGAGAAAATTGGTGTGTGCATGTGCCTCACCAGCTTCGTCTTCGGAGTTGCTGCTGTCGTTGACAGTGTTAGGCGCCGCAGTAGTAATGTGTTCCCTTTTTACATGAGAGGCTTCGAGCGCGGGGGAGTGATACGTCAAATCGTTTTTTGCAGCACCCTTTTCAAGTGAGGTCCGAAAAAATCGGAAGGGATGAAAAGGTGAAATGAACTTGAGCGATTGTGGGTGGAGGAAAAATGACTTCCAACCCACTTTTTATAGTCGGAGAAGTTGATTACCGCCCGTCTACAATGCTAAAAGGTTGCGTTCCAATCCGCTCCGCTTTCACAATACGTATATTTGAAAGCGGTGAATGCCTTACTATTATTAGAGCCCCCTCCCCCTTCCCCTTTCCTCATCACCCCCACCAGCTGCTGCTCTTCTCCCCCTCTGGAGAGCCCCAAGCACGCGTAGAGCTGCCGTGCGATCCAGGGGTGTGGCGTCAGACCCCTTGCGCAATCACCCTCAACACCTCCTCACACCCCCTTTTCTTCCCCCCACCCACCCTACCTTCTCTCCCCCACCAGCTGCTGCTCTTCTCCCCCTCTGGAGAGCCCCAAGCGCGCATAGAGCTGCCCTGGCCAGGGCTGGGGGTCAGGGCTGTTGCCCCCTCCCCTACCTTTTCACCTGGCGCTGCTTCCGTCTCCATTGCCGATTGCAATGCCAACAGCAGCAGCAGCAGAGGCGATGGTTCAGGTGCTGCTTCAGGTGCTTCCTCAGGTGCTCTGGTGGCGGTGGGCTGTTCGGCCGACCGCCTGCTGCGAGTCTTCCGGGCGGCGGATGGGCGGCCTGTAGTTGAGCTGCCACACGTGCCAGCTGTCAAAATTCCACTGGCTGCTGCCGCCGTTGTGTACGAGGTGGGTGGAGGGTGGGGTATGTGTGCATGTGTGTGTGAGAGAGCGATACAATACAAAAGACCGTTCGAGCGAGAGATGTATGCTTTTGCTTGGGGACTTGCATTCTCTTCACTATACAAAATGTGATCAAGTTTAACGTATTCTAACAAGCAGATTTGCACTGTAATGAACCTGAACGTTTGCTGCAACAGTGCACCCCTGCCAATCCGAGGTGACTTTTGAGTCGACTCAAAAGCCCAAAGTCACCGTTTGAGTCGATTCAAGAATCACCAGAACGTTTGCCGCAACAGTGCACGCCTTCCAATCCATCGCTCACTCACCTCTCTCCACTCCGCCTGCCCCTCAGGAATGCCTTGGAGTCTCAGAAGCTGCCACCACCATGGCACCAGGTGCGTTGTGTCCTGATACCATGTGATAAGTGTGTGAGGTTCTTCCTGAATTCATGGAAGTAGTGTCTGATACCATATAATGCTCGTCCTGCATGTGTGATGTTACACTACATATGGTATGCCGGGCATTTCTGTAATAATTGGGTCTTTTGTAAATTCCGGCCTTTTATTTATTTGCAGGGAGACACAGCACGTTGAGTTTTCTTATGGCAGAATGTACCCCGAAGGAAGATATGTTCAAGGACTCTAGTATATGAATATATATGTATTTTTGTGTGTGTAAAATAGATATATATGTATATATAAATATATAATATTCTTTGACCCGCACTTTTGCTTGCAGATGCCGCCGAGGAGGAAGATGTAAAAATCGTTTCTTACCGGGTGCTTGATCTGCCCGTTCAGCTGCCCGTCCAGAAGCCTCCAGTGGACAAGCCCAACCCAAAACAGGGAGTCGGTAAGCATGTGGGTGAGCGTGATTGGGCGTGGCTGGGATTGGCTGAAATGGTCTGAGATCGGTTGGGATTGGCCAAGATTGGATGGGACTGATTGAACCTGGCCGAGGTTTCTCCTCCCCCCTCCACTGCTCTCCTCCTCTTCCCCTACCTCATTCCAGCACCACCACTTCTCCCCCTGCTGTATTGTGCTGTGACAGCGGCAGCAGCAGCGGTCGCACTCTTGCTTCTTGCAAACACCCCACTTCCCCAAACTACTTCCCCAATTTACCCCCCTTCCCCCTTCCCACCTTGTGTTCTTCTCCCCTGCAGGTCTCATACAGTGGAGTGCCAATGGAGAGTATCTCGCCACACGCTGCCATGACATCCCGACCGTCCTTTGGATCTGAACCCCCTCACACCCTCTTCTTCCTTTCAGGCATCATTCAGTGGAGTGCCAACAGAGAGTATCTTGCCTCTCGCTGCGATGGCATCTCAACCCAAACGCCCCACCCATTCCTATCCCCAACACCCCAAACCCCCCACCCCCTTTTCCTCTGCAGGCCTCCTACAGTGGAGTGCCAAGGGAGAGTATCTAGCCACGCGCTGCGATGACATCCCGACCGTCCTTTGGATTTGGGCGGCACGGCGCAAGTTTGAGCTGGCGACGGTGCTGCTGCAGCGGCAGCCAATCAGAGCAGCTGCCTGGCACCCGTCAGTTCCTTGCATTGCATTTTGTTCTGGTACACCACATTTATTTACATGGAAGCCGGTTAAAGTTAGCAACGGTGGAAGCATGGGAACGGTTGAGGGTGGTGGAAACACAGATAGCATTGATGGTGGCGGAACCACGGAAGGGAATGGTGGCGGAGCAGTTTTGGCAGCAGAACAAAGGGCAAGGGTGAGTAGTAGTTCGGCATCTACATTCCGAGTGCGGGACGGCATGGCTGTTTGTGATTTGGAGTGGGACAAAGAAGGCCAGTGCCTTTTGTTGAAGGACAAGCAGAAGTGCTGCATTGCTCTTCCTGCTTTCCATACCTTGGATTAGAAGTGGGGTGAAAAGTTGTGTCTGCTGTAAATACAAATTGTTGGTTAAGTCTAGTCCTCGCTTTAGCGTGCCTTGCTAAAACTTGTAGTATGCTGTATGAAACCGCTGAACTGCAAAAAAACGTCCGCAACCAGGAGGTTGGAAGGGGGGCACAAGCTGTTTGCTTTTCGGGTGTACCCTTCTCGAGAGGCTGATGGAACTCACCTCAGTTTTCGTGGTGCTGTGTAGCTGTAAATTACCCACCGACACTGGCCCGTGAAATTTCTACCAGAAAGCGATCTACGCTGCCGTTTGTGGCAGCAAGATGTGGAAAAACCATGTCATACCAATATTTGTTTAAAAGAGAGCATTACCAGTCATACCCGTGAATGTGTTAGGGCAACATTGGCCTTTTCATGTTCGTTGTGCTTCACTTTGGGGTGATGGGTGTGGCATAGCTTGGAAAGAATTCTGTGGATGGAGCACCCATGATCGATGCAGCACACTGAACAACCATGGATGCCTAGAAAAGCTTGTCGCTGGAAAAAATAATATACCAACGGACGGCAGTCGTGCGTTCAGTGAAAATTTCTTCTGGCAGCTCCGAAGGTGGCCGTTCAGATTACCACGCGGAAGTTCAGTTCACCGAGTTTTATTATATTCCGACCTGAAATTTCATTTTCGACACGGAATCTCTCAAGACGCTGCCTCGAATACCACCTTCCATTTCTCGGCTTTCCCGTGTTGCTCGGTATCAGATTTCTGAAAATATAATCTGGAATCAGAATCTTTCGTCACTTGCGTTGCGCTGTCTCGACGAGGCGTGAAACAGCAGCCATCATGATGGATCCGCTAGATGAGCTCATGAAACTGCAGGTCAGCCCTCTGTCACCCCAGATTTGGTTCTTGAGTTGAAATTCGCTTGCGTTGCTCTGTCTCGACGAAGCGTGAAGTCGAGGCGCGGAGCCGCAGCCATAAATCCGGTAGACGAGCATATGAAGCTGCAGGCTAGCGCTCACCCCGCTTTCCGTCAGCTGCTAGAGGAGCTTCAGTTATCGAGCAACGACGCACGTGGAGTTAAGCCGCTGTAATGATTCCGATCTGCGTCAGCGCTTGTTTCGTCACTTTATATCACCTTGTTTCACCATTTTCGTGTCACGTTACGTTATGTTATGTTTTGTTTTGTTTTGTTTTTTTTTCCACAGGAGGAGTACGACAAACTCGAGTCCGTCTATAACGCGGATGTGTCTAAGGCTCTTAAGGCGTACCAGCGAACATGCGACCCTCTTTTTGAGGTAATCTCCGAACCCATCCATTGGTTATGGCTAATCTACCACATGATTTTTTCTCTCATGGACGTGGAAACCCGTCTCTTGATCCATCCTCTCTTCCATTTGTTAAAATCTGTCTGTGCACATCAGAGGCGAAAGCAAATCGTGTGTGGAGATTCAGAGCCGACAGAGGAGGAGGCAGCCGTTGCAGACCCAGAGGAGGAAGATGAGGAGGAAGAGGAGGAGGAGGGAGGAGGGGAGCAGCAGCAAGGAGGGAAGGTGGCGAAGGCGCCTAAGGGCGTGCCCAAGTTCTGGCTCACAGTCTTGAAGAAACATGTACGTGGGTCCCTGTGCTGACACGAATTCCAGGTGACTTTTGAGGCATAAAGGCGCCGAAAGGCGTGCCCAAGTTCTGGCTCACAGTCTTGAAGAAACATGTGAGTGGGTCCCTCCCTGTGCTGACACGAATTCCAGGTGACCTTTGAGTTGCCTCAAACACATTGGCCCACATTCTTTAGATGTGCCCACGAAGGCCGCGAAGGTCACGAAGGCGCCTAAAGGCGTGCCCAAGTTCTGGCTCACAGCCTTGAAGAAACATGTACGTGGATTCGTGTTTTGAGGTTACATATTGGAATTTATATATTGTTGTGAGCCCTGCTGAAGGCATCTTGTTTGATGTCTTGCTTATTTCTCACCCCCCACTTACCACACCATCCCCACGTGCAGGCCTGCTGCACACTTGTGTGCAGAGCTGCTGAAGGCCTCAAGACTTGTCTTTTCCTCTACCCGCTCACTTTCCCTGTCCCTATCACCTCCCTTCTCTCTCATCACTCCCTTCTCTCCCATCACTCCCTTCTCTCCCATCACTCCCTTCTCTCCCATCACTCCCTTCTCTCCCATCACTCCCTTCCCCTCTTCTCTACCCCACTGCCGCTGTAGCGGGCGGAATTCATTCACAAGCGGGACGAGGAGGCATTGGAGAGCTTAAGGAACGTGCGTGTGCAGATAGTCCCGTGACTTGCCTCTCTCTATTCTCCCCTTCCCTCCCCTGCCCTGCCCTCCCCTTTCTGCCCTCACAGGATGCTGTAGCGGAGTTCATTCACAAGCGGGACGAGGAGGCATTGGAGAGCCCAAGGGAGATGCGTCTGCAGATGATGCCTTGACTCGCCTTACACCTTTCTCTTCCCCTCTCCCTCACAGGATGCTGTAGCGGAGTTCATTCACAAGCGAGACGAGGAAGCATTGGAGAGCCTAAGGGACGTGCGGGTTCGCTTTGTTAAAGCTGCTGGTGACAGTAGCGGTGCCTCTGATAAGGGCACAGGTGGTGCAGTTATGCGGCTGGAGCTACACTTTGGCCCCAACGCGTTCTTCTCTAACAAATCGCTCTATATCGAGACGGTGGAGGTGGCTACAGGAGGAGGCGGAGACGAGGGGGAAATGGGGGAAGATGAGGGGGAAGGGGGCGGAGGGGGAGGGGGAGGGTTGGTGGTGGTGGTGAAAGAGGTGTCTGAGATTCAATGGAAGGGCGTTGAGAAGAATCTGACTCTGCGACAGATTGTGAAGGCCGGGAAGAAGGGAAAGGTGCGTTGGGTGCGTTTTGGTTGCTTTTTGGGTGTAGCTGGTGGATAAACCAGCCTGGCTGATTGGGTAGATAGACTATGCATGCCAAGAGTGAAGAAGGATTCGAACGGCAGGCCGATTCAATAGACTATGCATGCCAAGACGAAGTTATTTGATGCCTCAGAAATAGTCCTCAGGCTAACTGGATGGTCTATTGTGTGATGAGGCAAATCGTGTGAAGGCTGGGAGGAAAGGGGAGACGTGTTGGGCCTGGTCGATTGATCAGTTAGGTTGACTGGATATACTATCTGCTGCTGGTTGGAGAGGGGGGTTGACATGGGCTGATTGGATAGATTATACGATATCGAGGCCCCTGGCGCAATTAAAACCATATCCTGCTCCTCCTCCTTCAAATCCCTTGCCCCCTCGCGTTCTTGTTCTCTTGCCCCTGCACTGGATCGGCTTGGGATAATGCTCAAGTCATGAGCTAATTGACGACACAGTTCGGCTCTTGCTGGCTTACTTGACCCGACTCTGTTTGAAAACAGGCCGAGCCATACGCGGCTCGAGACGACGCTGGCTTGGCTTGTCTCATGTTCATCTCTTCTACAACAAAGTGATATCGCAGCTTAACGATCGAGCACGCCCCGGTTCACGCCGTTGCGACATATTGAGTTGAAATTTGAGGCGCCTCAAAATTCTACAAGACAATGATATCGCAGCTGAAGGACCGAGCACGCCCCGGTTCACGCCGTTGCAACGAATTCAACTGTAACGCCGTTTAAGGGAGTCTGGCTTGGCTTGTCCTGTCTTCACCTCTACTACAGGTTCGACAGGCCTTATTGAGCTTCATTCTCAAGTAGCCTCCGTGATCGATCAGCATTTGAAGGAGAGTTGGACTGCTCTGGCTGCAATGGAAGCTCGAACAGATTTCGAAGAGATTGTTGATATGGCTCAAAGCTGTTGACAGCTTTGAGCCATATCAACAATCTCTTCGGAATCTGTTCGCGCTTCCATTGCAGCCACATCAATCTAACTCTCCTTTCAAAAACGATCGATCACGGAGGCTACTTGAGAATGAAATTCATGAAGGCCTGCCGAACCCGAACATTTGATCGTGTTGGACCCTCTCCCCCCTTTTTCTTGCCCTTTCGTCTCTTTGTTTTTCTATGACAGGGTGGCAAGGGATAAAAAGGAGCAGGTAGGGAAGCCGAGGCTCCCGCCACAGTTGAGACCAAGCCCTGCCCTTCCTTCTTTTACCTTCCTGCTTCTCCCCCCTTGCTCTCCTCCTCTCCCCTTGTTCTCAATCACAGGGTGGCAAGGGGAAGAAAGGAGGAGGTAGGGAAGCCGAGCCTCCTGCGACAGTCAAGACCAAGCCCTGTCCTTCCTTCTTCAACTTCTTCACCATTCCCTCCCTCGTTCCCTCTCTCTCCCAATCCCCTTCGCCTTGTTCTTGCCCTTGGCCCCCTTCCTATCACAGGGAGGTAAGGGGAAGAAAGGAGCAGGTAGGGAAGCCGAACCTCCCTCAACAGTCAAGACCAAGCCCTGCCCTTCCTTCTTCAACTTCTTCACTCTCTCGCGTAACATGCGGGGCAATAAAGCCACAGCCCAGCACAGCAGCAAAGGGGGGAGGAGCAGAGGGGGGGACGGAGATGAGGGGGACGAGGGGGAGGAGGGGGATGAGGAGGCGGAGGAGGAGGGAGACGAGGGATTGGAGGGTATGCCTGTGTTTGGGGGGGAGGATCTGGGGGAGGTGGTTCTGAGGGTGCCTCAGGAGCGGGTGTTATCTGATGGCAAGATGGACGTCTGGCAGGCGCTGTGCAACGAGGTGCGTGCCAGTTTAGTGGGGTGCAATGGTGTGAGGTGCGGTGTAGTACAGTGAATCTTGTGAAGCGGAGTGGGTGGGTAACATGGTTACATGTGGGTGTTTTCTGATGGGAAGATGGACATCTGGCAGTCGCTGTGCAACGAGGTGCGTGCCGGTTTAGTGTGGTGGAATGGTATGTTGTGTGGTACAATGATGTGCGGTGGGGTGTGTGGCTGATGATGAGACGTATATCTTTGCAGCGTGTGTTTTCTGGTGTCAAGGTGGACTGCGCATAGGCATGGTGAAATGCGGTGAATGGCAGTTCAGTGCGGTGCAATGCAATCCTTTGTGTGTGTTACGAGGCATACTATGTCAGTTTGATTTGATTTGATTTGATGGCGGTGCTGGTGATTTGATTTGATTCTCCCACAAGCTGCGGTGTTGCTTTTAATCCAATCGAGCCCCACTTAGTCACAATCAAACTTCACAAAGTTATTTCAGACTTGCACCCTCAGACTCTCCCACGCGCTGCGGTGTTGCTTTTCATCCAATCGAGCCCCACTTAGTCACAATCAAACTCAAAAGTCACAAAGTTATTTCAGACTTGCACCCTCAGACTCTCCCACAAGCTGCGGTGTTGCTTTTCTTGTCCCTTCCCCTCCACCCACGCTCTCTCTCTCAACACTCAGGTGAAACCTGTTAGAAATATATATTGTAGCATGCCAACACTTGTGACTGTACACCAATTGTGCTGTACAGTTAGGTTGGGACTACACCCAACTTTGGGTGTGGTCTTGCATTGTGGGGTGCCAATCCACCCAATTGTGGTGGAGCCCCCAAATGCAACCCCCTTGGCTTAAGGTTGCCTCACTTCCCACAAGTGAGGCCAACCCAACCCAAGTGGGCCTAAGGTTGCCTCACTCCCCAAAGTGAGGCCAACCCACCCTATGGTCAACTTCACCCTTCTCTTCCAAGCTTCTCTTCCATCTATGTATGCTAGTTCTTACTCTAATCAAGTAATTGGTTCCATTTCCAACTTTCACAATACCTAGAGCAGCTTACCTGTTCACGAGCACAGCCTTCGAGGAGGAGGATGGGGGCGGTGGTGGTGATGGGTGGTGATGTTTCCACGAACCCACCCCTCCCCTCCTCACCTCTGCCCCCCACACACACCCGCTCAGGTTGTACCTAGAGCAGCTGATCTGTTCACGAGCACAGCCTTTGGGGAGGAGGACGGGGGCGGTGGTGGTGATGATGATGATGATGATGATGCTGACGTGGCAGATGAGGAGGGGTACGAGCATGTTCAGCGCCCATCATCCGGACCTCATCGGCTGGTTCGGCGCCGGATCAGGTGTGTGTGTGTGTGCGTGCGTGCGTGCGTGCGTGCGTGTGTGCGTGCCTGCGCGCGTGCGTGCGTGTGTGTGCATGCAAGAGTGTGCATTTGAGAGCCTGTGTGCATTTGTATATGTGCTTCCTTTCTCAATTGTTAGGACGGTTTTCCTCTTTACTCCCTTCCTGCACTGTCTACCCTAGTTCCTTACCATGAAGGCACCAGCGGGGATATATAAGGAGTAGCCAGATATATATATATATATATATATATATATTTCCAGTCCCCTCCTCTCCTTCTTTCCGTGCCTCCCTTTCCCCTTCCATTCACTTCAGAGCTTTGAAGCACCTGCAGCGGAAGCAGCAGCAGGCAGAGCGCACGAGGGAAGCAACCATTGCTGGTGCTCGCGCCTCTCTGAGTGAACGCTCTTCAGGCATCTTTGCGCGGCGCAAGGCGGTGGTTATCGGTCCCAAGGCCCTTGACAGGTGTGCGTGTGGTATGGTATGGTTCGAGGTATTTAACCAGGTGCATGGTTTGGTTTGGTAGTGTAGGTCTTGAACCACATTCAGGGTGGTTTAGGGACCAGAGCGCTGCTTGCGCCTCCCTGAGTGATAGCTCTGCTGGCACTACGATATCTTAGTTCGATGCAAGGCACTGGCTGTGGGCCCCTTGGCAGGCCCGAGGCCCTTGAGAGGTGAGCCGTCAGGTGGGGCCATGGCATGTAGTCATAGGATCTGCCTAGGGGAACCTGGCATGCCAACATACATGGTCACCCTCTTGATGTCTACCCTTTTGTGATAAGTCGATGTTTGAGTCGATTCAAAAATCGACTTATCACACATGGTCACCCTCTTGATGTCTACCCTTTTCCTGCAGAGGAGAACCTGCTTTGTCCTCCTGGCTCCGCGCTTCTTGCTCCTTGTCTTGCGCTCTGTCCCCTGCCTTGTTGAGACCATTCGCCGCCACAACCTTTTGCAAACCTCTTTCCACTACTATTTCCCCCCTCGTTTCTACTCCTTCCCTCGCAGCGGGGATCCCTCTCTCGCCCATCTCCCCCGCTTCTGGCTCCTCGTCCTGCGCTCTGTGCCCTGCCTTGTCGAAACCATTCGCCGCCGCGACCACCCTCTCCTCGTACCCTCTTTCCACCAATGTTCCCCCCATCCCTCTCTTCCTCCCCCCCACAGCGGTGATCCCTCTCTCGCCCGCCTCCCCCGCTTCTGGCTCCTCGTCCTGCGCTCCGTTCCCTGCCTCGTTGAGACCATTCGGCGCCGCGACCACCCCCTCCTTGCGCACCTCTCAGACATTCGCTGGAGGCCACTCAAGGGGAGAGAAGGAGAGGAAGGGGAGGAGGGAGAGGAGGGAGGGGAGGAGGGGGATGGGGAGAGGGGCGGAGGTGGAGGGAAGGGCGAGAAAGCCGAGTGTGGGAAGGGAGAGTCGGGTTTTGTGATAGATTTCGAGTTCCTGCCCGGATGCAAGGAATGGATGGCCAATCGCGTGCTTTCAAAGGCGTTCTTTTTCCGTACCCGGGCAGGCAGTGGTGGTGGTGGCGGCGGCGCCGGGGCAGGAGGTTCGGCTGCCGCCGAGGCTGGCGGGTTGGTTCGGGTGGTGTGTAGGACGCCGATTGTGTGGGAGGAAGGGATGGAGTTGACACTTAAAGAGGTGCAGGACAGCAAAGGACGCCTTAGAGTCAAGCCCTGCCCCAGGTACCACCTTCCCCAGGTAGTGATTGGATTTAAAATGCGGCTTTTCTATTCATTTTGCTTTTGATAATGTGACTGCCGCTGCTGAACTGATTGCTGCTGCTGGTTTGAACTTTGACCCCTGCCATGCAAGAAATAAACATCTTCATGCTGGGCTTTCTCAACATTTCCTATACAATCTAATTCTGTTTGCACAACCTTCTCTACAGCTTCTTCCAGCTGTTTGATGACAATCGCTGCCATCTGGCGTTTGCTGGTGACGAGGCAGTCCACCTGTCGGCCTCCGAGTTGCTGGAGAGGGAGGCTGACGTGGCACTGGCCCTGCGTGATGTGGCGATCCCACGTGCTGCTGAGCTGTACAGGCAGGCAAAGGAGTGGGATCATGGGGATGAGGAGGAGGAAGAGGATGACGAGGAGGACGAGGAAGTGGAGTCAGGAGAAGAAGATGATTATAACGGAGACAAGGTAAGTGGATTTGTACACCATTTCACTACAAATGTTATGCTGTATGTTTTCCTTCAAATTCTCTGCTCATCCATGTTCATTCCTGTCTGCATTTCTTTCATAGCTCCTTATTCGTCTCTACGACTCCTGTTCATATGACCTGCCTTTCCTTGCTGCGCCCGTGATTGCAGCCGAAGGGTGCTTTGACAGACGCAGCTATCCGGAAGAAGCTTCTGGAGAGGAAGAAGAGGAAAAAGCGGGGAGGGAAGGATGGAGATGAGGACGATGATGTGCGCATATGTGGCCTGCCAAGGAATGTTGCGTATGGCCTGCTGCTTCTGCTTGCGTTCTCGGCTCCTTTCATAATTTTCCTTGATGAGGTTCTTATGCGCTTGGGGCTGTGAAATAATATGTCAGTGCCATGCCATACCTCTTGTTTTACAACTTGTTTAAAGCGACGGGCAACTTTTGGCAGTGTTGGGTTCAGAAGTTTTTTTTTTGAACCAGGCTTGCCAGCGCGAAAGTGCTGGCTGGCGAAAACCAGGATTTCGTGCGGACACTTTCCATCCGCAGTAACAGTTCGCCAGGGTTCTGGGTTTTGGGTGGCAAATGTGCACCGTCGCTTTAACCAGTCTGACCTAATTTCTGTAATTATACCTCTGCTGTAATCTGTACACGAGTGATACGCATATTTTAGTGTATTGAGGTCAAAGTACAATTGTGCGCTGGGCGGTGCAACTGTGGACGGTTCGAAGTCGAAGAACTAAGCGTGGCAGGTTGTCTGTCTGCCGTATCGCTTCAGCAACTTCTCGCATCCTGACCGTCGTTGCTTCTTCTCCTGTGACCATTATTTTTCTGCTTCATTTCCCTATGCACTGTAGTCTTAAATATTTTATATTCCACACGAGACGAAGTTTCGTCTCTTTAAAAACCATGGAAGCACGGTCTTTTCAACGTAAAACTGTACTGCGACACCAAGAAAACGGATTGCTTGCAGACGCCATGCCTCCCACTAATTCAAATGCTGCTGACTGTCCTGTGACAGTCCAGACAAGGCCGTACGTTTGGCGTCAATTTCGTCGTTTTCGGTTCCCCAGCGGTTCGGACTGCTTTGACTTGGGTTGTGCTCGTTTCCCTTCGTGTTGTCGGGTCGCGGATTCTCTCATCGAATCGGCCACTACCTGAAAGCGGGAACGAGTTGCCCGCGCACGTAATTGGTAGCCGAGCGTCCCGCGCCCCGCGCCGGGGAGTCGAAGATTTGAAATCCATCGCATGACCACCACAAGATCGCAAGTCGTCGTAGGACATCGCGACAGGTGACGTGGAAGCTGTTTGTCGCAGCCATTTCCAGCCGCAACTGTCGTTCAAGCTCCCCCTACTTCAGCCGAGTTGTCGCTCACGTCGACGAACAGCCCCTTTTCGGTGGGGAGCATGTCGCACGGGCTGCGACGGGATGAGGCCTGTGCGACCGCCCGTCCCACATTCTTATCAATTCGCCCCTCCAGCATATCTTCCGCTGCGGCTAAATTTGAACACATTTCTCGGATGCCTTTCCCGAAACGCAACTGCCAAAATCGCTCCTTTTGACCGTACTAAAACCCTATTTTTGTTTCCTGTACCACGTTCCAACTCATTTCAAACCACAATTTTTACAACCACGCCGCACGGCGCAAGGAAACCCATACACCATGCGCAGCCACTCGAACAACGGCGGCAAAGCACCAAAACAATCATCCAGCAAATGCTGCTACCCAAGCCATACACGCAACCCCACTCATCATCCCATCACCCGTCCTTTCTCACTCATGGGTCATGACCACGACCCGCCCCGTCGCCTGTCCGCCAAATTCCGACGTCATGCGACTGGAAGTCAATATCCTGTCCCTCTGTTAGGTTACTTCCTCTGCTTCTCCTAGCCCGTCACGACGGGAAGCAAGGTGGCTGCAGAGAACACACAGGCGATCAACCAACCAGGCGTCCCTCACAAGCCAGCTTTCCTTCTAGCCGGTCCCTCGTCACATGCCATTACGCTTCTGCATGTCTCGTCGTAGAGTTTGATCTGTGAGTCTGAGTTCTAGAACCAAGAGAGGCGCGAATCTTCCGTCAACCTAGGAGATTATTCGTGTAATCGGGATCGCATTCCAGACGCGCGTAGTGTTCTAGAGTAATTAAGCGAACTGCCATTGGGTGCGCGAAAGACGAGGTACATGCCGCGGCGTATGCTATATATAGAGTAAGAATGCAGTGCGCTTCTGAGAATGAACAACGGACTGAATAGCGGGACCGATTCTCCAAATAGATCTTAAGTCTTCATGCTTCGGGGTGACTGAAGTAGCAGCACGACTTGTAGCCTAGGGATAATAGACGTGGGGACGTGTTGGTTGGTGACTATATCGAGGGGCGGATGCCTCTCGGTTCTGCGGAATCTCAAGACGAGGAGCGCAGACACATGCCGCCTTCCGCGCATGCATCCCTTTCCGCGCATGCGCCTTCCGCCGCGCCCTCCGCGCAGGCACCCGCGCTGATGCCCCTCCCGAACGGCGCGCTGTTCGGTTCCGCCGTACCCCTGCAGCAGCAGCAGCAGCTGCTCCAGGCGCGCGACGGGGAGGGCGCGCAAGCGCAACTCCATGCGCCGCAGCAGGGGCTGAAGGCGCCGCAGCAGGCGCCGCAGCAAGCGGGCCAGACCGGGTTTTTCAACGGTCATCAGACAGAATCTCTGGGCAGTAATGTTCACAATCCGATTCATGGATCGGGGTTTGGGGGAATGGGTGGGGCGGCGGGAGGCGCTGCGCCCGCGGAGCAGTCAGGCGTGCGGGCGGCGGAGCAGCAGCAGGGGCAGGCGCAGCCAGCGCAGCTAGCGCAGCAGCAACAGCCACAGTTTCTACAGCCACAGTCGTACCAGCCCACGCAAATCCCGCCGCAGTACCCGCCGCAGTATTCGCAGCAGCAGAGGTTTGCGCAAGGGATGGTGATGCAGCAAGGACAACAGAACCAGTACCAGCAGCAACAGCCGCATCATCAGCCGCCGCATCAGCCGCAGCAGCAGCAACATCAGCCTCTTCCGGTATTTCAACATCATCAGCAATATCAGCAGCAGCAGCAGCAACAGGGGCAACAGCCTTTGCACCCGCCGTCGCTCCGCCCTCTCTCTCTCAATGGTAACGCGAGTATGCCTCACATCCAGCAAGACAACTCGTCGTTGTCGTCGATGTCTCTTCTTCCTCCGCCTGCCGCTCCCTCACTCGCTCCTCCTCAAAGCGTCACAGGCAGCAGCGCACCGGGACCCAGCGCCTCCGCGCAATTTCTTTCCCCGTCCAACGGGAATAAGCAGTCCATGCAGACACACCCGCAGCAGTACCAGCAGCAGCAGCCGGCGCCCCCCCAGCATCCGCAGTACCAACCGCTTCAGCAGCAACAGCAGCAGTATCCTCCCCACCAACCACAGCAGCAGCAGCAGCAGCCGCCGCCGCAGCAACTGCAGCAGCAGCAGCAGCCCATCGTGCCCCCGCTCCTCCACCTTCCCCTTCCCGCGCTCTCCGAAGCCCCCGCGGCCCCGGCTCTCGCCTCCCCGCCCTCGTTGTCCTCCAAGTCCCCCGCGGAGGTTCATCCGCCAATGGAGCCGCTTCCGCCGCTGCTTCCGCCCCCCGCCAACCTCAACTCTTCCGCCACCGCCGCACCGTCGTTCCCGTCAATCGGCCGGCCCCTTCCTTCGCTTGCGCAGAACACCCGCGGGCTCCCTTTTGGCGGAACAGGCGCAACCGGAGCAAGCTCCACGGGGAACGCCACGGGTGCCGCCGCGCCGCCGCCGACCACCACCGCTAACTACACGACTCCCGCGGGCCGGTTACGCGTGGGTTCTCACCTTCCGCTACTCGGCGGACGGTTCCGCTTCCGCGCAACGATCTCGGAAGGCGGGTCTGCGCGCGTGTTCGAGGCGGTGGATACCGCTGGCAGCTCCGCAGCTGGTGCAAGCGGAGGGGGCGCGCTCGGGGGATTACCAACGGCGTCGGATCTTCAACGGTCGTCGAATCAAAACCAGAGTCATCTACAACCGACCGTTGTGATCAAGGCGATGCACCGGCAGTATCGTGAGGTGGGTCGGCAGGAGCTACAGCTGCTACATATCCTCAACTCGCTTCTGCCGGCCGTGGTTGGCGGCGCAGAAAACGGAAGCGCGGAGAACGGGGACAGAGAGCCGGACGGTTGTCCGGTAGTGCGGCTGATTGAACCGGGAGGATTTGATTTTTCTGGGCACATGTGTTTGGTGTTGGAGAAGCTTCACGGATCGCTCCTAGATTACCTCTGTCGCCGGGCCGTTGAAGACGCCTCCGCGAAACCTGCCGCATCAGCCGCCGCGTCTCCCGGCGGTGCTTCCACGTCGTGCAGTTGCGCGGATCCCGTTACGGATGGCGCGCGGAGCGGACCAGTTGCGCGTGCGCCAGCGTTCCCCGACAGAGTGGAGGACGTCCGCGCGGTTGCGCGCCAAGTGCTCACGGCGCTGGCGGCGGTCCATTCAATCGGGTTCATTCACGGGGATATCAAGCCCGAAAATATCCTTCTCGCTGCGCCGATTCCTAGCGGAACAGCTGCGGTTGCTGCAGGAGCGCCGGGTTCGGGGGGCCGGGTTTGTCTGGTGCATTCGCCGCGGCCGGCGCCTCTGAATATAAAACTCGCTGATTTTGGAAATTCGTTCATGCAGCGGCAGGTGAAGGATTTGTGTCGGGATTTTGATGTTCAGACGCTCGCGTACCGGGCACCTGAAGTTTTGCTCGGACTGCCCTTCGATAAGAGTATCGATCTGTGGTCGCTGGGGTGTGTCCTTTCGGAGCTCGCGATTGGCCGGTTGCTTTTCGTCTGCGATTCGCCCGCGCAGCTGCTTCGCCAGATGGTGGAGATGCTCGGGTTACCTCCTCCTGCGAAGCTGTTTCGCAACGGAAAGCTCTTCCCGCAGCTTGCGAGGAGCGCGCGTGTGTACCCGTCGCAGCAGCTGGAGGAGATCGCAGGAGATGCGGATGGCGAGGGTGGGAAGGCAGCGGGCGACGACGACGCAGCGGAGAAGAATCATGCGACAATTCGGTAAGAAATTCAGGGGCAGTGTAGGTGAGAACTTGCTGTTGGGATAGCAAAATTGTTTTTCCAAACACGACCGGCTGGAGGAGGAAGAAATTGGGGCATGGTTGCCCAATCAGAAATCTGGATTGGCGGCGCGGTAAGCGCGACGCGGTTGACGAGAAATTCGAGATTTGGATTGCACATTGTAGTTGGTGCAGGTGGATAACGGTTTCGCTTGGCTAGGTATCTTTCGCGTATATAGTCAAATGTGCGAAAATGTATCTCGAACCTCACAATGGCTGAGAAGTAGCATTCGCCAGTATCGCGAAACGATTTGCGAAAACCTACAATTTTGACATCTCTAATCCCCCCACCGTAAGTGCCCGCAAGTGCCCACAAGCACCTCTTATGTCCTTACTGCCTCAACCTACCTATTTTCCTACCTTACCTCCTATTTGCAGGCGTGGTCGACTTGGCCGGATGCTGTTACAACACGATCCTCTCATGGCGGAGCTCATTTTCTCCTTGATGGAGTACGACCCAGCTAAACGTCCCTCTGCTCAGCAGGTGAGCTTCGTCTCGCGATTTCATTCTCTTTTTCCTGCATGTGCACACCAACGACTTGAACACCTGCACTCAAAACCATACGGAATTTGACCATCCGTTTTCTAATGTATGTTTTTCGTATTCCCCCCTCTCCCTGTCCAGGCGCTACTGCATCCTTTCATCCAGACCTCCCAGAACGCGCAACCCTCTGCCCCTCCGCCCATCCCCTCCTCACCCGCCCCCTCCGCCTCCGTCCCCGCCTCCCCCGCGCTTCCCCCGCTCCCTGCCTTCACCGCACCCCGCACCGCACCTCCAATCAAACCCGAGCCTGTCTTCGAGCGCTCTGCCTCCTACCCTCTCACGTCAGGCTCGGCAGGAGGTTCGGCAGCAACCGGACCTGAGCCAATGGCTCTGGATTCCAGGCCTGTGCCTGTATTCTCCCTTGGAAACGGTCTCCCAGCCACCGGTCCGTTCCAGCAGCAGCAGCAGCAGCAGCCGCAACAGCAGCAGGAGCAGCAAGAGCAGAACCAGGAGCAGAGCCAGCAAAACGGAAACAAAAGAGGGAATCGGACTCCTGGTGCTGCCGCTTCTGGCGCTACTGCTGCTGCTGCTGTGGCGTCTCCGGCGGCGGCGGCGGGTGGTAAACCACCAGCGAACCGAAGGGCTGTGGCTCGGAGCAAATCTGCCTCCACAGCAACTCCTTCGGGCAGAAACGCTGCTAGAGCTGCTACAGCCGCGGCTAAGGCTGCTGCTCTTGCTGCCGCTGCGAGTGCCAAGGCCTCCACTAATAACCCTGCAGCAGCAACGGCTGCTGCGGCTTCTACTGTTGCCGGTGCCGCAGACGCTACAGTCGCTGCTACCACAGCGACTGCCGCTGTCATTCAAGGACCCAGCGACAGTGCTACTCCCTCAAGTCAACCCGGTCAACCTGGTCAAGCCAGTCAAGCCGGTCAACCAGGTCAATCTGGTCAACCCGGTCAACCCAGTCAACCTGGTCAATCTGGCGCTGCTGCTTCGGACTCGAAGAATCCTGGCGACGCGCTTCATCTGAAGCAGCTGTCCCAAAACTCCCTGTTTTCCCGCGCGGCCTCGTTCCTGCAATCCTTTAAGGTGGCGCTTCCATCTCCTGCTGCCGCTGGTCCTTCTCCGGGGAATGGGAATGCGGCGGGTGGGAGTGTGGGGGGTGGAAACGGGGGGAGTGGGAATGTGGTGGCCGGAAGAGAGGCTGTGGGAGGCGGAGGGGTGTTGGGTGGGGTTGGCGCAGGGGGAAGCGCTGGGGCCGGGGCAGGGGGAAGCGCTGGGGCCGGGGCAGGGGGGGCAGGGGGAGCGGTTCAGGGGGCGAGTCAGCAGCAGCAGCAATTGCAACAGCAGCTGTTACAGCAGCAGCAGCATTATCATTATCAGCAGCAGCAGCAGCAGCAGCAGCAGAACCAACAACAGAACCAACAGCAGCACCAACAGCAGCAGCAGCAATTGCAGCAAGCATATGTCTCAACACCATCCTCTGTAACCCCCCTCAACACCACTAGCAGCAGCAACCCCCCTCACCGTATCACCCAACTCCCCTCCCTCACCCCCCTCCCCAACCCCGCCCTTCCCCTCCCCGCTCCGCGCGGCCCCCCCGCCACCCTCCCCCCTGCATCTGCGCCCTCCCCTTCTTACCCCCCCTCCCATCCCCCACAAACCCCCGCTCTCCGCCCCTACCCTTCCACTCCTTACACAAACCCCCAAACCCATCCCAACCACCTCACCACTCCTGCTGCAACCCCCGTTACAAGCACACCCGCGTCTCTCCCTCCTCCCGTCTGCCCTTCCCCGTGCATTCTCCCTGCCGCCGCTGCTTCCTTCCCAAACCCCCAGCAGCAGCAGCCCTCCCGGTCCCTCTCTCTCTCTGCTGTTGCAAGCCCTGCCAACGCAACCACGGGGAAGGAGCAAGGACAGTCTTACAGAGGCTCGAGCAACTATGGAAGCATGATGCAGCAGGCGCCACGAGAAGGCGGGCAGGCGCAGGGCCACGGGGGAAGCCAAGGGGGAGGCCAAGGGGGAACGACTCTTCAAGGAAGGACCCTCACCTCGTCCGCCTCTGCACCTGCGCACGGGTCAATGCTGCTTTCAGCCGCTGCCTCTGCTGCTGCTGCTGCGGCTGCGGCTGCTGACGTTTCTTCTGGTGCCAATATCGGATGTGCTAATAACGGATGTGGAGGTGGAGCAAGCAGTGGTGCTGCTGCTGCCTCTGCTGCTGCTCTCCCCGTTGGCATAGCCACTCCGTCTTATGTCACACCCGCTGCAGCCACACCAGCTGCCGCTCAAACGCCCGCCACTCCGGCTGCTCCCACGCTTCAACACTTCATGGGTCCTCCTGCTGGTCCCTCTGCTGCTTCTTCTCCTGCAGTTGCAGCTGCTGCTGGTGGCGCAGGTGGTGGTTGTGGTAGTGGTGCTTCTTCCCCTGCTACCTACGCTGCACCCAATGCTGGTGCGAGTGGTGGCGCTGGTAACAACATGAGCAGATTTGGCCTTCAGGTGCAAGCGCAGGTGCATTGTGGTAACCAGCAGCAGCAGCAGGCACAAACACAGCAGCCGCAGCCGCAGCAGCAGTCGCAGCAGCAGCAACAACAGCAGCAGCAGCGGCAGTATCACCAGCAACAGGAGCACCAGCATCATCACCAGCACCAACATCAGTGCCCGTTGCATGGTTCCATGCCTCACACTCACACTCACACTCCCTCATACACTCCCTCACACTCGCAATCTCTACCCCATCCTCTCTCCCACACTCCGAGCCAACCTCAAGCACAGCCGCAGCAGCAGCAGCAGCAGCTGCTGCAGCAGGTGGGCGGCGTTTCTCGTCCGCACATGCCGCCCCACCTTACCCACTCCCAGTCCTTCCCTACCTCTCACCCGTCTTCCCATCCTTCCTATCCTTCACCTCACTCTCATTCCCGAGGGCGGCTCTCCCCCCATGTTCAACACACCTCTTCTCCTGCCTCTTCCGTTTCTCAGCACCAAAACTATCAACAGCAGCAGCAGCAGCAGCAGCAGCCGCAACAGCAACAGCAACAGCAACAGCAGCAGCAGCAGCAGCCGCAACAGCAGCAGCAGCAGCAACAACAGCAACAGCAACAGCAACAGCAACAGCAACAGCAACAGCAACAGCAGCAGCAGCAGCAGCAGCAACAGCAGTACCAGCAGCAGCAATACCAGCAGCAGCAACATCAACAGCAGCAGCAGCAACAGCAATACCAGCAGCAGCAGCAATACCACCAGCAGCAGCAACAGCAGCAGCAGCAACAGCAATACCAGCAGCAACAGCAGCAGCAGCAGCAACAGCAACAGCAACAGCAGCAGCAACAGCAACAGCAGCAGCAGCAGCCGCAGCAGCACCATCACCAGCAGTATTACCAGCAGCAGCAGCAGCAGCCGTTGGCCTCTCACCCTTCCTCCTGTCAGGCTCCTGCCAGTCCCGTCAGCAGCGCCTCTACTGCTTTCCGTCCTGCACCCACTCCCGCCCTCCGCCCTGCCCCTGCTCCTGATTACGCCTCGCCTCCTGCCGCTGGTGCTGGTGCTGCCAGTGCTGCTGGTGCTCGTGCTTCTCCTGCTCCGGCAGTCGCTGCTGTCTTGGCTCTCTCTGGTTACCAGCAGCAGCAGCTACAGCAGCAGCAACAGCAGCAGCAGCAGCAGCAGCAGCAGCAGCAGCAGAAGCAGCAGCAGCAGCAGCAGCAGCAGCAGCAGCAGCAGCAGCAGCAGCAGCAGCAGCAGCAGCAGCAGCAGCAGCAGCAGCAGCAGCAGCAGCAGCAGCAGCAGCAGCAGCAGCAGTATGAGCAGCAATACCAGCAATCGCAACAGCAGCAGCAGCAGCAGCAGCAGCAGCAGCAGCAGCAGCAGCAGCAGCAGCAGCACAATCAATACCAGCAGCAGCAGCAGCAGCCGCCCTTCAGCCATTTCCCTCAGTCTGCCGCTCCTGCCACCGAACCTGCCTCCGCCCAAATCTACCAGACTCCATACCAAGCCTCCGCTGCAGGTCAGGTACCTGCCACGCCTTCCCGCTCCGGTTTCACTGCGCCCACTTGTGCCGAACCTGCAGGTTCGATGGGTGCCCCTCCCATACCTGCTGCTACAGGTATGGGCTCGGGAAGAGGAAATTATTGGGGTGATTCTCCTGCCAACACTTACATAAGTGCTGCTCCCAGTGCGTCTGCACTTAGTGGGGGTCCTTCCATCCGCTTGCTCTCCATCCCCACCGCATCTCCTGCCACGTCATCCATGTCTGCCGGGCCTGCCACGTCAGCTGGCCGCGCTGTGTCAGCAGCACCTGCCACGTCAGCGGGCGGCGCTCGGTCCCCACAAAGGGGCGCGGTGTCGTCTGGCTCGGCTGGCATGCTGAGGCTGCCAGGTGGCATGCCACATCAGCAGCAGCAGCAGCAGTATTCGGAGGGGCATTCATGCATGCAGCAGCAGGTGCGGCACCAGCAGCAGCAGGGGCAGCAGCAGCAGCAGCAGCAGCAGGGGCACCAGCAGCAGCAGCAGCAGCAGCAGCAGTTGAGCATGCCTGTTGGCATTGCCAGGCCTTCAGTCTCAGCCAGCCGACCTCTGCAAACTCAGCAGCAGCCGCAGCTGCAGCAGCAGCAACAGTGCCAAATGCACCAACCGCAGCAGCAGCAGCACCAGTTACAGCAGCAGTTTCAGCTGCAAACGCAGCAGCAGCAGCAGCAGCAGCAGTATCAGCAACAGTGGCAGCAGCAGCAGCAGCAACCAGTGCAGCAGCAGCAGCAGCAGCAGCAGCAGGCAGGGCAGTTCACACCAGTGGCTGGAGACTCCAACGCGTACCAAATGCTTCCCGTCTCTTCCTTCACTCTCCCTCCTTCCCAACTATCTGGTCCAGCCCCATCTGGTCCCGAGCGATCACCGGCAGCAGGAGCGGCGGGAGAACAAGTGAGGGAAGAGGGGGCGACGAGCCCTAGCATGCAGCAGCAACAGCAGTTTCAACAGCAGCAACCGCTGCAACAGCATCAGCAGCATCAGCAGCCGGAGGCGCTGTATTCAAGCTACAACCCCACCAGCAGCTACGTTAGCAGCTATAACCGCAGCTCGGGTCTTTCCAATACCAACACTCTCACCCCTCCTGGTCCAGTAGGGAGCCTGGGACTGGGCGTGGGGTCCGGTAGTGCTGGTTACAGGGATAGCCACAATGAGAGTAACAGTGGCGGGAACACTACCGCTTCGGTTCACGACTCTTATGCTGCTGGTGGTGCTGCTGCTGCTTCTGGTGCCGGTGGCGCTGCTGCTGCTGGTGGTATTGTTGGGGCAGGAGATGGGGGTTTCGGGGTTGGAGGAGCAACAGAGGGGATGGAGAGGGGAGCAGGGGAAGACAGGAGCTATTCTTTCCCTAGTGGTGGTGTGGTGGCCCCTGCTGACCCTGCTGATCTGTTTGCTGCTCCGCAGCAGCAACAGCAGCAGCAGCAGCAACTGCAGTGGCAGCAACCGCAGCAGCAGCAGGCAATGTTCCCATTGCCATACAACACCACAGCAGGGGCATGTGAAGGGGAGGCTGCTGCAGGAACAGGAGCGGCAGGAACAGCAGCCGGAGGAGCTGCAGGAGTAAGAGCGGCAGCGTGCACACCCAAGTCCCGGACACTCAACGTTGATCTCACAGATCTCCTTGAGATGGACGGTGGGGATGAACTGGGGGAGCGAACTGAGGCAGCGAGAGCCGTTGATGGGATAGAGGACGAGATCCTAGGTGGACCGTTCAAGAAGCCACGACTTTGGGATGAGAGGGAGGAGATGGTGGGGGGGATAGCAGGTGTTTCAGCTTCTTCCCCTTTCTCTTGCTTCGGTCGCCTGTCCCCGTTGTCACTCACAGAGGAGAGAGCGGAGAGCGGCGGGGAGGGGGGTGATGGGACGGAGATGGTTGGGGAGCCTGGGAACCGGGGGGGAGGAATCATGGGATTTGATATGAAGGGGGCTTCGTGGGACTTTCTGGACGGGTGTTTGGACTTCATTTGAGGGTGAATGCCAAGGGCAGCAGCAGCAGGAGGGTGGGAAAGCTGTGGAGGAGGCGGGAATTGGGCCGGCTAAGGGCGAGGCCTTACCTTGTTTGTATCCTAGCGACAATCTATTCGACACTCAATTGTCTCTACTATGGGGTGCTTTCGTGTGTATGAGTTGGGGGCAGGGGAATAGGTGCTGGGGCCGGGAGGGAACAGAGGGGGTGAAGTGGGGAGTGGGGCGAAAGATTAAGGGGGAGGGGGTAGCCATGTGGAAAAGAGGAGCACTGCGGTGCTCCTGGTCTTGTGCTGCCAGTGAAACCAGCAACGGATTGCACTTCAAGTTATGATCGCGATTCACAACCAAGACGAAGGAGGGGAATCGGAGAGGACGGGGGAGCGTGAGGAGGGGGGTTTCTATCAGCAGCTGCTTCCGAACGTGGAGCGGCTTGAAAGATAGATGAAGATCAAAGTCAATCTCTGCGTGAAGACTTGTGAAGAGGAGTGCTCAACTGTCGGGCATTGACTCGGCAATGTGAATTTCCTGATTTTTTTCCTTTTATTTTCGTTTCTTTTCTTCTTTGGATTGTCAGGGAATAAGCTGCCCTTGATAGTAGGGCCAGTTTTATCTATGCAGCGAGCTGTTGTCGTTAAAAATACTATTGCTATTTGTGTTGTTTCTTATTTGTACTCTATTTCCATCCATATGCTTCTGCTATCCAATGGTTTAAAATGTAAACCATTCTGCAATTCTGGTCCTTTTGTTAAATCTGAGGAAGGAAGGAATGACAGTCAGACATCATTGAATGAGAGGGGTCTCCTCGTGTAACAGGATTGTTTTTTTTTTTTTTTTTTTTTTTTTTTTTTTTTTTTTTTGTACGCAGGTAGTACACAGTAGGACATCTTAACAATGGTCAATATGTATTGCATCAACAATCAGCAACAAGGTACACTACACACCCTTAATAAGCCTGAACGAGTCAACAGCAGCAGCAGTGTCACACCCTTTGCTGATTCTTGATGCGCAACGTAGACTGTCTTCTACTAGGGTATTACTTGGTACTACCATCCTTGGAGATAAGCCAACGCCGCCATCTTGCTAATACCGTATTCGCCATCTTGCATGCGAGGTTGATGACCATGCTACCCCTGGTGAAAAACAAAAAATGGCAGTGTAGCAGCAAATTGATGAAAGCGGTCAATCAAAAGTAATGAATGTGTAGAAAACATAGACTGAAGTAAACAAGAGGGATGGCTCGCAAGGCACACGGTTCGAGGGTTTACCGATTGGTGTGGGAGGTGAAAGCCTGGGTGCTGGAGTAGGCCCAGATCATGTTGTTGTTACCCGTGTAACTGACAGGACCCACACCGCCCTTGCCCATACGAGTGAACCTGAAATGAGATGAAACGCCCGGGATCAAGTACGGAAAATGTGACGCCAGAAACCAAAAGTGGAAACGACCTCGGAGGTGCATGAGCGGGCGGCATGATGGCGTACGATTTGTGGAGCAAGGCTTTTGCAAAGCGGACGACAAAACCTTAGTAAAACTAAACATTTTTCAAGTTGACTCTAAATTAGAGTTGAACTCACTTGACAATCTTGCCGCCGTCAGCAGTGGTAACCACGGATTTCGCCGAGAGCTTCACTGCAGTTGATTTCTTGACCTTGTTCGCAGTCTTGCCACTCATCGTGTAGGCCAGCACGTTGTTCGGCGCGGCGGATGCCAGATTCCCCACCACTGCGTCAGCGGGAGACATGAAGCCAGCTTTCGCTGTCCAGCCAATGGACATCCAGCCGGTCTCGGCGCCGCTGCCGGACTTCGCCTCGAGTGCGGCGATGATCCCGTCGTTCTTTTTAGTGATGTTCCAGTGCAGGAGAAACAGTCTGGCGGGAGGGAGCATGGGGAACGCCGGCAAAGTATAAGACGAATTTGGTGTCGCTGCAGCGATGATCCCGTCGTTATTTTTAGTGATGTTTCAGTGCAGGAGAAACAGTCTGAGGGTAACGTGGTGGAAGGGCGACGCGAGAATGCGAGTCCGCCATGTGAGAAAGCGGGGAGAAAGTATGCTTCACCAAGAAACAGTCACGTACCCGTCAGCTGTGAGCTGGACAGATTTTGTGTATGGCGCCAGAGTCGACTTGGTGCAGGCGACTGGGGCGGGCTTAACGGCCGCGGTGCCAGCGTAGTGTCGCGCGAATGCGCTGCTAGCCATGGCGAGGATCAGAACCGCGAGCGACGTTGCGAGGAAGGAAAATCGGGCCATGATGGACGCGAGACGAGATGGATGCGAGAGGCGAGTATGTTGAAGGCGGGGGTGTGTGAGCTGGTGAGAACGTTGTGTTGGATGAGAAATGCTGGAAAATATGGCGGCCTAAAAATTGGATTGAGAATCCCGATGTTAGTGCTGGTGGTTGGGACTGGGGATGGAGGGAATGGGTAGTGCATGATCGATTCCCGAAACACGATTTCACCGAAATCGCGATTCGTCGTTACCAGGACATTTCACCGAACCAGAGTTTCTCAAGCGAGAACCATTATCCGCACCTCCAAACCGATCAGTGTGTTTTCCGACCACCAAACAGAATGCGCAACGCAACTGCACGCGCTTGGCTTCGACGCTGAGGTGAGGTTGATGCGGCCCGGCGGGGCTTGCGGAACTCCAATGACACGTCCACTTAGCGCGTGAGCGGAATGTGCGCAAATCTTCGAGGTCACCGACTGGCTGCTCATGTACAAGGGCATTTATCTTAGCGGTAACACTCATGGAGCTCGATCGCACGCGAGGTAAGCCACGCTTCCAAATCGTAACAGAGATGTCTTCTCGTCGCCACCATGGTAACCAGCATTGCCGAGATGGTCAACATTATTGCCTGAATGGTAATGAACAGTGCATCCGGAAATCCTGGCTGGTAACTTAGCGTTCCAACCAGACTGTACACCGTACAAGTCAGGTTTGACTCAGCAAAACGAAACTGAAGTCCACGTATACACCCACAGAATGCGCAATTCTGTTTAGTATACAAGCGCGTACAAATGCAAAACGTTACATGCACGTATTCGATATAATTTCCTATCACTATTACAGCAAGCAAGTTAAGAAAATTCTGGAGAAACAAATGTAGCGTGACTATGTAAAAAGTGGGATCAAATTATGTGTTAATACAGTCCATATCATGCCTTGAATGCGTTATTTATTATATCAATAGAACATTTTCATTCTTATGCAATATTTATTGTCTGTCATATGCAAAATTTGTATTGTTCAAATGGATATTAAAATTATTTTAACCTGGTCTAGCTCCATTTCATAATACTCGGAAATATTATTATGAAATTGTTAAAAAAAAAATCAAATAATTTATCACGAGGATAGATTTGCGGTTGACATTGTGTGAGTGTTTTTTTTTTGGAGGGTTTGTTTGATAGTTAGGGCGGGTCATATTTTTTTGTTCCAGGTTCGTTTTAAATGGTTCATCCTGGTGCGCAATGGTCTAAAGCTGTGAAAGTCAATAACCGTACCCAGACGTAGTTGACCGTTTGCAACCACGTCAAACGATCCCAGAACAAAAAAGTATGACCCGCCCTTAGGGCTATATGATTGTGTTTTTGTTTTTGCTACGGATTACAAGTTAGCATTTCGAGGTTTTACGGTCTGGGATTGTAAACGTCGGTATTATAGACAGAATTGCGCATTCTGTGGGTGTATACGTGGACAGTCAGTTTCGTTTTGCTGAGTCAAACCTGACTTGTACGGTGTACAGTTTGGTTGGAACGCGAAGTTACCAGCCAGGATTTCCGGATGCACTGTTCATTACCATTCAGGCAATAATGTTGACCATCTCGGCAATGCTGGTTACCATGGTGGCGATGAGAAGACATCTCTGTTACGATTTGGAAACGTGGCTTACCTCACGTGCGATCGAGCTCCATGAGTGTTACCGCTAAGATAAATGCCCCATGTACAATTTGGTCGCGTTCCACGGGTTTCAACTTGGGGTGCAAACCATTTGACGTGGCACTCATTTTTCTCGACATGGCTACCGCACGAATTGCACACACCAATTTCTGGTCGGTGGTTGAAATGGGATCGTGGTGGGATGAGAGAAGGATCCTTCACACCACATGCCGCCATCACCAGCAACAACCACCACCGACAAGCCGCTTGTAGGTGTTTCGTTAACTCACACTGATTGTAGTGATTAAAATAATACCCTACGGCCTTATATCCGTGTTATTATGGTATGCCCCTCTATAGAACGTCATGGCTGGCAGCAAAGCTAAATTGTCCTTTTCTTCAATCATATTCTTGTTTTCTGAGCCACAACCAAAAAGCTGGTTGAAGCGTGCAAGCAAGCACTTCGCCTTTCACTGTACCGTACCTTCACTATAACCTTTCTCATTATAAGTCAGGGCAAGGAACCAGGGCCTCAGATTCGTTTTAGGCTAGGCTGAAAAATCAGAACTGGTACAAAACGTTTTGCTGAAAATCAGACAAATCAGCCATTTTATGCCGTTTTACACTACAAATCTAGTAGAATTTCCTGTTTCTTTACACCAAATTGCTGAAAAATCAGCATCAGTTATAAAAAAAGGGCTGAAATCTCAGCCTTTTTATAACCTAAATCAGCCTCTTTTTGCTGACTTCTGAGGCCCAACCACTTAAATGCCTTGCCATTCCTCGCACATACCCTTGGTTTCAAACACCTAGCCTCTCACATTACCCTAACTTCGGCCCTCTCATTCATCATCAGGGATAGAAGGAACTAAGCTGATAATCCAGATGCATCTCCTTCCACCTCACCACCACTCTTGGGATAAATAGGCAGCCTCTCAAAAGCAAACAAGCTGCTCCTCACAGGTATCGCATCCGCTGCTCATCCACCAACCCCCCAGCTTGTTTTCCCCAGAAATTCCTCCCACCTTCGGCCTCCTAACCCTGAGACAGCTAGAATTGACACGCAAATCTCGCTACACCTCAACTCCTGCCTGCCCCCTCACTCAGCGCCAGGACTTGGGGAACCAAGCTGAACCATCCAGAAGCCTTTTTCTGCGCCTCAAACATACTCTTGGTAGCAAACGGCAGCCTCTCAAAAGCAAGCACACTGCTCCTCTTAGGAATCACATCTGCAGCACCGACAACTTCCCTTCTCGCCTTCCCCAGCTATTCCAACCCCCTTCCCCCACTTGGCCTGCTGAACCCGATACCGCTAGACTCGATAGGCAGCTCTCACTACCTCATTCAACGTCAGGGCTGGGAACAAGGCTGAACCATCCAGCCGCCTTTTTCTGTGCCTCACCCGTACTCTTGGGAGCAAAGGGCAGCCTCTCAAAAGCAAGCACGCTGCTCCTCTCAGGAATAGCGTCCGCACCACCAACCCCCCTTCTCGCTCTCCCCAACAATTTCCCCTCCCCTTGACCTGATAAGCCTGATTCAGCTAAGCTTGATAAGCAGCTTTCACTGGAAGACCGATGCATAAGGGATGATTGTTTCTTTCTAGGAGACTGAATCACTCGATCTAAGGGCCTCTGGGACTTGAGCGGGAGAGCAGGCGATGGGGATTCTTGACCGGGTGTAAAAGACAGCCCAGAAAAGGATAAATCAGGGTATGAATCCACCCGACGGTGGAAACTCCCCACGATTTTGTCTGGCTGGATGGGACTGTGAAAGCGCTGTGGTATAGAGTGGTCTGAAGGAGTTGGTATGAGGTGTTTAGAGGTGGGCTGGTTGTGGCTGGGTTGGGTGTAGCTGGGTGAAATGCGGTTCAGATTGTAACTGGGTGGGTTGTAGCTGAAAAGGTTGTTACCGACTTGGCTGTAGCCTCCATCATTCCAGGGCTGGAAGTCGGGAAAAGATTCCACTTTCCTAAACCCTGGAAATCCAGAGGTTCGGAGCGGTGAAGGGGAGTGCAGAGCAGCAGTGTGCTCCAGCGACAGCAGGTTCGGCACCGAACCTATTTTCCGCATGATGCTTGCTGTTGTATCATGGTGGTGGTGCGGTGAAGAGAAAAGCGGCCCCAGCGTACCTGCTTTCATCCCTGGTTTCATCCCTTGCAGAAATTCCATACTGCTGGAGCGGTCCAGTGTGCAGTTGCTGAGAAGCTTTCTGGAAATAAACGAAGCTTTGAGGGACACAGCTGCGTCGCCGTGGGAGATAGAGTCTAAGCCGAGCTTCCCAGAACCGACAGCTGACTTGAGTGCGTCAGCTGGATACGATACATCCTCATCAGCTGGATAAGCCGGGTAAGCATCAGCATCTCCAAGCTTGGCTGCACCAGCCCTTGAAGTATGAGACACCGCAATGCCAGCACCAGTTGCGGCTCTGCCAGTCTTTCCAGCAAGCAGGGAGGCTTTGAATGAGAGCATGGGGTCGTGAGAGACTGGGTCGGCGGCCGTAGCAGCGGTACGCGCAGTGGTGGTCGAGGGCTTGTATTGAACCCCTGGTGTCGTGTGGCTGGAGTGGCGTGGCATAGTCTCTGCTACTGCTGCTGCTGCTGCCGCTGCTGCTGCTGCTCCATCAGCTGCCACTGGATTGGCTCTGCTACCAGCAGTGCTATCACTCAGCTGCTGACACAGCAGAGCCACCTCAAGAATGCCATAAGGGGAAGGGGAAGCAGGGGCAGCGTTGACAGCTGTGGCATCAGCTTCAAGGTGGCTTGCATGGCCTGTCGTCAAGCTTGCGTCATAATAAGGGCTAGACGGGCTCGGAATGTAAGAGGAGTTCGATAGGTTTGTGACTGTGCCTGCCTTTTCTCCACCCGCTGTAGCTGCTACCCCGGCTGTTGCCGCAGCACCAGCTGCAGCCGCCACCGCCGCCGCCGCCGCTGCTGCTGTTGCCACTGTTTTCGTTGCAACACCACCCCCAGAGGCAGCAACGCCCAAGTTCGGACGGAACTGGGAGTTCTCCCAAGCCTGCCAGCTGGCTGTAGCAGCAGTGACGGCAGCTGCTACAGCCTGGCAGCGGATACGCTGCAGCTGAGAGTGCCAGTCGGAGTGGGAGGAGGCGAGGGCGCGGCGAGAGGCTTCTGCTGATGCGGTGGCTGCTGCGAGTGAGATGGATTGGGAGCAGAGGGATTGCTGGGAGGGGAGAGAAGGTGGGATTGGGGAGGGTTGGGGAAGGGATTTTCTTTTTGAAGTCTAGTGAATATGCTGATGCGGTGGCTGCTGCAAGAAAGAGATGGATCGGGATCAGAGGAATTGATGGGCAGGGGGAAGGTGGGATTGGGGAGGGGGAGGGGGGGGTTGAGGAGAAGGCAGGAGCGGGAAGGAGGGAGGGAGGGATGAAATGAGGAGGAAGGAGGGAGGAGGGAGGCAGTGAGGGAGGGAGAGAGAGAGATAGAGAGCAAGGTAGGATGAGAGGGTGAAAAAGAGTAAGGAAAGAGAGAAGAATGGGGAGAGGAAGAGAGGAATTAGATGAAAGGGGACGAGAAGGCAGTGGGAGGGGGACACAAATACAAAGCACAAGAAGCAAGAGAAAAAGGAAGGATGAAAGAAAGAACGAACGAAAGAAAGAAGGAAAAACAAGCAATCAAACAAACCAGAAGACAAGCTGACAAGGAGATATGGAAGATCCATAATGCCCAAGAACAAAAGCAGGCGATGGTTGAAAAACGCATGATTCAAATCAGGTTTCGAGAATAACAATGAAAGCACAGCATCTCCTTCTAACCATCTCCATCTACCCAAACACCTCCACACCACATGCGCCTATCTGACAATACGACCAGATCGGCCTGGATCCATCCTTTTGAGTGAAAAGGCATGGCAAGACAGCATGCGGGACGCTAAAAACTGCGAGAATATGTTGTCTTGTCGAGCAAGCGATTGCTCTGCAAGGTAACACTTGCGGGAGTCTCTTGCTGCAGTCCTCACTCTCAGCACGAAGGCTGCAGAAAGGACACAGCGCACGACACAAAAAAAGGGAAAAATGCAGGAAGGACAAAAAAAAAGGGGGACTCAGAACCGGGAATACAGTCCCAAAAAGTTTTGTGTTTTCGCAGTTTCGATATTCGCCAAACTTATTTCTACCCTAACCGATCAGTACCGCACACACTAACCAGACTGCACAACCCAAGGTCTCAAACTTTAAGAGCGGGAGAGAGGAGGGAGGACTGAGAAAGAGGGGGCGGGCAGGAAAAATTCCATCTTCTCACCTGCAGAACCTGGATCTGCGATTTGTCCCGAGCGCTTATTATCTCAGCGGCTTTACGTCCACTAATCAGCTGCTGTACCAGCTGTGCTGCTCTCGCCCTCTCTGCTGCTGCAGCCGCCCTGGCAGCATCTGCTGCAGCCCTGGCGGATCTCAGCTCTGCTTCAAGCTCCGCCACTCGCCTTGCCAACTCACTGCTGTTTCCCACACCGTGCTGCTGGCTCTGCTTGCAGGGGCATCCATTGGAACCGCTCTGCACCGCACTGGGAGTAGGCGAGCCAGTGGACGAAGCAGGGTTGCTGCCAGGGCCAGGAGTTGGAGTTGGGGCCGAATGGACGGTGGGAGATGGAGTTGCAGCCAAAGGGACGGTAGGAGATGGAGCTGAAGCAGCCTGCCCCCCCACAAGGGCGCGGATCCAAGGCGACGCTCCTGCATGCGCTGCTGCTGGTGCAGGTGCTGCTGCTGCTGCTGCTGCTGCTGCTGCTGGAGGCGAAGCCTTCTGCTGTGCCTGCTGCGGTTGTCGCTGCTGCTGCGGCTGGGCGGCAGCAGATACTGGAGCTTTGACTGCCTTGGTCAGGGCGGTTTTGCTCTTTGACTGCTGCTGCTGCTGCTGCTGTGTGAGGCTCGGTGAAGCAGCAGGAGGGCTCTTCTTCTGTGCGGCCCTTGCAGCATAAGAGGCATTCGCAGGGCCTTCACTCTTCTTAAGCAGTGCTGCTGCGTCCGAACCCTCGCCTGCAGCCTTCCTGCTGTAGCTCCCCCCAGACAGCCACCCGCTCACTTCACTCACTCTGTTTGGCGCCTTCTCACCGCTCCCCACCGGAATAAACCCATCATTACCATCCGCAACCCCAGCACCAGACCCAACCCCGCCACTAACCCTGCCACCACTCCCACCAGAGCCCTTCTTGCTAGCAGCCGCCATGATCTCAAAAATATCTTGAGTGTCATACTCACTCTCCCCATCCTCCCCCTCCCCTTCCCCCTCCTCGTCTTCTGCAGTGCTCATACCAGAGCTATCAGTGGTCTGACCAAAGTCCATAACCGAACTCACAGGGGACATACTAGGTCGGCTAGATGACTCTGGGGTCTTCACCACCAGATTCTGCACATCGCCCACCAAACCTGCAGATCCCACCGAACCTGCTGCCGAACCTGCCACCGAGCCTGCCGCCGAGCCTGGCCCTTCTGCCAGCCCCTGCAGTTTGCTGGTCAGGGAGGCTATCCCCTTGGGGGTCCTGCTCCTGCCTTTCCCGGCCTTCTTCTTGTCCTTGCCGCTCTTGGCGCCTGCTGCTGCGGCTGCGTTTGTCTTGGATGCGGCGGCATCAGAAGCATCATCAGCGAAAAGCTCGAGGAGCTCCAGTTGCCGCCTCGCCACCTCCTCTTCCAATGCCGTCCACTTCTCCTCCTGCAATCACGCACCACGCACAGACACATAGACAGGCAGATTTATTGGTTTGGGTTAACTGGGCATTCTTGAGGCCTTGCGAAACGAGCTCCAGTCGCCGCCTCGCCACCTTCCCTTCCGAAGCCATCCACTTTTCCTCCTGCACCCATGCCTCGTGCAGCAGATTCAGTCCAAAGGGATTCATGAGAGAAAGAATTGTTTGAGAGGGCGAACACGCTGCAGGATTAGCAACAATGCAGGACCAACAACAATGTAGGACCACCAAGAGTTCCAGCGGAGGCAAAAAGATTCGCGACTGACACTGCATTGCTGAGACTCACCAGGATGGCAGCAGAGGCGGAGCCTTTGGGTGCCTCCATGAGAGCAGTGCGGCCCTTCTTGCACCTCTTGGTCATGCTCGCGCCCCTGGCACACAGCAGCTCACTGCAACAGACAAGCGGAAGAGGCGAGAGGCGGGGAGAGAGACCATAAGTTGGCGCCATGAATAAACGTTAAAGCACCTATTGGTCTTGCTCGCACCCCTGGCGTGCAGCGCAGCAGTTGACTTGCACCGCTTTGTAAAAAGGTGTGAGCTGCTGCAGTCTGCTGTGTGTCGTGGTGAGAGCCGTGGTGCAGTGCAGGCAGACCCTCACTATTAACAGCACTCACGTCCGCGCCTCCCCCCGGCAGTGACACGTCTAAAAAGTGAATACAAAAGCATCTGTTCATCGAGGAGTGGGACTCACACGCAGTCAGCAGCATCGAGGCGAGCGCCATGGTGCAATGCAGACAGACCCTCGCCGTCCACAGCACTAACATCCGCGTCTCCCGCCAGCAGCGCCTCTGTTGCCGGCAGTGAGTTGCGCCCCACTGCATGCATCAGTGCTGTCTTTCCCTCTGACGTGCGTGCATTCACGTCTGCTCCGGCCTGCTTGAGGAATAGGGAAAGTGAGGGAAGGGGAGAAGAAGCATTCACGCACCCTCCAGCTGAGACACTGAGTTGCGCCCTACTGCGTGCATCAGCGCTGTCTTGCCCTGGATACTGGCATCTTCCTGCGCATGCTGTCTTGATTGATACGTCCCACTTGCCGCACAGCTTGTGTCTGCCCTTGGAATGCTCACCTGAACGAGCAGGTGGATGCATGCAGCAAGCATGCTGGCCCTCAGCAGCGGCAATGAGGGGCGTGACGCATGGATGCAGAGCCCAGTGTGCTTTCTTATCACTCATACATCCTGTCTCGACACATCCTGTTTCCTTTCAACGGCCTTGGAATGCTCACCTGAACGAGCAGGTGGATGCAGGGTGCATGCCGGCCCTCAGCAGCAGCAATGAGGGGAGTGACGCCTCCATGCGACCTCGCATCGACACCAGCTCCATGGCGCACGAGCGCTGAGAGAGCCTCCTCATGCCCGTTGTACGCCTGTGAAACCGGCGAGAGAGAGAGAGAAACGTATGACATGTTAGAGGAGGTAGGCCCCGAGGCAGAATCTGCTTCATAGGTCAGTCAATCAAGGCGATGACAAGCGCCAGAGTTGGCTTGGAAGTTTTGCGAAGTACAGTAGACTTACAGCTGCAATAAGAGGCGTCACTCCCACTTTGTCCCGGGCGTCGGGCTGGGCTCCTGCTTCAAGCAGGAGTTGCACGCAGCTGCATGAGACACACACGCAGAGGGGCACCACAGGGGAGCATTGAGTGTTCACTGAGGGAGCGTTGGGGGAGGTTGGAAGAGCAGTTGCGGAGAATTGGAGGAGCAATGGGGAGAATTGGGGAGCCATGGGTGAGGGGAGCAACGGGGAAGCATCGAGGAAGAACTGGGGGAGGATTGGGGGTGCATTGAATGAGTTAACGAAGTCGTGTCAATGCTGGTGCTTTCTGCTCTTTTCCATAACTTGGTCCGTGTGTGTGTGTGTGTGTGTGTGTGTGTGTGTGTGTGTGTGTGTGTGTGTGTGTGTGTGTGTGTGTGTGTGTGTGTGTGTCTGTCTGTCTGTCTGTCTGTCTGTCTGTCTGTCTGTCTGTGCGCTTTTCTTTCCTGAGTTGCTAAAACGGCAAGCAGGTTCAAAACATTTCCCCCACTCGCACTTACTTGGCGAAGCCACTGTCAGCCGCGGCCAGCAGGGGCGTTGCACCCTCCCCGTCCACAGCATCAACGGACGCTCCAGAAATGAGCAGCGTCTCGGCGATGCCTACGTGGCCGTTTCGGCAGGCCGCTGTAAGATGAAGAAGAGAAAGGGGGGTGAGCGGTTGAGGGATGAAAGAAGCGAGCGAGTCGTTGAGTCATGTGAGAGAAGAGTTAGAGGCTGAGGGAGTAATGCATCAAGACCAAAGCACCAAAGCACCAAAGCACCAAGCACAAAGCGACAAAGGAGGGACCGGGTAGTCCAAACCTGAAAGAAGATTTTGTCGAGCAAAAAGCCATGATAATGGGCCTGAAGATATAACAACAAAGGCCACCCCATTGCACCTGAGAAGGCGTTTGCGAGAGAAGCAGCACGTCCAGCGATCCATGTAACATCCGACCTCGCTTCCAATTTCGCCAGCGCCTTCGCCACGCCGTCAGCCTCCCCCGCCTGCGCCGCAACCAGCAGCTCGTCCAACGGAGTCCCAACAGCCGGCCGCTTCGTCCCATCATCTGTAGCAGAACCACCGCTGCTTTCCAGAGAGTTGCCACCAATCGCATTGTGCTGTCTCTCTTTCGCCGCCTGGTGCTCTTTCCACTCAGCGCTGCCCAGGAGAGTGATTGTTGACTCCATATCGCCGCGAGGGACGGAGGAGCCGTCGTGACGCATGCCAGTGTCTCGGATTTCCACGGCGAGTTCCCGCGGGGTGCGTCCGATCTTGTCTTTGACGAACGGGTTAGCTCCTGTGCGACATCATGGGTGTGTGTGCAAGTTCAACAAAATTTGTTCCTCGTGTTTCCGTCACTGGGTGTGAAGGTTTGACAAGCACGTGTGGGTTCTGGCAGGAAAAGCGTGGGTTCGACAGAAAACGCAACCGATTGAGGGTTGAAAGGAGGGATCGACTGGAGGAAAGACTCACCTGCTTTGAGAAGGAGCTCGACTGATTGACTGCGACCGTAGCCGGCTGCCATGTGGAGAGGAGTGAACCCCTCGTTGTCCCGTACGTTGACCTCAGCGCCTGTACCAGCGAAACAAGTCAGCCGTTTCAGGACCTGTGATTGACAAGCCCTTTATTTACAATTACCGAGTGTACTGCGCTGAGAAAGCGGGTGATTTTTTACCTGATTCTAGCAGCACAATGGCACATTCTGTAGATGCCATTCCGCAGGAGAAATGGAGCGCCGTTCGGCCTTTGTCATCGGTCCCGTTGATGCTTGGTTGAACCAGAGGTGCAGTCTTGAGTGGTCTGGACTCCAGTGCAGAGACTGCCAGAATCAATAAACGCAGAGACTGGCGGTATATTATTCTAGGTTTTGTTGCTGCTTTGGATTCTAGCTGACAATGCAGACTGGTTGGTGTTCAAATTTAGCAGAGTAACGCACCATTTCCGAGGCCAAGTGCTGGTGACATGGCGCCTGAAGCTCTACCTCCCGACGGATTCTTGCTGCTCGGCTTCTTGATCTCTAGGATCGTTCGTCTCAGCTTGCGAATCTGCATCTTCTTCGCTGCTTCTATGAGGTTCGCTACGAGATCAGAACCATCCGTCTCTGGCTGTTGGGCCTTCTGTCGGACGACAACGGGCTTGAGAAGAGCACGGCCGTCCTTCGCGGTCTTCGCAGCCATGAAATCTGTCGACATTTAGGATTCAATAGCTAATTGACGAGTAAAAGGCAACCGTCACTTCCTGCGATGCAGGACCGGAACGAAGGAGATACTAGACAGGTATTGCCTTTCGAACCACCAGCAGTGCTGGCTGGTCCGCGAGTTGGAAGCTGGTCAAGTCCGCTGAGGCAGCATCAACAACAACTCAGCACCTCAGGCGCTTCGGCAACACCAATGGCCCTGACAACAAATTCAGGAATTTGAACGTTCTATACTATTTCTCTCCGTTACTACTAGCAACCCTGATGAATCAGTCTCTTTGCTCTGCTCTGTTCCTCACTGCTATGCTGCTCCGTCCTGATGAGCTGTTAGGAACTATTGCAATGCTCAGTCCTGATGCATTGCAATGAGCTGTCTAAAAAGACCCACTTCACTGCATCAGTCTCAGACTGAGGCGCTTTACCACACTGAAACACACTTGAACGTACCGAATTGTACTGCACCAGGTGTTAGAAGGGAATCATGGCTGTGCACATGAATGCAAGAGAGGGTGGGATCATGGGTTGGATGGGATGGGATGCTTGCCCAAAGCCAGAAACTGGGGATCCAGGATTCTGGCTGAGTCAATGAGGCGTTGAATTCTTCTCTGATTTGTCCAGGTAAGGGGAAAAATCCCCCTCGAGCTACTGGCACGCCACGTGGAATAGCATTGGTTTTGCTTTTACTGTTACTCATCCCACTTGGAAGCGAGTGACGTGGTCGCTCCTCACCCAACGGCTCGGTGCCTGATTGGCGGAACGAAAACAGCACTCCTTTGGACGAATTTGTTTGGAGACAGTCGAGCCTGAATTGGCGCGTGCGAAATTTCGCGTTGTGAGAGGCTGCGAGCAACCCACGGATTTCCGATGGCTTTTGAATCTTCCGGCCAATCGCAATCAAGTGGTACTTGAGACCGATCGACAGGTCAGCAAAAAGCGACCTCGGGGACATCCTTTAATGCGGTCTCTATAGGATTCCCGCAATCTGTTCTCTGTACAGTGAATAGTGGTAACCTAAAACGACAAATCACAACGCAATGTTGTTACATAAGATATTGCTAATGGCTTCTTGTTAAACTAGTGACGTATCCAGTCCAGTCCAATACCAAACACGATAAAAATAAGGTTTCACAAGTCACGGTCACACTCCCAGAAAGAGCCTACAATTGTAGCGCCGACTCACTCTCCTGTTGCCCAAACAAGTTCCGAGCTGCACTCACCACCACTTGACCACTACGAGCCGACAGCGACGACAATGCTGCAGTGGCCTTCTGCCCCGGGCCCATATTCAAAGGCACCGACGAAAACTCTGACGCGTTACCGTTACCATCTAAGTCCACATCACCATCCACCCCCATCATCCCTCCCCCACTTGCACTGAACAATGCATTGCCACCACTCATACCACCAGACCCTTGCCTGTGCATGCTCGGTGGTGTATACCCCTGTAACATGCCGTTACCACTTCCACTCTGTGGTAACCCTATTCCTGGAGACATTCCCACCACTGCTCCTGGTCCACTGCCCATAATCCCACCTGCCCCAGATATACCTCCCCCTGCCCCTGCTGACCCGCTCCAGAGCTCCCCTGAAATGCCTGGCACTGCTGACCCTCCACCCATCATCCCTGCAGAGACCGAACCACCTGAGAAACCACCTGAAGCACCTGTGCCGGCACCTAAAAATCCTCCTGTGCTGCCCATTCCATGTGCGCCGGCCATACCAGTGCCGAGAACAGGGATGCCAGGCAGGTAAGGGGATGGGAGGCTGTGCATCGGATCCCTATGGGTCTGGGCTGCTGCTGCAATAAATGGCAGCTCCCCTCCTCCTCCGCCCCCCACCCCTCCTACTGCTCCCGCTGCTCCTCCATCTGCCCCTGCTCTTGCTCCCACAGACGCAGCAGCAGCTGTAGCAGACGCTGCTACAGCCGCCGACGCCGTCCCAGCAAGCCCAACTGGGTTGTGGTCTGACATTCGGTAGCTGTAGCTCTCTCCTGCCTGCTGCTGCATCCCCGCTGCAGAAAACCCCAGCGCTACAGCCGGGGATATAGCCGCTACAGCCGGTGCTGGTGCTGCTACAACGGGAGATGCCACATATTGCGCTACAGCCTGGGACGACTCCATCTGAGGGCTTGTGCTGCTTCTCCACCTGCCCGCATTCGGAGACAAAACATATCCGCCTGCCCCGCCGCCCAGCCCGCCTCCAGAAGCCCGGGGCGACACGGGCTGAAAATATTTCGGCGGGCTGCCCGGAGCGGCGGAAAAGGAGGGGTAGCCGGGGAAGCGGGGCGGGCTGGAGGGAGAAGGGGAGTAGAAGGAGGAGCGGGGGGAGGAGGGGTGGGATGAGGATCGCTGATGTGCCTGTCTGTCCTGCTGATGCTGCGTCTGCTGGTGCATCTGCTGCTGCTGCTGCTGCAAAAACTCCTGGCGGTGCTGCTGGTGGTCCGGGTGGTGCTGGCTGAATCGAGAGAGGTCCTGCTTCCCCTGCTGCTGGCTGGCTGATTGTGACTGTAACGAGGGGTCGGACGGCATCTCTCCACGATCCCTTGATTCAGACTCCTTGAGGAGAAAGTCGATCCAGAGGTCCGTGAAGGTCTGCAAACGGGGGGGGATGAGAATCGGAAAGTGCAGAGGGAAGGGAGAGGATCAAGTAAGAAGGCTGTGATTTCTTGATTCGGACTCCTTGAGGAGAAAGTCGATCCAGAGGTCCGTGAAGGTCTGTAGATGGGGGCGAAAGTGAAGTGGGAAGGGACGGGAAAAGGTAAGAAGGGAGAAACTCTCTGTAATCCCTAGATTCGGATCCCCTCACGAAGAAGTCGATCCAGAGGTCCGTGAAGGCCTGCAAACGGGGGTGGATGAGAATCGGAAAGTGAGGGAAGGGAGAGGATAAAGTAAGAAGGCCGTGATTCCTTGATTCGGATTCCTTGATTCGGATTCCTTGATTCGGATTCCTTGATTCGGATTCCTTGAGAAAGAAGTCCATCCAGAGGTCAGTGAAGGTCTGCAGGGGAGAAGGGGTTGGGGGAGTGTGGAAGAAATGAGGGTGGAGGGATGCAGTAGGAGGGTTTGTTTGCAGCTACAGAATTTCCACCTGAAAAGGGAAGCTTCTAAGAGAAACACTGAATGGAGAAAGGAAGCCTTAAAACTACTTGTACTGCCAAACAAACCCTTGCACCGTGCCCAACAACCCTCTCACCGTGCCAAACAACCCTCTCACCGTGCCCAACAACCCTTGCACCGTGCCCAACAACCCTCTCACCGTGCCAAACAACCCTCTCACCGTGCCAAACAACCCTCTCACAGTGCCAAACAACCCTTGCACCGTGCCAGACAACCCTGCCAAACAACTTTGACAACGCATAGAACCGCCACTCACTGTGCTGTCGTCTGCAATGCTTGCCAGGGCGCCAGTGCTCCCTCCCACTCCTCCCACGCTCGCCCCGCCTCCAAACAGTCCCCCCACCAGCCTCCCCGGCAGCCCAAACACGCCCCTCACCCCCCCTGCTGCTCCTCCTCCCATCCCCATGTGCCCCGCTGCTGCCAACCCCACCCGCTGCTTATCCTCCTCTGAGAATCCAAGGATGCGAGCCATGAGGTCAAGCACCTGAGTGTGGGTGGTAACCAGGCAACAGGGCAGAAGAAGGGAATACAAGGAAGTTCAGGGGAGCGCAACGGATAAAGCACCAAGGCACTTCCTCCCACCCCCATGTGGCCCGCTGCTGCCAGCCCCACCCGCTGCTTGTCCTCCTCTGAAAAGCCAAGGATGCGAGCCATAAGGTCAAGCACCTGAGCGTGGGTGGTAACCAGGTAACAGTGTACAAGGGCAGCAGATTTTTTTAACATCTCAAAAGGGAGAAAAGTGGAAGCAGGAACAAAGCCATGGGCACAGTAGAGGGAGCCAAGCCAGGCCCACCTAAAACGAATATCACAGATACAAACATACATTCAAAAACTGCAAGTCAGTCACCTGAAAATTGCCTTCTGAAAAGGCTGCACCACTCACCTCCTTGCTGTGCTTGCGCTGAAAGTAAGTCACCAGCAACTTGATCACGATTCTCCTGCTCCACATTCACACACGCAGTTCCACACAGAAGAAGTCAAATAGAGAGGGTGAGGGCGGAGGGGAGGGGAGGTGATGTGATGTTTAAGTCGACTAGAAAATCTGCTCCACATGCGCGCACAAAGTTCCACAGAAAACAGGTGCTGTCAAAGGAGGACAGGTGGGCTGCGGAGAACAGGTGGGCTGCGGAGAACAGGTGGGCTGCGGAGAACAGGTGGGCTGCGGAGGACAGGTGGGCTGCGGAGAACAGGTGGGCTGTGGAGGACAGGTGGGCTGCGGAGAACAGGTGGGCTGCGGAGGACAGGTGGGCTGCGGAGAACAGGTGGGCTGCGGAGAACAGGTGCTGCGGAGAACAGGTGCTGCGGAGAACAGGTGGGCTGCGGAGAACAGGTGGGCTGCGGAGAACAGGTGGGCTGCGGAGGACAGGTGGGCTGCGGAGAACAGGTGGGCTGCGGAGAACAGGTGCTGCGGAGAACAGGTGGGCTGCGGAGAACAGGTGGGCTGCGGAGAACAGGTGCTGCGGAGAACAGGTGCTGCGGAGAACAGGTGGGCTGCGGAGAACAGGTGCTGCGGAGAACAGGAGCTGCGGAGAACAGGAGCTGCGGAGAACAGGAGCTGCGGAGAACAGGAGCTGCGGAGAACAGGAGCTGCGGAGAACAGGAGCTGCGGAGAACAGGTGCTGCGGAGAACAGGTGCTGCGGAGAACAGGTGCTGCGGAGGCCTTACGTCTCAAAACACGAAGGTCCACAGAAAACAGGTCAAAACCATAAAAGAGGGTGAGGGTGGAGGAGAGCTGAAGTGTGGTTCTCAAAACATTTTTTCAGACCGCACCACACACTGCTCCCAACTCCCATCCTCTCAATAAGCTGTTTCTTTACAATCTCTGCGGCTCACCTGTCTACAGTGAAGTCGGAATCAGACGACATACTGTTAAGCCACACCACACACTGCTCCAGAAAACACTATCTCCCTTATAGGGTGGCTTCGTATTCTGTTTCTCACCTGTCTACAGTGAAGTCAGAGTCAGACGACATTCTGTATAGCCGCACCATACACTGCTCAAGAAAAAATCATCCCCCGTATAAGCCCCTTCCATTCCACTATCCGCTTCTCACCTGTCTACAGTGAAATCAGAATCAGAAGACATTCTGTTGAGCCGCACCATACACTGCTCCAGAAAACATCATCTCCCTTATAAGGCGGTTCGTTATTCTGTTTCTCACCTGTCTACAGTGAAGTCGGAGTCAGAAGACATTCTGTTGAGCCGCACCATGCACTGCTCCAGAGCCTGGCGGACTTTAGACAGCTCGTTCCCTGCCCTCTGCTCCCCCACCACCGCTGCTGCCCTCCCCCTCTCTGCCTCTGCTGCTCTCGCCTCTGCTGCTGCTACCTCCTCCGCCCTCCTGCTGGCAAGGTCCTTCACCAACTGGTGACACCGGCAACGAAGGGAAGACGGGAGGGAAAAAGGAGGGGGAGACGAAAGCGGAAGAGAGGAAGTGGACGTGGAAGGGAAGGGGGAAGGGCGCAGAAGAAGGAGGCATTAGGCAGAGTCTGGCGAATCTTTGACAGCTCATTTCCTGCCCTATGCTCCCCCGCCACCGCTGCTGCTGCCCTCCCCCTCTCTGCTTCCGCTGCTCTCGCCTCTGCTGCTTCTACCTCATCCGCCCTCCGGCTGGCAAGTTCCTTTGCCAACTGGTAACCACGGGAAGAAGGGAAAGAAGTGGAAGAAGGGAAAGAAGTGGAAGAAGGGGAAGAAAATCGGGAAAAACGCAAGGGGAAGGGAAGGGGAGGGGTACAAAAGGAGCAGGAAGGGAAGCGGGGAGGGGAGGGATGCATTGGCATTGTCGAGAAGGGAAGGGGAGGGAGGAAAAAGAAGAGGGAGGAGAGAAGGGGAGGAGGAAAAAGGGGAGGGAGGATAGAAGGGGAGGGAGGAGGTGGCAACGACTGACCTGCAGCTGCTCAGCCAGCTTGGTGTTGTCGTCCCGTGCTGCCGCCAGCTCTGCTGCCAAGCGGTTTGGTGTTGTCATCCCTTGTGGCTCAGACCTCTAAGAGAACACTCTGCAGAGCAGCAAGCACTGACTGACCTGCAGCTGCTCAGCCAGCTTGGTGTTGTCGTCCCGTGCTGCTGCCAGCTCTGCTGCCAAGCGGTTTGGTGTTGTCATCCCTTGTGGCTCAGACCTCTAAGAGAACACTCTGCAGAGCAGCAAGCACTGACTGACCTGCAGCTGCTCAGCCAGCTTGGTGTTGTCGTCCCGTGCTGCTGCCAGCTCTGCTGCCAAGCGGTTTGGTGTTGTCATCCCTTGTGGCTCAGACCTCTAAGAGAACACTCTGCAGAGCAGCAAGCACTGACTGACCTGCAGCTGCTCAGCTAGCTTGGTGTTGTCGTCCCGTGCTGCTGCCAGCTCTGCTGCCAAGCGGTTTGGTGTTGTCATCCCTTGTGGCTCAGACCTCTAAGAGAACACTCTGCAGAGCAGCAAGCACTGACTGACCTGCAGCTGCTCAGCTAGCTTGGTGTTGTCGTCCCGTGCTGCTGCCAGCTCTGCTGCCAAGCGGTTTGGTGTTGTCATCCCTTGTGGCTCCGACCTCTAAGAGAACACTCTGCAGAGCAGCAAGCACTGACTGACCTGCAGCTGCTCAGCCAGCTTGGTGTTGTCGTCCCGTGCTGCCGCCAGCTCTGCTGCCAAGCGGTTTGGTGTTGTCATCCCTTGTGGCTCAGACCTCTAAGAGAACACTCTGCAGAGCAGCAAGCACTGACTGACCTGCAGCTGCTCAGCTAGCTTGGTGTTGTCGTCCCGTGCTGCTGCCAGCTCTGCTGCCAAGCGGTTTGGTGTTGTCATCCCTTGTGGCTCAGACCTCTAAGAGAACACTCTGCAGAGCAGCAAGCACTGACTGACCTGCAGCTGCTCAGCTAGCTTGGTGTTGTCGTCCCGTGCTGCTGCCAGCTCTGCTGCCAAGCGGTTTGGTGTTGTCATCCCTTGTGGCTCAGACCTCTAAGAGAACACTCTGCAGAGCAGCAAGCACTGACTGACCTGCAGCTGCTCAGCTAGCTTGGTGGTGTCGTCCCGTGCTGCCGCCAGCTCTGCTGCCAAGCGGTTTGGTGTTGTCATCCCTTGTGGCTCAGACCTCTAAGAGAACACTCTGCAGAGCAGCAAGCACTGACTGACCTGCAGCTGCTCAGCTAGCTTGGTGTTGTCGTCCCGTGCTGCCGCCAGCTCTGCTGCCAGCCGGTTCTGCACGTCCGTAGAGAGAGCACACCAAAACAAGACACACAGGAAACAGGCAAGTGATTTTGAGTACTAAAACACTGTTTTGCACGTCCGAATGAGGAACACAACAAAAAGAGAAATACAGACAGACAGGCAACGGATTCAGACGGGATGCAAGAGCGCACCAAAGGCACCAAAACAGGAAATACATAAAGACATTCGATTCAGATGGATGGGACTATGGCATACCTGAGCCTCAGCTTCGGCATAGAGCTGCCCCAAAGCTGCCTGCAGGTGGTTCAACTCCTGATCCCGAGCCTCAAGTTCGGCCCGAAGCACCTGACTAGGGCCCACCATACCTGAGCCTCAGCTTCGGCGTAGAACTGCCCCAGAGCTGCCTGCAGGTTGTTCAACTCCTGATCCCGAGCCTCAAGTTCGGCCCGAAGCACCTGCCTCTCCCTCTCTGCCTCCTCCCTCTCCCTCTCCCTCCGCTCTCCCTCCTCCTCCACCTCCTTTGCTCGGCTCTCGGCCTCTTTCCTGGCAGTTTCTGTTGCGGCGCGTGCGTCTGCTAAAGCAGACTGCAGGGCTGCCAGCTCGCGGGATTTGTCCTGTAGCTGGGCCTCGAGGGATTTGATTTGGTCGGTTTCTTGCTCCACCTTGGCTGACTCGGCATTTTCCTGAAGAAAAAAGAGGGGAAAGAAGGGGGAAAGAAGGGGGGGAAGTTGTCGGAGGGGTGGAGTGGTGGGGGTTGGGGGGGCAGATAGGAGGGGCAAAACGGTGCATATGGGAGGTTTGTACCTCACCTTCACTGATTAGGCAGCTTCTTGACAGAATAGTATGGGTGCGGGCACTGGGAGGAGGAGAGGGGAGGAAGGGAGGGGAAAGAAGGGAGGGGAAAGAAGGGAGGGGAAAGAAGGAACGAAGGGGGTGCGGATACAGGATGTTCATGCTTCACCTTTACTGATTGCCGAGGTCGCAGCTCCAAACCCCATCTTTCACCCCTCCTCGTCTTTCCAGTATTATCGTCATCGATAGCAACCCAAACAGGTGACCCGCCCTCGCCATCCCACCCCACACCCCACCACTCAGCGAGCGGCACTTACCAGCTCCAGCAGGTGCTGTTTCAGCCTCGCTAGCGGCACTTACCAGCTCCAGCAGGTGCTGTTTCAGCCTCGCTAGTGGCACTTACCAGCTCCAGCAGGTGCTGTTTCAGCCTCGCTAGCGGCACTTACCAGCTCCAGCAGGTGCTGTTTCAGCCTCGCCAGTTCCCGCTTCGCCTTGTCCCTCTCCCCCTTCATCACAACCTGACTCACACGACCCCCCGAACTCCCCCACTCCTCACGCTCCCCCAACGCACTCACCAGCTCCAGAAGGTGCTGTTTCAGCCTCGCTAGTTCTCGTTTTGCCTTGTCCCTCTCGCCCTTCATCGCATTCAACACCCCCTCTAACTCCCCTCTTTGCGCCACTGCTGCCTCCTCCACCTCCCTTCTCCTCGCCTCTGCTTCCTTCTCTGCTTCTGCTCTCCTCTCCTCTGCCTCCCTCTCTGCAGCTCTCACTGCCACTGCTATCCTTCTCACTGCCTGCTCTTCCATTGCCACCACTGCAGCTGTCGCCTTCGCTTCTGCTGCTTCCTCCGCTTCTTTCCTCCTCGCCTCTGCTGCTTTCGCCTGGCTCTCTGCTTCTTTCGCCTGGGCCTCTGCTGTTTTCACCTGGGCCTCTGCTGCTTTCACCTGACGGTCACACTCTTCCCTGAGCTGTTGGAGGGAGGTCTGGAAGGAGGCGTGCTGGGAGGAGAGGGCTTGCTCTGCTGCCTGAAGTTTCGCCTTTAATTGGGATAGCTGCCATGGTGGGAGGGGAGGGGCATAGGGGAGGAAGGGAGGAGAGAGGCAGAGAGGAAGGGAGGTATGAAAGGAGGTGCGTTGGTTGGAGGCAAGAGCTTGCTCCGCTGCTTGTATTTTTGCCTTTATTTGTGATAGCTGTAATAGTGGGGAGGGGCAGAGAGGAGGGGCATAGGGGAGGGCAAGGCGGGAGGCACGGAGGAGTGTTGCGGGGTTCTTAAGCTGACTCATAAGCCTCAAAAGTAGTGCAAGCATGCTCACACGACCGCCACCATTCCCATGCAAGGCACACACCTCGTCTGACTGAGCTGATTCTTGAGGCGCCTATTTTCTTTTTCACCTGAAGAAACCACTCACTCACACGACATCCACCATTGCTGATTTTTTAGGCGAATAAATTGATAGTAATCTCAAGAAATCACTCACTCACACGACCTCCACCATTCCCATGCAAGGTACACACCTCTTCTGACATTATTGTGAAGATGACAAAAGTGACACAAGCATACTCACACGACCTCCACCACTCCCATAAAAGGCACACACCTCTTCTGACTGAGCTGGTTCTTGAGGCGCCTTTTTTCTTTGTTACCTGAAGAAACCACTCGCTCACACGACCTCCACCATTCCCAGGCAAGGTACACACCTCTTCTGTCTGAGCTGCGGCCGCAGCCGCCGGGGCAGCAGCAGAGGCAGCCCGAAGCTGAGCCCCAGCTTCGGCAGCCCGAGCCTCGGCGAGCTGGCGCGAGAGCTGCTGCAGTTCGGCCTGGGGGGTGCCGAAAAGGGAGAGGGGGTTGGAAAGAGAGAAGGTCGGAGGAGAGAGGGTGAGAGGAGAGAGGGGTAAGAGGAGAGAGGGTAGGAGAGCAGGTTGAGAGAGGAGAGGGTGGGAGGAGAGAGGGGTGAGAGGAGATGGAAATTGCGAGTTGAGGGGAAACAGTAGAGAAGAAGAAACGGTTCGGTGTCATCCTTTCTAGAAATATGGACAGAGAGAATAAGTAGTGGTGAAATCGTGAGGTTTTGTCTCTTCTAAGTGACAAACACAGGGGAATGAAGAGAAAGGGTCTTTTTCTCGTTTCTTTTTCCTCCTTTTTTTTCCTAGTAGAAATCCTTGTGTCAGCTGACGTCATCACTACCTGCCACGAGGCTTTGGAGGCGTCAGCAGCAGCTACTGCCTGCGCCAGTTGAGCCTCCACCTGCCTCAGCGCCCCCTCCGCCTGCTGCCGCGCTGCTGCCTCCTCTTTCATCTTCTCATGTGCCTCTGCCAAGTCGTTGAACAACTGGGGTGGGGGGAGGTGAGGGGTTGGTGGGTGAGGGGGGGTGGGGGGATTAAGGGTTAGTGTGACGGAGAAAAAGCATTTTACAATGGACCTGGCTGCCCCCCTCTGCCTCGGCTTTCAGGATGCGCGGCTGACTCGACCTTCTGACTCGACCTTCTGAATCGACCTTCTGAATCGACCTTCTGAATCGACCTTCTGACTCGACCTTCTGAATCGACCTTCTGACTCGACCTTCTGACTCGACCTTCTGAATCGACCTTCTGACTCGACCTTCTGACTCGACCTTCTGAATCGACCTTCTGAATCGACCTTCTGAATCGACCTTCTGAATCGACCTTCTGACTCGACCTTCTGACTCGACCTTCTGAATCGACCTTCTGACTCGACCTTCTGACTCGACCTTCTGAATCGACCAGCAAGAAAAGACTATTTCTTGACTTGGTTCAGAATCCTCCCCAAAATGCCTCTGTGCATGCATGTGGCTGTGACTCACTCGCTGCCTCTCGGCTTTGAGAATGCTGCACTCCTGCACAGCTGATTGACACCCCTCTGACTCAACCAGCAAGAACAGGAAGTTGTGTATGGATGTGCGTGCATGCATGTGGCTGTGACTCACTTGCTGCCTCTCGGCTTTGAGAATACTGCACTCCTGCACAGCTGACTCCCACCCATATCGACCACCTGACGTGATGCCAAGAAGGGACACGAGACGGAGGAAACGAGGTTGCAGAGAGAGGAAAGGGTGATGGGTGGAAATGGTGTGTCAGGGCGACAAAGGGGAAGGACTGGGAGGAAAGAGGGGGTTGGAGGCTGCCGGAAAAGAGATGATGATGATGATGATGGTTCAGGCGAGGTGTGTTGTGGTGATGTGCGTTCTGTGTGGTGCACAATGGTGCAGTGATGTTCGGTGGGTTGCAGCGAGGGTCGGTGAGACCCCGTGCGTGCGATGAGCAGAGATGGAGGGGCGTTCTCACCTGTCATCTGCTGCGCCAGCTTCCTCGCAGCTTCCCTTTCTCTCTCCATCTCACCCCTCACCACTCTCAACTCCCCTTCCAGCCTCTGCTTCTCCTCCCTTAACCTCACCACCTCTCCCCCTCTCTCCCCCGCCAGCCACCTTTCCTGCTCTGCACCTGGTGCTGATGCTAATCCGAATTCTGCTGACTTGACCCCAGCGGCTGCTGCTAACTCCACTGCCGATGTGACTGCAGATGCCACTCCTGGTGCTGATGATGGTGCCGCCGCTGCTACTTCTGCTGTTACAGGCGCTTGTGCAGAGGCACTTGGTTCACTAAAGAAGGGAGGGGTGCCAGTGGGAGGTCCACCTGGGGCAGGCTTGACTGGGAGAGGGGCAGACGATGGAGAGCCATGAGAGGGAGGTCCAAATGGGGGAGGTCCCACCGGGGGAGGTGAATTGCGGGCAGGTCTGATAGGCGGAGGGCCATTTGGCGGAGGCCCATGTGGGGGAGGTCCGTGGGAGGGAGGTCCGTGTGGGGGAGGTCCGTGGGGGGGAGGTCCGTGTGGGGGAGGTCCGTGTGGGGGAGGTCCGTGTGGGGGAGGTCCGTGTGGGGGAGGTCCGTGTGGGGGACGGCCAGCAGCAGATGCAGCAGGTCTCGGTTGTGGGGGTTGTTGTGGGTGCGACTGTTTCAACTCCTCCTCCTGCTGCTGCTGCTGCTGCTGCTGCTGCTGCCGATGCGGCTCCTGCGGTTGTCCTTTCACTCCTCCAGAGCTGGCTTGAAACAGGGGCGCGCCAAAGGGGTTTCCCTTTCCTCCCGCAGGTGCGTTTCCCGCAGAGTAGGGCGCGTTTCCGGCAGTGGTGGGTGGTGGTTGAGTAGGGTGCTGCAGAGGAGAGATTCCATGTGGAACCTGGTTCGGGCCTCCAATGTGACTACTTTGAATGTGACTACTCGGATTGGCACGGTGTGAGTCCTCAGCAGCAACATCCCGAGCCCCAGAATTCGGGTCCGAAGGAGAATCTTGAGATGTATCAGGCAAAAGCCTCGTTACAGTAGGGTCCGGGGTGCCTTGCAGGCGAGAGGCTGATTGTTGATGGAAGGGGAGAGGGCCTCGTTTGGTCCGAAACCCTGATGTTGTTTGCCCTGGCCATTGCAGCTGCGAAGGATCCTGTGACACGGCGAAAGGTGGTTACCAAATGGCGAATTAGGGCGTGCGAGAGACATCTGGGGTTAAAGCAAAAGCAGGGGGACAGAGTTGTTCCTGACATAGCATGGATACATGAACGAAGCGGTGATACGAACGGAATGGTACAAACACTTACCTCGGGACCCGCTTTGCCGTGCCTCTCCGGGGTAGAGTCAGCAGAGGAACCTTCGGAGTAGGAATCCGAAGACGAGTGGTGAGACGGCGAGCCGGGCCCACTGCCGAAAAGGCCAGGGTCTAGCTCCTCCGCGGTGTCAAGCACGTCCGACGCGATCGCCGAGATGTTGTTCTTTAGATTGCGGAATGTGCTCCACATGATGTTAACGGATCTATTGGCAGTTCACCATGCGAAACGCCTTCGGAGGTCTTTTGATTTGTTGTTTCTCAGGCTACAGCATGGGAATATAAAAAGAGACGACGGTGTTGAATTGGCGTGAATATTGGAGGCTATACTTCACCCTTGAGCCATTTTTTCTTCGAGTGGATACATCCTCGAATAGGCTGGAATAGGTTCCTGAAATGAGCTTCACAATGAGAAGGCAAGTAGGCTTGGCACCGTAAAGTTCCGCACTGGAATTTGCGATCTGGCTCACTGCCAGACTAATGAGCAACGTTTAGCCTAACTAATTTAGAAGCAAGAAGCAGACTGCTAAGGAACACCACAATAGAACCTAGAAACTGACGGAAACTAGACTCATAGCAACTGCAATCTATAGGTTGGGCGTTCCCAAGGCCGTTGGCAGGACAACAGCTTCGGATAAATTGGCTCGGCCGAACAGCAAAAGCGGAATCAAAACCACTGGTTCGGATCCTTTCTGACTGGTTTTGCTTCACGGCTTGGCCTGGTTTGGCGACTGACAACAACTTGTGTAAGTGTACTCCTTTCAGCGAGCTTCGATATCGTCTAGATTTGAAGCTTATGTGGAGATCTGCTCCAATGAAATAGGAAGCATTACCTCTGTAGACTTCCAGAATCCAGATCCCATAGCTTGTGGTCTGGATGCCCCATACGTTTTCCCAAACCTCGTTCCTCGGTGTGATGTCGTCGAACTAGGTTCATTCAGATTCTAGATGCAGGCAGGAGCACGTGCAACCATTTTGGCAGGCATTTCCGCGGTGATCGTACAGTACGGTTGAATAGGTGTTTCTCGCGGTAAGTGGTGTCTCCAAATAATTACCGCTACAGAACGCAACGCACCGACCAATATAAACTGGAAATCAACTCCTAGATGCTCCATCGTCCTCATCACTTGCATTTTTCTTTCAAAGCTATCGCCGAGACGGTAGTCGAGCGTAGTAACACCTGAAAGTCTTTCACTCGGCGAAACTCGACAGAGAGATTCTCGTGCTTCTTGCTGCAGTTTAGGGCTAGATATTATGAGGGGTCTATCGCTCAGCTGCATTCCAACATGCCTTCTGCTCGCCGTCTTCCTGCCCTTTCTCTCTGAAGGTGAGATGACGATTCGCGAAATTGTGCCGTTTTTGTACTCGAGGCTATAAGTCTCAGGGCGATCTCACATTGAACGGGCACGCACTCACCTCGTCTTTTCATCAAGCTCTGAGATGGTCTTTCTATCTAGCGAAAAGGTATGCGCTTGTCGACAAGATCTCACTGTCTGTGAATCTCTCACGTCAACTTTCCAGACTTAGATCCATAGTGCTCCTTTCCAGGCTATAAAACTTTCCTCACGTACCCGTCGATGCACATTCGACGACCTTTTTTGGCGCTTTCTTTCGCAAGTCACGTGCCTATTCCTTTTCTCCTATCAATTCCTTGTGTGTGCACTCCGCACCATCTGCCGTGGTGCGACTTCAGCGCATCAAGTTCTTCCAGACGCATTAAGTGCCTTTCTGAAACTATCCGTGTACTTCTAGTGCGAAGGAGAGCCCAAGCTCCAGCTCGACGCATTTATTCATAGCACTTGCCGTCTACGATTTTGCTCCATAATCCTTCTCCGTCCGTTGCTGCCAAATCCCTGTGTGTCTTTTCTCCAAACCAGCCGCGGTGGTGCGGCTTCAGCGCATCAAGATCTTCCAGACGCATGACCTACCCTTCTGGAAGCCATCCGTGTACTTCCAATGCGAGGGAGAACCCAAGCACCAGCTCGACGGTGTGGTGGAAGCAAACGTGGACTACAATTTCACTCTGCATGAGCCCTTTCAGGTGGGTGCTCTGCAGGAGTTCTTCCGGGTGGGTGCTCCTCAGGAGTTCTTTCAGGTGGGGGTACTCTGCATGAGCCCTTCCAGGTGGGTGCTCTGCGGGAGTTCTTCCCAGTGGGTGCTCTTCAAGAGTTCTTTCAGGGGGGGTACTCTGCAGGAGTTCTTCTAGGTGGGGGTACTCTGCAGGAGTTCTTTCAGGTGGGTGCGCTGCAGGGGTTCTTTCAGATCGGTACTCTGTGTGAGCCCTTCCAGGTGGGTGAAATCTTTCGACTGATTAATTATGGCTTTGGTTGGTGGCGTGAAAATATGTGGGGGGTTTCATTATACGGCGAGTTGACCAATGCTAGTGATTGTCACATGCAAACTGGTCCATGTGCCCTTCAGCGTATCCATGCCCATCCTTCCATTGATGAGGTCCTCTTATGGCCTTTCCTTTCTCTTGTGGTGGGGACGGTTTCTGCTGATGTGGTGCCATTCAGTGCTGCTGTGTTCATGACAGAGATTGGGTTCCCTGTGCAAGTTCTGCACTGTGCTTCAGTACGAGTGGCTTCTTAGTGCTGCGGCAGCCACGATGAGGACTGGTGTTTTTAAATAAGTGCTGTACTCTGCTTCCTCCACCTTCTTCAACATATTCCTTTTCTTCTGTCTGCAGCCCTTGACAGAGCTCACGGAGGGCCACTGCAAGCAGTGTGGTTTCTACGACGCGGACACGTTGACAGAGGACGATGCGTTTGACCGCTTCAACCTGTGCCCCCTGGACTTCGCTCCCGCGCCATCTGGCCGCCTCACTCGCCTCGTGGAAAACGAGCTGAATGTGACGTTTGTCTGCCCTCATTGCAACTCTGACAGAACCTCACGGTCCTCTGGAGGTATGCACACTTTCTCGTTATCTTGTTAGCGATGCTGTTTTCACCTGGTTGAATGATCGGGGATGTGCAGCTTGTTGCTTGCTACTTGGCCATTGGTTGAAAGTTGGGGTCTGTGTTCTGGTGTGATTCAGTAGGTTTATGCACTGCAAGAGTTAAAGCGACAGGTTCAGCAAAATGATGTCCCAAGTGCATGAATTCACGCCTTTCCGCCGCCTGAAAAGCGTACAGGAAATGTATTCTAGCACAAATGGCTGCTAAATCTGCAAGTTTGCGGATTCTGTGCCGTGCTAGATAGAACCGATGTATGTTTATGGCATGTTCACTGTGAGTTTGTGAACAGCTGCTTATCGCGTGCCTCTTTCAATTTTTGTTTGCTTGCTGCCCCTTTTCCCCTTTTTTTCCAACTCCACAGATGAGTTTGAGGGCACAGACACCAACAATGTGAATCTACTGAACGTTTTCCTCATAGTGATTGCCGTTGTTACTGGCATCAGCTGCCTCACTGGCCTTCTTGCCTTTTGGCTGAAATCTGGAGCTTGGCCACTCTTCAGACGACGGATGGACAGCGACACAGCGAAGTTTATGGAGATGTTTGACGAGGAGGATGAGCTCCTAGATGGAGATGATGAAAGTGGCGGAGATGTTGAAATGGGAGAAGCAGCTGCATCAGGCCGACATGGACCTCATTACCGGGACGACTAAGCTTTGTGCGGAGTTTCCCAGCCAGCGAAACTAGTTGTCACTTTGCTGTACCTGTGCCTATATTATATATTTTGTAGTAAATTTTATAGTGTAAGTGCTTCGTGTTTTCAATATCGCAACACTTCGACAGCCACTTTCGTGTGGCTGGAATTGTCTGACCAGCCATATGTGGCTTCGATGCCGCGTCACCGATCACCCTCTCCAGCAGCAGACTCCACATCACGAGTCGCAATTCGCGGCATGGCGAGGAATCACGGTTCAGTGGAATCAAACCGCCAGAGACATTCGCATCTTGGGAATCTCCAACAAACCCAGCTCAAGCCTGGACTGGACTGAGCAATGACGAGGAGCTGCTGGTTCCAGTGAACCTGGAATATCCCTCCCAGTCATGCAGGAAAATGACCAGCCAAACTAACTCTGTCTGAGCGTGTGCTTTGCAGACGCAGATATTGGATGCTTGAGAGCTTTTAGACCACTCACTCAGGTGGCTGTCGACGGCCAGTCGAGTTGATCGTCACGGCTTTTTAGTTTTATGCCTACTGACTGCTCCTGAGAAACTTGTTTTGGTGGTTTTGTCCACAATTTCACCGTCACATGCCTGTAGTACGGCATAAGCTTGAAAACAACTTCAGCATCTGGCTCTTTTAACTGACAATTTCCTCTCTGCTGATCACCATGCCGGCTGGAATGGAAGAGAGCCTTTCACCTCCGCCTTCTCCGTTGAGGAAGGACCTGAGGGTGACTGAAGTGTACAAGCCCGGTTCGTTTGATCCGGCCTCTCATTTCTACCCACGAGTGCTGAATGCACAGATTCACCCTCTTGTGAGGTCGTTTCTTGGGCTCGGAAACGAGAGGATCGCCAAGAGATATGTTCACCTTCATCCTGCAGCAAAACCAGAAGCGGTTCAAGAGGCGCTTTCATATGCGTGCAAGTGAGTCATCGTAGAAAATCGATACCATTTTCGCCATTTGACTATGTTGTCAAATATTAACCATCGCTTCCTCTGTGCAGGTACTTTCAGTGGGGCGGAGCTGACTTGTTCTCTGTGACTACCGAGAAGGGTCAGAAGCGATTCGTCGTCATTGAGACGAACTCATGTCCGTCAGGACAGAAGTCCATGCCCATGGAAAATGAAGACCTGGAGCATGCAGGCTATAAGACTCTGCTAGAAAAGGCGTTTCTTCCGGTGCTAAAGTCTGGCAAGTGGAATGGAGAGCCGATTCCGGAGGGGATTTTGGCTGTTCTGTACGATAAGAATCAGATGGAAGCTTCAGGATATGCGGCGGCGTTGGCGGATCTCACGGGAGAAGAAATTTACCTCACTCCCTGCTACGCTGATGAAGTGGAGCCGAAATGGAGGTGGCGTCCGGATGGCATTTTGGAGATCAACATCGCTGGAGCTATCCAGAAAGCTCAGAAGGAGGAAGTTCCAATTGTTATGGCAGGAGCGAAAGTCTCACGTACGAGTTCGTCTTCCAGCGAAGGGAAGCAGCAATGTTCCCCAACGAATTCTGGTGCTGCAGAGCCACAGTGGAGACAAGTCAAAGGAGCAATTAGATACGTGACTCAGCGGCCATGGACTAGAATACCTCCCGTGACGCGGACCATGATTTTCAACCCTGTCCTTGCTTGTTTGGCTGGCGGACGCAACAAGGCGGTGGGAGCAAAAGCGTACGATCTTCACAACGCCGCGCTGGCGTCAACCGGACTCTCCATCCTTACTCCTGAGACCATTTGGGATGTCGCCAAGCCGGAAATTCCCCTTTGGGTCGGCAGAATGGGTGGCCTGGCTGTAGTGAAGGTTCCTTATGCTAACGCAGGTCAAGGAGTGTGGACAATCACAAACGACGAAGAGCTGAAGGAGTTCATGGCGATTGAGCAGCGCTATGATCGGTTCATTGTTCAGGTACCTCACTTTTTTGGGTCACTTATTTGGGCTCTCATGTCTCATTCATTCCATATTTTGTTTTGCTGGAAACTATGGTGTCCTGCAGATGACTCATATTTGTCCTCGACATTGCAGGCCTTGATTGGGAACAACGGCTGGAGTTCCCAGAGTGTGAGTGGCAGGCTGTACCACGTGGGGACCATTCCGACAAGCAAAGGAAATATCTACGCCTCTGACCTGAGGATGATGGTGGGGTCCGGAGCAGGTGGCTTCTTTCCAGTGGCCATCTATGCACGGAGAGCCAAGCTTCCACTCGCTGAGAAGCTTGAGAGTGGGATCCATTCATGGGACATGCTTGGAACCAACCTTTCATACAAGGTACCACAAATCTCTGACTTGTTGGGAAACCCTTATGCAACAGGTTGCCTCCCATATTGCAGCTGACCTATTCTTATGGATTTGATTGCAGAATCCAGATGGAACTTGGGGAACGGAGACAGACAGGTTGCTGCTGATGGACAGCCGGGACTTCAACAGGCTTGGTGTTGGTGTGGATGATTTGATTGAGGCCTACATGCAGGTGGGAATCCGTTCAAAGCAGCACTCGGTAATTCCCTGAAGTTAGGTTGCCTTCTGACTCTCCTTTTTCCTTCTACTTTCAGACTATCCTGGCAGTGACTGCTATCGACCGGCTTTGTGGAAAGCTAATAACACCCAAGGTAGGAAATTGCTGCTGTGGTGCATTCAGGTTAGTTACTCTTTTTGAAAGTTGGAAGATAACTGATGTGATGTGCATCTTACAGGGAAATTTCGGCCTGAAGCTTTTTGGGTCTCTGAACCCTGACACCAAGCTCTTGGACGAGCTGTATACGCTTCCACTGCATTCTCTTCCTGTGGAAGGTACTAGCGTGTCATCGTCCCTGGTGAAGCGTGCTGCAGATCAAGCAACGGAGCAAGAAGATGCTCTTGTACAAGAGCTTCAGCTGGAGGTCACAGTTGCAGCACCTCCTGTAAGTGACATGCTCTGGTTTTTTTAGAGGGAGAGCAGGGACGCATTGTCATATGTGGTCCTGATACATCTGCCTTCGTATTTGCAGGGAAAGAGAGGGAGGGTTCTCTGATCTGAAGGTCCCCGTTTTGTTTCCTGAGTCCTGACGTTTGATGCAATTGCACATACGGTACCTCACAGTTTTGGCTTCTTATATTCTTTCAATAGCCACACCATAGCTATATCGCTCTTAATGTAAGACTGCACGTATGGAAACAGTGCTCTTATCATTCCCCTGTTGTAATTCTTCATACAATAATGACAATTATCTTACAATGGCACGCCTCTATTGTGGTTGGTTTCACGGACAACAAACTGTTTTGGATTATGACATTCTACCTATAAGCCTTGCAGTTACTGAAATGTGTATACATTGTTGGCCACTCATGAATGATATTTATATGCTAACTGAATATACAGAATATATATTATGTACTTATTTCGAGTCTTCTGGTATAACCTTCCTTTTGAACCGGTAATAGAACCCCATATTACAGACGTCATTTTTTGGGGCACCTTCTTGTTGTTACTCAAGTATCAAGTTTTGTGTACTTGTAAAAAACCTGCTTATGACCAGCGTCGTAGTGAAACGCTTTATTGGAGGAAACTCCGCTAACACAAATAACACAGTTCCTCCTCTCACGCTCTGGTCCTCAGCACGATCGTCGCGGTTGCACGATCAACTTTCGACTGTAGTTGTTCGCGAAGGTCGCGATGAAGCACCGCAACGCGTTTCGCAAGCTGGGTCGCGCGAGCAGCCATCGATGGGGATTGCTCCGGTGAGCTGTAGGATGAAGGTGGTACACTCTAGCTTGCTGTGACGCGGTTTGCGGGATAGCTGGATTTCGATGTGAATTGCTCTGGTGAGGTGTAAAACGGAGGTGGTACAAAGTAGCTTGTGCTGACGCGGTATGCAGGATACTCGGATCTTGGTGGGGGTTGCGCTGGGGCGACCAGCGGTATTTTGAGCCGTGGGGCGGAGGTGACGTTTACGTCGAGCTGCTTTTCTCTAGTCCACTCAAAAGTAGGTGGTATAGTTTAGCTTGTCGTGACGTGCTACGGAACAGGCGCGGCGTGACGCGGTATGGGGCTTGGGAAGTAGCGCTAGTCACATCTCCCGTTGTGGCTGTGCGTTACGGCCAACGAAGGGGAGTGAGGGCGGGGAGACGTAACTTCCGCTACCGCACGCGACAGTGCGAGCTCGCTTCACCGCGTGCTTTGGTTTGCGACCTTTTCCCCTTTCTCCCCCCTCCCCTTCCCCCTTGCCGCCCCCGTTCCCCCCCCTCCCCCCCCCCCTCTCCCCCCCTCCCCTCCTTTCCACCTCTCCCCTTTTCTCCCTTTTTCCCTCTCCGAACCATCATAATGTCTTTGCTCATTCGGCACAAGCGGATAAATATACCCTTCCCCCTTCTCTCCCCCAGCTCCTACCCTCCTTCTCCGCAGCACCATGGAGCATGAGCGGATAAAAACCACCCCTTCCCGCCTCCCCCTCCCCCTCCACTCTCACACCTCCCACTCTTTCCTCCCCCCATCCCCTTCTCCTTCTCCTTCTCCTCTCCCCTCCCCCCCCCCCCCCCCCCCCCCCGCAGCACCATGGTGTCTCAACTCATTTTGCACGAGCGGATTGAAACCAAGCCTTCCCCCCTCCACCTCTTCCTCCACCCTCGTTCCCCCCATCATTTCCTCCCCCTCCGTCCCTTCTTCTTCCCCACCCCCCCCCTCTCTCATCTACCTCCCCCTCCCCCCCCCCCTTCCCCTCCCCTCCACCCTCCCCTCCACCCTCCCGCAGCACCATGGTGTCTCAGTTTTTTCAACACGAGCGGATGAAGTTACTCCTCCCCCCGCCCTCTCTCCTCCTTTCCACCCCCCGCCCCCCATCCTCACCCCCCTCGCAGCACCATGGTGTCTCAGCTTATTCAGCACGAGCGGATCAGAATTATCCATACCCTCCCCCCCCCCCCCCAACCGCCCCTCTCCTCCTTTACCCCATTCCCCCTCCCTCTCCGCAGCACCAAGGTGTCTCAGCTTATTCAGCATGAGCAAAGTGAGACCACTCATTCCCCTTACCCCTCTCCTTCCCCCACTCACCCGTCCCCAAACCGCCCCCCCCATCCCCCCTCCCTCTCTGCAGCACCATGGTGTCTCAGCTCATTCAGCACGAGCGGATTGAAACCACAGTCGCCAAGGTAGGAGATAAAATCCGTACACAAGGTAGGAGATAAAATCCGTACACAAGGTAGGAGATAAAATCCGTGCACAAGGTAGGAGATAAAATCCGTACACAAGGTAGGAGATAAAATCCGTACACAAGGTAGGAGATAAAATCCGTGCACAAGGTAGGAGATAAAATCCGTACACAAGGTAGGAGATAAAATCCGTACACAAGGTAGGAGATAAAATCCGTACACAAGGTAGGAGATAAAATCCGTGCACAAGGTAGGAGATAAAATCCGTACACAAGGTAGGAGATAAAATCCGTACACAAGGTAGGAGATAAAATCCGTGCACAAGGTAGGAGATAAAATCCGTGCACAAGGTAGGAGATAAAATCCGTACACAAGGTAGGAGATAAAATCCGTACACAAGGTAGGAGATAAAATCCGTGCACAAGGTAGGAGATAAATCCTTCAATATAATTGCAACCACAGTCGCGAAGGCATTCACTTATACGGCCAAGAAACTGAAATATGTTTCTTGCTTCGACTCGACAACAAGCCAGTGAAATTTGTGCTAACAGGGTACATCCTGATCTATCTTTCCTTTTTCTTGATTCGACAAGATACATCCCTCTCGTCCCTTGCCTTCCCCTTCCTCCTCCCTCCCATGCTTTTTCCTCCCCCACCTTCTCCTCCCCATAACTCTCCCCAACACTCTTTCCCTGCTCCTCATCCCGTATCCCGTATCCCCCCATGCCTCCACCTCTCCCTACAACCTGCCAGGTCAAGGAGTTGAGGTCCGTAGCAGATCGAATGATCATTCTGCGTCCCCCCCTCCTGTCTCTTCCCCGCACTCCCGTTCTCCTATCTCCTTCCCTTGTCTCCCCCCCCTGCCTCGGCCCCTCCCCCCAACCTGCCAGGCCAAGGAGTTGAGATCTGTTGCGGATCGAATGGTCACTCTTTCCCTGTCCGGTGCACTATGGCGGCGCTATGATTGTTCTATTTGCTCCCTCCCTGCCCCTCTCCCCCCCTTTGCCTCTCTCCTCCCCCCTACCTCTCTCTCCCCTGCCGCAATGCCCCCTGCCTCTCCCTCTCTCCCCACCACCTACCAGGCCAAGGAGTTGAGATCTGTTGCGGATCGAATGGTCACTCTCGCAAAGGAGGTGCGTGATATTAGTGTTGTTGAGTTATCACGCACGCAACCATATGGCTCTGCTGTGGTTGCTTGCACTATGGTTGCTGCATGCGATGCGTACGTGCTATGGTCCCCTTACCCTGGAAACATTTGTGCCTTCCTCTTACCACCTTTCCCCCCTTCTTATTTTTTGCAGGCCACGCTGTAATCACGCAGGGAGGCAGCAGCGGTGGTGAGAGGGAAGGATGTGTTACAGCCATGCTCTCATCTAATTTCCCTCTCCTTCCCCCTCCCACTCCCGCCACTCCCCTCAATTCCCCCTTCCTTGTGTGCAGGGCACGCTGCAATCACGCAGGGAGGCAGCGGCAGTGGTGAGAGGGAAGGATGTGTTACAAAAGCTTTTCTACGACCTGTCAGAGAGATACAAGTGAGTGTGCCTGTAACGAGAAGAGACTGTGCAGTTGTGAACGCTGCACTGTGATTTCTCTCGGCTCAAGACTTGACGTTGAAGCTCAAGACTTGACGTTGAAGCTCAAGGCTTGACGTTTCAAAGTACACTGATTGTGCTTGCTATGTTTCTGCATCCTTCCTTACACATAGGAATGGAGGTTCAAGCTGCACTCTTACACACATGCCATTGCGGACACTCCTTCCCCCCCCCTTCCCCCATCCCCCTTTTTTCTGAAATGGATAACCTTGTTTTCAGGGATAGAGCAGGAGGCTACACTCGAGTGCTCCCAACACGGACACGCGTTGGGGATGCGGCTCCCATGGCTTATATCGAGTACGAATTCCCCCCTCTCCCCCCGCGTTAAGAATGCGTTTCAAAGTTACTCCAATTCGTGCATGCGCTGTACATGCGTGGAATTATGCACTCTAGCCTAAAACCTCAATCCATTTAAAATTTCGGAATTCAATACTCTCACAAGGGGTTTATTAGTAGAAGCCCATATCATAATAGGTTTCTCTCCGTTTTTTTCTTTGTGTCTCTCTGTCAATGCTCTCCTCAATTCCCCTATGCCTTGCTGTCGCTTCTTGCCTCTCGCTGTCTCTTCTTGCCTCTCGCGTCTATCTCCCCCAGGCGCCCTGGGTGCTCTCCGCCCTCAGGAGACACTGCCCCCCCCCTAATGCTCTGTCTCTCTGTGCCGGTCACTCTACCCCCTTCCAGGTACATCGACCGTCCCGATGAGCTTCGCCGCAGCCGGCCCCCATCGATTCCACCGCCCCCCTCCGAGCCCCAGGCCCCCTGGGTGCTCTCCGCCCTCAGAAGACACTGGGCTCCCCCTGCTGCTGCCCCACCCGCTCCTGGTAATGCCTCTGCTGCAGCTGGTGCAGCGAAAGAGGCTCCTCCTTCTGGCAGCTCGTAGACGCAGTTCGTAAGGGGCCGCCTCTGAGCCCCAGGCGCCCTGGGTGCTCTCCGCCCTCCTATCCGCCTCTGAGCCCCAGGCCCCCTGGGTGCTCTCCGCCCTCCTATCCGCCTCTGAGCCCCAGGCCCCCTGGGTGCTCTCCGCCCTCCTATCCGCCTCTGAGCCCCAGGCCCCCTGGGTGCTCTCCGCCCTCCTATCCGCCTCTGAGCCCCAGGCCCCCTGGGTGCTCTCCGCCCTCCTATCCGCCTCTGAGCCCCAGGCCCCCTGGGTGCTCTCCGCCCTCCTATCCGCCTCTGAGCCCCAGGCCCCCTGGGTGCTCTCCGCCCTCAGGAGATGCCAGGCTCCTCCTGCTACTGCTTCTGCTGATTCTTGTGCCCCGTCTTCCACTCGTACCACTTCTGCTCCTTCTTCCTCTTCTGCTCCTGCTCCTGCTCCTGCTCCTGCTGCTGTTGCTGCGTCCCACCAGCCACATCCCACCAGCCACATCCCACCAGCCACGTCCCACCGACAATCACCCGCTACCAAACCCGACTCCTCGTAATCAACCCGGTCACCCCCACCACACTATCGTTCCCCAGCTCCTAGGTGTTTCTTGTTCAGGGTTTTAGGGCTACCTATTGCGCACCTCCTTGGACTGAAGGGTCTGCTAAATTGCGTATCACGCAAGCTGTGGAAAGCTGCATAGTTCTGGGTTCTGCTAACATGTTACCTTGCTGAATCGCAATTGAGTTTGCGATAAAGAATGATTTCAGTACCTTTATTATCAAGGCAAAACACCCTCTCAAAACACCCTCTCAGGGTATTGGTCCTGGAGATGTAATCATTGTTATGTTATGACAGCATTGAAATTTCAGGAGTGCTCCGCCGCCCTTGTGTTACCAATGTCGTCAACGCTGATCGCGAGAACAGACCGTTTCGCCAGAACTACCAGCTGTGTGGTGGACAACGCACCTCGTCTTACAGACAGCTCAGCCCAGCCACAAATGTCGTGGCACGAAAATACATTCAGCCAGAACCCTCTTGACCATTTGGAACCGAATTGAACCTTTTACCGGTTGCGAATCAACCAACGGCTGGTGGTATGGAATGGTAAGCATCAGCTAGTCGAGCTCAAAATATAGATATGAGCCGAACAATATAGGTATGGAATGGTAAGCATCAGCAACGTGTTGTTCGGCTGGGACAATTTTAGTGCCTCGTTTTTGCATCAGATTCTTAGGTGCTCTTGCTTTGTTTCCTATCGTAGTTTCCTACAGGATTGAGTACCTTAGTCATTCATCCTTCCTGCCTTCCCAGCACGATCCGTGTATCCTCCTGGTAGCGAATGGCTGTCGATAACGAACCAGCTTCTAGCGCGGATGCGCGGGAAGTCGTGGCGGAGCTGCGCCAACGGCTGCTCGACCGCGCGCTGCCCATCGAGCAGCGCATCCGCGCGCTCTTCTCTTTGCGCAACCTCAAGGGGGAAGCTCCGCAGCAGGCACTTATAGAAGGTAGGCGAACATGCCCTAGCGGGGATGCCGCGTACTATAGTACTTTGTCGGAAATTCCGCGTACGTTATTAGGTGCTGTGTGCTGGTTGTTGCACGAAATGCACTGCACCGAACGGCACCAAACTGCACCGCACTGCACCTTGGTGTAGGGCCAACGTTCGGTGCCGGATACCCGCGGATCTGTTAGCAGAAATCTTGCTTGGGAGCTCCGATCAAGATCACGAGCAGTGATGCTGGAAATGATGTATCCTACGGAATGGTCTTGGTATTGCTGGTTCAGGGTTTCCGGGTTTCGGGTCTTAGGTTTAGGACGGCCTTGTAGGTTATGGATTTCGCATTCATATCATAGCATTAACTACTGAATTAATGGCGGTTATTGAAAAATACAGCCTACAAGTGCCTAACTGAGCTGTCGCTGTGGTTCAGGAATAAATAGCAGCAGCTAGGTTAGCCATACATTCTGTCATTTCATTTACAGGTAGATTTTTAGTCGATTCTTTTTTCTGCCCGGATTTGTTTTGCTTCACCTGCCCAGGCATGGAGGACAAGTCAGTGCTGTTGGCCCACGAGGCAGCGTTTGCTCTTGGGCAGATGGGCGATGTTTTTTCGGTGCCCGCACTTACCCGGGTGCTCAAAGACTCGTCTTACCACCCCATTATTCGACACGAGGTGAGAACTCCATAAGTCAAGGAGTGAGATGGAAAACATCTCTGAACGGTTTTCTGACGTGTGCCCTTCTTATGTGAAATTGTTTAGAATGACTTACGAATTTGTATTCTCTCAAATGGTCCTTGTCATTGCAATGGCAGGTATGAGAGACAAAGGCACGCATGTAAGGCAAACACCATGTGATCCACTGCGATGTACACTTGAAGCCAGAATCAACCTGTAAACCGGGGGGTAAATGAACAGTCGGTAAGCCGTTTTGAATGGGCAGAACTTCCTCATCCCCTGAGGTTAGGTGCACCAAGAGATGCAGGACGCTTTGTAGCCTCCCCCTACTCCCCCTTTGCAATCCCTCACCCTCCCTCCTCCCCCTTTCCCCCTTTCAGACCCTCACCCTCCTTCCCCTTCCTCCCATTTCTCAGCCCACAATCCCCTCCTCCCCCACCCAGACTCGTCCCCATACTGCCTACGCCAGAGGCAGCAGAGGCTTTAGGTCTCATGCTAGCATATGAAAGGCCTCCTCTCCTTTCCTTCTATAGCACACCGTTTCCTTCCCTCCCTCCTCTCATCTTCCTCCCTTAGCCCACATTCCCTTTGTTGTTGGGCCTCAGGGTAGCATTCGAAAGACCTCTTTCTCTCCAATGTGTATAGCACCGTTCCCCCATGATTTGATGTTGGAACGTGGAACCAATTGTAAACTTGGACTCACCGCTCTGCACCGCACTGCACTGTATCACACTCCCCGTGTTCAGGCAGCAGAGGCTCTGGGAGCCATTGGCGAAGCCTCCTCCCTCCCGCTCCTCCAAACCTATCTTGCCGACCCTGCTCCTGAGGTTCGGGAGACGTGCCAGCTGGCGGTTCGGCGGCTACAGGACAGCCTAGCTGCAGCTGAGGCAGGGGGGGAAGGGGAGAGGAAGGGGGAGGGAGGAGCAGAGGAGGAGGGGAAGGGGAAGGGGGAGAATGAGGGTGAGGGGCAAGGGGAGGGAGAGGGAAAGCGGTTCATGTCTGTAGACCCTGCTGGGAGTGCACCCAAGAACGCGAACACAGAGGATCTCAGGTACTGGAAATTGGTCTGTATGGGTATGCCATGCTGCTGTGATGTGTGTGTGCAAGGCTGGAAACGTTTCTTGTCTTGTCTATTGATCCTGCTGGGAGTGCACCCAAGAACGCAAGCACAGAGCAGCTCAGGTACTTGACTATGTTGGTCTCTTTGCTAGCTGTTTTGCCGCTGTATCACGAAAAGGTTATTGCTGTGTGTTTCCAGTAAGGTTCTTCTGCGGGAAGATGCAGACATGTCTTTGCTCCGAGAGACAAAGCAGCTGCCACTTGCAACGGCGCTTCTTGAGGCGCCAAAAAAAAAAAAAAAAAAAAAAAGCAACTGCCACTACCCATGCCGGTGCTGCTGATGATGCTGATTTTCTTTCCTGCTGTGTGTTTTCAGGAAGATTCTTCTACAGGAGGACGTAGACATGTATGACCGATACGGTGCTCTGCGAATGCAGCGGTGGGAGCAATCGTTGAGGCTCTAGAGTCCTGCACCAGTGCTCTGCTGCGACACGAGGTGAGGCATGGTGTGGTGTGGGGTGGGATGTGGTTGAATGCGATGTATCCGTTCAGTATTGTTGTAAGCTGTGCCTGTTTAGTCCACTCAAATTTGTTCAGCATTGTTGAGGTTTCTGAAAGCTCTTCCCGTGTTCTGTTCCCCTCCCGCTTCCCTCCCTCCTCCTCCCCCCCACGTCCCCTCCTCCCACACACTCGGCCTTCCCCCCTCCCCGCTATTCGTCAGATAGCCTATGTCTTGGGCCAGCTACAGAACAAAACTGCCGCCCAGGCTCTTGTCAGGGCGCTAGAAGACACGTCATGCCATGCCATGGTTCGGCATGAAGCTGCTGTGGCTCTAGGCTCGGTTGCAGGTACGGAAAAGAAACAAATGCTTACTGTGTTGGCGTGATCAGGACCTGCTAATTCCAATTTTTCTGGAATTTGTGTGTGCTGATGTTTGTTGTGTTGTGATTTCTTATGTGCATTGCAGACCCATTGACGCTGCAGCTTTTAAGAAAGTTCCAGAAGGATCCGGACCCGATCGTAGCAGAGAGTTGTGACGTCGCGTTGGATTTGATGCAGTTTGAATTGCAACCCGATGCATTCCAGGTAAGCACTACTACAATTGTTTCGACTATCGTTATGTTTGTGGTTGTTTTGTCACCGTTGAACAATCGATTCCTTCTGTTATTTTATCAAATTCTTGCAGTATGCGGATGTACTGCAAAAATCTCCTCACTAAACGCGAACGACGTATGGCGGTAACTCTACTGCAGATGTAGGTACACTGATTATGTCAACCCAGATTTGAAATTTAAATTAACTCACCCTTACCCACTCTATGCTGTCATCAATCATACTGTGGTATTATCATGCTTCTTGCGGTCATGAATGCTGGAGTCAGCACGTGAAAAAATCTAATATATGTGATCGGTCCTCGGTTCTTAGAAAGGTACATTGTGTACCGCATCAGTCGATGGAAACCTGAGCTCAGGTGACATGTGAGGTCGTGCCGTCAGCGGCGCTGCTTGTTGCCTTCTGGCCAGGCATATGGCGCCGGCCACGGGCAGCAGAAGCTCCCCAGCAGCAGCAGCAGTTGCCTCAATCATGAACAGTTGACACACGCCACAAGGTGGTACAGTAAGGCACTCGGCGATTGGACAAAATTATTTTTATTTCCTTGTTGAACCGTCAGGTGAGGGGCGGTGGCACGATATGGATGGACGGGCAGGATAAAACGCCAGAACTTGCGGTTCGAGTGAACCCAAACCAAAATGATGGCAGGGATGCCGGAAGGACCCAACCCAAACCAAACCAGCATGCTGTGGCGTTCGTTTCGCCAATTTTTTTTTGTCACACCAGAGGTGTAGGTTCGATGTGCCCCAAGCACTCGATCAATGGCTGAATGTTCTTGGGTTCAGATTTTGAAGAGCCTAGGATAGGACCTGAGGTGAGGAGGTCCCAAAGTTTGGCCCTGCCGAAACCCGAACCAAACCAAGAAATTGACGAACCAAGAAGGTTTGTTCAGAGACGTTGGGCTGGAACTGCAGGCGGTTTGCCCGTTGGGCACGATACTGCTCCAAGTGAATCCGGTCCAAACCTCACTGAACCGATTGTAAATCTTTGATTAGAGTTCCGATCTGCACATAACCGCACTCAACCGCATGATAAGTTTTACCAAATCTTCATTCGAGATGGGCGTTGCATCCCCTCATCCCGCATACAGGGCATCACACTGATCCTTCAGGAGCGGACAGTCCTAGCTTGTTGTAGGCGACCCGCTTAGTAAACTAAAGATAACTCCATGTCTGCTCTAGCTAAAGTTTTTTTCTAAGAGGGTCGCTACCTAGAAGGTCTTGGTCCTCGTTCCAGTGACCTTTGGACCGGATTGGACTTATTCAAACAAAGTGGTCGTCCCTGTCCCAGTTTTTCCGCGTCTGGATCTCTCAGTCGTATTGTTTATCTTTTTTCCCGTGTCGTTAGAGAGGAGCACCACGAAGAATCCTACGATGATTGGACGAAGCGCATTACCACGTTTATTAGCTGCCTGTACGCCGTATTTCTAGCTTCATCCGTTCGCGTCACGACTTACCCGACCAAAGACGTTCCGCATTTGCCGCGTTTTTTTCCGAAATATCTACAAAAATATCATCCGCCAAGAACGTCATTATCATGGACCGCGTCATGTCGCTTGCGAGTCGAAAATATTCCCGAAGACGACGCAACATCATCTGTTCCGCTCAATTCGTCTTACTGGCCGCTACTATTTTCAGTCTCGGGAGACGCGAGACCGTTAAAGCTGCGACGGACCCAGCTCAAGGTGAAACCTCTCCGTGCTTTTAACGGGGATAAAGGCAGACTAACAATTAGACATCCATGGCGTTCGTAGCATGATAGTCGGGTATTCTGACCAAGAGTCTCACCGTTTCGTATGAGTATACTGTTTAGTCTAGAAAGGTCGTCCACGAATGTCGCTAAGGTCGCACAATCGTCGTTCGCGAGGATATGCCAGGCCAGGCAGAACGTCCTTCGCGCCACGTCCTTCCCGCTGCGTCCCTTCCGCTGTCCCTTCCACCACGTCCCTTCCGCCACGTCCCTTCCACCACGTCCCTTCCGCCACGTCCCTTCCGCCACGTCCCTTCCGCCACGTCCCTTCCGCCACGTCCCTTCCGCCACGTCCCTTCCACCACGTCCCTTCCGCCACGTCCCTTCCGCCACGTCCCTTCCACCACGTCCCTTCCACCACGTCCCTTCCGCCACGTCCCGTCCACCGCATGCCTTCCACAGCGTGCCGGTGACAAAACCCATTATTTTCGCGACCAAAGAGCAGTCACGCGATGATTGTCTGAGACGTACCAAGGCATCTCTTACAAACGGAAACCGAAAAGGAGGGTTAAGAGATGTAAACCACCAGAAGGGACACGCCAAGTCGTACCCTTCTGGTGGTAGGAGGTGTAAACCACCAGAAGGGTAGAAACCACCCTTCTGACGCCGCCCGTTTGGCGTTCTCTCTTCTCCGTGAGGCGTTCCTCCCTTCCAGTCCCATTTGACTCCATCCCTCCGAGGGAGTCCACTGCTCCGTTCCTTGAGTCGACTCAAAGATTGCCTCGCTTCCGGCGTTCCTCCCTCCCCGTCCGTAGCACCACCATGACTCCATCCCTCCGCTGCTCCGTTCTTCGGGTCGACTTAAATCGCCTCGTTTCCTTCTTCCCATCCCTCCCTCCCAGTGCCGGCCTTTGTAGTACCATCATGGCTCCATCCTCCGTCCCTCGGTTCGTCAACGGCTCGTTAATCAACGGTTGGGATGAGGACGCCGCCGTTGTTCGTCCTTCCTGAACCATACCAACCTTCCCCTTATTTTCATCTCCCCTCTTCCCCTCTCACCCTCTCTTTCTCTCTCCCCATCTCGTCTCCCACTTCTCCCCCTCTTACCAGTGGCCGCTCTTCACACCGTAGCATCGTCCCTTGCCTCCTCCAACCCCTTCTTCCATGCCTGGTCCAGAAACCACCACTCTCCCCGCTGTACCCTGTCCCGTTCTCCCCCTCTCCCCCTCGTCTTCCCCTCCCAGTGCCCTCTTCAGACCGTAGCGTCGTCCCTCGCCTCCTCCAATCCCGTCTTCAATGCCTGGTCCAGAAATAACCCATGCACTGTCCCCGCTGCGTGCTGCTTCTTCTTCTGCCAACACTTGAGGCTCCTCGAAAGTTTCAGTTTCTCCCTCTCCCCCTCTCCCCCTCCCAGTGGCCGCTCTTCACACCATTGCATCGTCCCTCGCCTCCTCCAACCCCTTCTTCCACGCCTGGGCCGGAAGCGACCCCTGCGCTGCTGCTGCTCCTCCTGCTACAGCTGCTGATCCCAGCAGCAAGGGCTGGCCTGGGGTCACCTGTGAGAGTGATGGCTCGGGCAACCATGTGGTCACGTCATTGTGAGTGGTGATATTATCATGAGTGGTTACTGGTTACAGTAAGGTGAGTGGCTGTGAGTGGAGAGGACCCCTTTGCCGCTGCTGCTGCCCCTGCTGCTGCTGATCCCAGCAGCAAGGGCTGGCCCGGGGTCACCTGTGAGAGTGACGGCACGGGCAACCATGTGGTCACGTCCTTGTGAGTCGTTACGTCCTCATCGCTCTTATCCCCCACCGTTCGTGTCTGGAAATGACTTGTGAGCCCTCACTCACTCACTCCTGTCACTCGCATTCCTCTCATCCCCCACCGTTCGTGTCTGGCAGGACACTGCAAGGGCTGGGACTTTCCGGGCAGCTTCCTCCAGCTCTCTTCGAGCTCACCACGCTCAGAAGCCTGTACGCCCTATAGAGTGCCTCGTTTACGCTCCTACAGACTTATGGGCACAGTCTATGACCTGTTGCTAGTAGCCGCAGTTGTAAGCAACATGTACCCGTTAATAAGTCTGTTTTGAGCCGTCTCAAAGCAAACGTACTTTCTTGGGGCGTTGCATTCTAGCCCTCGCAGGCAGAACCTGTTGAGTCGACTCCGAAGTCACCTCGTTACACCACAATGGCTCACAACACACGTACCCTCATGGGACGCTGAAACGCAGCCCTCTCAGGCAGCATCTACAGCCGTGCAAGGGGCCACCACCTTCCCTTTCCACGCTCACATCACACGTCCCGTCACGCCAATCAATCTCTCTTCTTCCCTCACGCCATTTACCCTCCTCCTTTCCCCTTCCCCCGTGGGGTGATTTCTCTCAACCCAGCGCTCTCACGCGCAGCACCACCTACAGCATCGCAAGGGATCAGAAGCCCCCTTTCCAGCCTCGGAGATCTTGAGACATTTCCAGCGATCAGCAGCCTAGGAGAAAGTTTAGCAAAGAAAAGACAGTTGTAGTTGAGAACAAACTAGCTAATTCACGTAGGGTTCCCCCTTTCCAGCCTCGGAGCTGCCTCAAACGTTCACTCACCCCCTTCCTTCCCCTTTCAATATCTCCTCTCCCATTCCCTCCATCTCTCCCCCCTCCCAGGGTCCTCTCAACCCTGCCCTTCAAGCATTTCCTCACCCCTCATCCCTTCACCTCCTCCCTTTCTCCCTTCTTCCCTCTCCCAGTGACAAATCTCTCAACCCAGCCCTCACAGTCAACATCTACAGCACCGTCAGCCCTCGTTCTTCGATGCGCCCCAGACGTCCGCTCGACCGTTTCCCCCCTCCAATCTCTCTTAACCGCTCTCCCTCTCTCCCCTTCCAGGGACATATCTCTCAAGCCAGCCCTCCCAGGCAGCATCTACAGCACCATCAGCGCCCTTTCCAGCCTCTGAGCCGCCCCAGATGTCCCCTCGCCCCCTTACGCCCTCCAACCTCTCTCCCCACACCCCTTTTACCCTCGCTCCTCTTCCCTCTCCCAGGGACACATCTCTCAACCCAGCCCTCACAGGCAGCATCTACAGCACCATCAGCGCCCTTTCTGACTTATCCATGCTGTGAGTTATCATATCCTGTAACATATTCCTCCCTTTTGCAACTCCCTTGCACGCCCTGTCAATGTTTCCGCAGTTCCATGCTCTCTACCGTTCCCCACCACACTTCGCACTTCAATGCACTGGATCGAACCCACCAGGGACAAGCACGTACACAGACTGCCAGGGTCCAGTCAACCCCCCAATTCCACTTTCCCTCTTGAATATCCGCTTTTATCCCCCTTTACCTCACCCCACCGCATTGAACCGCATCCCACCAGGGACATGCACGGATGCAACCTGTCGGGTTCCATCCCTTCTACTATCGGCCTCTTGAAAAAGCTCAACTTTTTCGCTGTCAACAGCAACCAGCTATCCGGCAGCATTCCCAGACAGGTGGGTACCTCTCCGCACCGCACTGTACCCCACCCATCCCTTCAACTATCGGCCTTTTGAGTTGCTGTCAACAGCAATCAGCTATCCGGCAGCATTCCCAGACAGGTACGTACCATATTTCACCGCACTAAACCATCTGCTCCACTCCACCATTTCCTCCCTCGTGCTTCTCTCTCCTCCCCAGGTGGCGAATCTAACAGCCCTCTGGTTCTTTGACATCACAGACATTCAATATTACAGAAGCTATTGTGTGTTGAATGCATGTGCCCTCCTCTCATCCCCCCTACCCCTTCCCCTCACCTGCAGGTGGCGAATCTAACCAGCCTCTATTTCTTTGACATCACAGACAACAGAATCACAGGGCCTGTGCCCGTCCAACCAGGATTCGACACGTGTACCAACATCGGCCACCTGTGCGTGCCCCTCCTGTCTGTTGGCTTAGCCCTAGCACTCACTTGCCCCGCACTCATCCCGTCCAAGCAGGTCCCAATTCCCCTCTACTTTCCGCTCCTTGCCTCTCTCTGCCTTCGAGGCTTTCCCTGATTCCGTTTCTGCCGTTGCCGCTTTTCTGCCCCTGTCTGTGCTCTGCCTTCGCCCCTGCTTCGCCCCTTCTTTGCCCCATTTTTGCCCCTTCTTTGCCCCTTCTTTGCCTCCCTGTCCCCTTTGACCCCCTCCCCGCCGCCAGTCACCTGAGTCGCAACCAGCTAACATATGTCCCAGGGCAGCTGGGATGGCTTCCAAACCTCATCCACCTGTAAGCCATCCCAGTTCTGGCTGCGTTTCCAGCTAACATGGGTCCACACACACACACGCAGTTCCCTCCTCTCTCGCGCACACGCACGCACGCACGCCAGCCTTTTGAGAAATCTCAAAATTCACCTCCTTCCTCTCATCCCCCTCTCCCCTCCCTCCAACCCACCAGCCTGGTGGACAACAACCACTTTAAATTTCCTGTGGGACTCACTTCCGTTGAGGCCCCCAACATCCGTCTCACCGCTCTGCACTCCTCGTTCCCCCTCTTCCCCTCCAACCCACCAGCCTGGTGGACAACAACCGTCTCAACCAGACCTTTCCAGTGGGGCTCAGTGGTTCCACCAGCCTTGTGAGTCGACTCAAGAGTCACCCCCTCTCTTCCTCCTCCCCCTTCCCCCTTCCCCTTCCCCCCCAACCCCCCAGCCTGGTGGACAACAACCGTCTCAACCAGACCTTTCCAGTGGGGTTCACTTCTGTTTAAACACCCAAGATCCCTCTCACCGCTCTGCACTCCTCGTTCCCCCTCTTTCCCCCCCAACCCACCAGCCTGGTGGACAACAATCGTCTCAACCAGACCTTTCCAGCGGGGCTCAGTGGTTCAACCAGCCTGCAGATCATGTGAGGGCGACAGAGGACTGTGCTGAATTAAAGTGATGGTATGATCCAGCAAAATGCTGACTCGGACATACATGTGCTAAAGAAACGAATTCAACGCCTTCTGTCGCCCCAAATTAATGCTATCAGTTGGAGATGTGCCGAGATCGCTGGCAGTGTCATGTGAATAGTGCCAAGTGAGGCGGTCAGAGTGCTGTACGGTTCAGAGTGGCGAATCAGAGTGGTCCTGTACAATTTCGACAATACTAACTTATTGTGTTTCCTGCTGTCCCCCTTCAATCGCTGTGTGCCACGTGGCAGCCATCTGAGCAACAACACGATTCAGGGCCGGCTTTCTCCTTCCCTCAACCTCCCAGCGCTGCAAGACCTGTGAGTGCTCCAATCACTGAGCACCACGTGTCCTGTCCTTCTCCCTGCCTCTTACCACTGCAAGACCTGTGAGTGCTCCAATCATTGCATGCCATGTGTTCCCCCCTCTGCCGCTTGTTGATCACCATGCCATCCCTTTTTATTTCACACTTTCTCCCATTATCCATCTATACTTTTCACCCTCTTTCTGCAACCACACAGTTCCATGCACAACTGCCATATGCCTCCCCAGTCACTACTTTCCCTAAATCAGCAACCACTACCTTCCCTCCCTCCCTCCACCTCCCCTCTCTGCATGGATGCAGTTCCATGCACAACTGCTCCATGCCGCCCCAGTCACTGCCGCCCTTGACGGGCCTCCCAGCACTCTGCTACCTGTATGTTGTCCGTTGACCTCTGTGCATCACCCTCCGATCTCCTCTGTACGTCGTCCTTTAATACTTTCCGCTCCTTCCTTTATCCGGACCTCCTCCTCCTCCTCCTCCTCCTCCTCCTCCTCCTCCTCCTCCTCCTCCTCCTCCTCCTTCTCTCCTCCTCCTCTTCTCCCTCCCCCCACTTCCCCTCCTTCAGCAATCGTCTGCAATCTCTCCACTTTCGTTCCCCCACGTTTTTCCCTTTCCCCCAAACCCCTCGCCGCCTCCTTTCCCGAGCCCTCTTACCCCTTGCACTCTTTCCCCTTGCCCTCTTTCCCTTCCCCTCTTGCTCTTACCCTCTCTCCCCTTACCCATGCCTCCCTCTCAGCGATTTGAGTCGCAACAACTTTCAAGGTCCCCTGCCCCCTGCCCTCTTTACCACCCACCCTGAGCTAGTAACTCTGTGAGTATCTAGATCACTATTTTTAGCAGCAGCTGGTGAGTGCGCTCATGTTCTCAGCTTTTGAGTCGTCTCAAAGCTGACCCTGTGAGTATATCGATCACTTCTTTTAGCAGCAACTGGTGAGCCCTCTTCAACCGGTGAGTGAGTGCATTCAGGACTTCAGGTTGGTGGTAAGAGTGAGTGAGCCCAACCAGCCCCTTGTGTTTTCACTCCCTATCATGCCAAACCAACCATCAGCCCTTGTGTGTTCCTGCCTGCAGGATCCATGCGTTTCCCAAGCATAGCCCTGATCAAATCTCCTAGTCTCACCATGCCACCATGCCACCATGCCACCATGCCACCATGTCACCATGCCACCATGCCACCATGCCCCATGCCACCATGCCACCATGCCCCATGCCTCTGCAATGCTGCTCATGTCAAGACGTCCCATCCCACCACGTCATTCCCTCCACTCCCCTCTGCTCCGCTCTCCTCCCCACACGCTACGTTGCATGCCAACTTGCCAATGCATTCCTCCTGCATATGTGAACTTTTCCCCATCCCGTTAACTCTTCCACTCCCCTCCGTTCCCCTTTTCTCCCTCCCCTCCCCTCCCCTCCCCTCCCCTACCCTCCCCTCCCCTCCCCACCCCTACCCTCCCCACCCCTCCCATCCACTCCCGCACATGCACCTCGTGCGTGCGTCGCAGCAATCTCGCCCTGAACCATCTCAACGGCAACCTCCCTCCCGGGCTGCCCTCAGCCAACCTCACACGACTCCACTCCATGTGAGACCCTCTCTCTCATTTCATCCCGTCCCATACGCCATTCCGCTCTCACTACTCTCACTTTCAACCTGAGAAGACCTCAGCAGCAGAGCAGCAACCTCGCTCCCATGCTCGCATCAGCCAACCTCACACGATTCCACTCCATGTGAGACCCTCTCTCTCATATGCCACTCTCATTCCACTCTCATGCTCTGTTTTTCTGCTGTCACCTTTTCTGCTGCACCTCTCCTGCTACCCCGTTGCCTGCTGCTCAATCCCCTTGTACTCCCGTTCCTACCTTATCCCTTCTCTTCGTTCACTCAGTATGCTATCAGACAACAACCTGACGGGCCGCGTGCCTCCTCTAGACACGCTCCCTGCCATCGCCACCATCTCCCTCTTTGATAACCTCTATTTGTTCTGTGTCCTGCTTCCCCCTCCCAACCCCTCTCTCCTTCTCCTCAACCCCTCCCCGCCCAGCATGCTATCAGACAACAACCTCACGGGCCCCGTGCCTCCGCTAGACGCCCTCCCTGCCATCGCCACCATCTCACTCTTTGATAACCATTTCACCCGCGCGCCTGCTGCTCTGCTCAGCAACGAAAACGTCACTCTGCAGTGAGTTGCAACAAACACCTGGTCGCTCATTCTCTCACCCATCCTCTCATTCACTTGCTCACCGCATGACAACCACTACACCCGTGCGGCTGCTGCTCTGCTCAGCAACGAAAACGTCACTCCTGTGACATTTTCCAGTGAGCAGCAGTGACTAGGTTTAGGCTTAAGCAAGTAGGAAAAACTCTCTGCTCAGCAACGAAAACTTCACTCTGCAGTGAGTTTTGACTCAACCCTCGGATACTCACCCTCTCATTCACGCACTCGCTCGCTCGCTTGCTCGCTCTTTGACAACCCGTGCACCTGCTGCTCTGCTCAGCAACGAGAATGTCACCCTGCAGTGAGTGATCCTCTCAGACAGGCGGACGCACTCACTCACTCCCTCACTCACCCACTCACTCACTCACTCACTCACTCACTCACTCACCCACTCCTCGGTCAGTCAGTCGCTCACTCACTCACACAGTCACTCACTCGGTCACTCGGCCACTAACTTAATCTCTCACTCACTCACTCACTTGCTGGCTCGCTCACTCACTTTGTCACCAGTGAGCCTTCTTTTCCTCCTTCCATCCCCTCCCTCCAGGCTATGCAGCAACGACCTCTGTGTGCCTTACTGCCCTCAAGTCACCGCAGCCTGCTCCCCTCCTCTCGGCATCATGCAATACCAGCCCCCTCCCATCTGCCACGACCTCTCTTATCCCTCCTTATACTGCTCGCCCTTAGTTCCTTCCTTCCACCCCTCCATCCCCCTCCCTCCAGGCTATACGGCAACGACCTCTGTGTGCCCTACCTCCCTGCAGTCACCGCAGCCTGCTCGCCCCCTCTTGGCATCATGCAGTACCAGCCCGCTCCCATCTGTGACGACCTCTCCTGTCCCTCCCTCTACGCGCCCAGCCCTCTCCTGCTCGCCCTGACCAACGTGTGTGTGTGCGTTTCTACTCTTGAAGTGGAACTGAGGCTCACTGCTCCCACCCTTCCCCCTCCCTCCAGGCTATACGGCAACGACCTCTGTGTGCCCTACCGCCCTGCAGTCACCGCAGCCTGCTCGCCTCCTCTCGGCTTCATGCAGTATCAGCCCCCTCCCATCTGCCACGACCTCTCCTGCCCCTCCTACTGAGTTCCCTTTGTCCTTCGCCCCTTCCTTCCCCATCCCTCCTCCAGGCTATACGGCAACGACCTCTGTGTGCCCTACCGCCCTGCAGTCACCGCAGCCTGCTCGCCTCCTCTCGGCTTCATGCAGTATCAGCCCCCTCCCATCTGCCACGACCTCTCCTGCCCCTCCTACTGAGTTCCCTTTGTCCTTCGCCCCTTCCTTCCCCATCCCTCCTCCAGGCTATACGGCAACGACCTGTGTGTGCCGTACCGCCCTGCAGTCACTGCCGCTTGCTCGCCTCCTCTCGGCTTCATGCAGTACCAGCCCCCTCCCATTTGCGACGACCTCTCCTGCCCCCCTCTCTACGCGCCCAGCCCACCCCTGCTTGAGCTGACCAACGCCTGTGTGTGCGTCTCGCCGCTGGAGGTGGAGTTGAAGCTCACTGCGCCGCAGTATGCGGTGTTTAATGACGACCTCGCGAGTCTGCTTGTAGAGAGGATAGCTGGGAGTCTGGGCAAGAATGGGATCGGCATCTCGACGGGGCAGGTGGGTTGGAACTTGGAGGCAGCAGATGGGAGTGTCGGCAGGTGAATTGGGAGTGTCGGCAGGTGAAGTGGGAGTGTCGGCAGGTGAAGTGGGAGTGTCGGCAGGTGAAGTGGGAGTGTCGGCAGGTGAAGTGGGAATGTTGGCAGGTAGGAGTGTCGGCAGGTGGGAGTGTCGGCAGGTGGATTTGTAGCAGTTGGGATTATGATAGGTGGGTTCTGTGATAGGTAGGCACTGTGATCAGTGGGAGACAGGTGGGATTGGTGGCTAGTGTGTTCCCCTTTCACCTTCTCCCCTCCCCCCACTTCCTCCTCTCCTCCCCCTTACTCCCCCCACTTCCTCCTCTCCTCCCCCTTACTCCCCCACGCAATCCCATCCACCAACCGCCCCATGGCAGATCGCCCTCGTGTCTGTCAGCCAGTCTCCGGCTCTATCTTCTCTCCTCCTTCCACTATTGAGTCGATTCAAAAGTCACCGCCCCATGGCAGATCGCCATAGTGTCTGTCAGCCAGTCTCCGGCTCTATCTTCTCTCCTCCTTCCACTATCCCCAGTTTCCTTTCTTCGCCTTGTCTCCTCTTTTTGTTCGCTTCGTCCCACCCCATCACAACAGATCGCCATAGTATCAGTCACCGGGTCCATCCTCTCCCCTTCCACCATCATCCGTTCCCTTCTTCCTCTTTCCCCTCGCCCCCTCTCCCTTTCCCCCCCTCCCCCTTTCTCCCCCTCTCCCCCCATCCCACCCCATCTCAACAGATCGCCATAGTATCAGTCACCGGGTCCATCCTCTCCCCTTCCACCATCAGCACCTCCATCCGATTCTTCCCCCCTCCCTCCTCCTCCTCCTCTGCTGCTACCAGCACACCTGCCAGCAGCAGCACTAGCAGCAAGATCAGCAGCAGCTACGACAGCAGCAGCAGCTACGGCAGCAGTAGCAGCTACGGCAGCAGTAGCAGCAGCAGCAGCGCTAGCAGCAGCAGCGGCACTAGCAGCAGCAGCAGCAGCAGCAGCAGCAGCAGCAGCAGCACCGCCACCACCACCCCTGACAGCAACAGCAACAGCAACAGCAACAGCAGCAGCAGCAGCAGCAGCAGCAGCAGCAGCAGCAGCAGCAGCAGCAGCAGCAGCAGCAGCAGCAGCAGCAGCAGCAGCAGCAGCAGCAGCAGCAGCAGCAGCAGCAGCAGCAGCAGCAGCAGCAGCAGCAGCAGCAGCACGAGCAGCTCTGAGTGGCAGCAGGCGCAGGAGATAAGGGAGGCGTTTGTGTGGCACAAGGTGCTGCTGGGAACGGACTTTGGGCCTTACACTGTCGAGGCCATGTATGGGCCAGGTGAGACCTGGGGGAGGTGGAAACCTGGAGAGGCCATGTATGGGGCAAGTGAGACGCGAGACGGGTGAGAACTGGGGGAGGTGGAAACTGGGGGAGGTGTGTACCGGGCAACATGCTCCTGATTCCACTCCACATGGTGCTGCTAGGCTGGGGACGGACTTTGGGCCTTACACTGTCGAGGCCATGTATGGCCCAGGTGAGACCTGGGGGACGTGGAAACTGGGATAGGTAGGTCTGTGTGGGGCAGGTGAGAGGAGGGAGCAGCGGCATAACCGCTGGGGGCAGTGGCATGACCGCTGGGGGCAGCGGCATGACCGCTGGGGCCAGCGGCATGACCGGTGCTGTTATTGTGGGCTATGTGGTGGGGGGAGTGGCAGCCCCCTCTTTCATTGCTCTGCTCTCTGACACCCCTTTTAATCTGCTCTTTCCGAATGCCCTCTCTCTCACCCATTCTCCTTCCATGCGTACTCTCCCCCCCCCCCCAACCCCTTCTTTCTCCCCGTCTATTTCCCCATCTGTACCCCCAGCTTCCCCGCCCGGCCCCCCTGCCGCGTCTACTGGGGGAGGGGGAATGACGACTGCTGCGATCGTGGGTATCGTGGTGGGGGGTGTGGTGGCGCTTGCTCTCATTTCTCTGCTCTCCTAACCCCCACACCCCCCCGTCCGCCCCCTTATCCTCTCCCCCTCTTCCCCCCCCCCCCCCCTCCTCCATCCCCCAGCTCCCCCACTAACCCCCGCAGTGGCGCCTACTGGGGGAGGGGGCATGACTACTGCTGCGATTGTGGGCATCGTGGTGGGGGGAGTGGTGCTCCTCGCCCTCATTGCTCTGCTCCCTCACCTCTCTTCTCTTTCTTCTTTCCCTTCCACTCATCTCCCCCCCACCTGCACTCCCAGCTCCCCCTCCCGTCCCCCCTGTAACGTCTACTGGGGGAGGGGGCATGACTACTGCTGCGATTGTGGGTATCGTGGTGGGGGGAGTGGTGCTCCTCGCCCTCATTGCTCTGCTGCTCGTGTGGCTGCTGCTGCTGAGGAACAGAAACAGAGGTGAGCCGGTTTATATCCTCAGCTCTTGCTCCCAGTGCCCTGCTGCTGCTCCTGTGGGTGCTGCTGCTAAGGAACAGAAACAGAGGTGAGCCGGTTTATATCCCCAGCTGCCGCTCTGCTGCTCTTGCTCCCATGGCTCTGCTGCTTGTGTGGGTGGTGCTGCTGCTACGGAACAGAAACAGAGGTGAGTCCAATCCATTATGTCCACTGCTGTTCTGCTGCGATCGTGGGCATCGTGGTGGGGGGGGGGGAGTGGTGGGGAGGGGGGAGTGGTGGTGGGGGGGGGAGTGGTGGTGGGGGGGGGGAGTGGTGGTGGGGGGGGAGTGGTGGCGCTCCCTCTCATGGCTCTGCTACTCGTGTGGCTGGTGCTGCTGCTAAGGAACAGAAACAAAGGTGAGCCGTTTTATATCCTCTGCTGCCGCTCTGAGGTCACTTCTGTAGAGGAACGGGAACAAAGGTGAGCTTCAGCCATGAGACTAGGCGAGCTGCAGCTTAGGAGAATTCTTTAGCAGAAGAAAAACAGTAGAGTTTAAAACTCTTGTGTTGCCAGTTCAAAAAACAAGATCGAAACTGAGCTCTAAGTCCACTACAACGATTAAAACGCAAACATGTTTCGGACGACTGGGACAGACCCCCGTCAATCCTTCATCAGTGCTAGCGGAATAAGAAACTAGAGCAGAAAGAGCAACCCTTAAGCAAGAACTACCCATCAAGAAACAATCGAGGTTGGGTACAACCGTGGCTGAAATCTGGGCAGCCAATCCACAACACCCTGGAAAAAACCGAGGGGCTGAGGTCTTCACTCCTCGAGGCGTAACGTTGTTGAATCACAACTCGCCAGCTGGTGTTTCGGAAGCCTCGCACGAACAAGTAACTTTTGCAAGTTACAACCTGTTTTCCAAGCAACAAACAATTTCTCCATATAAAATCCGCGGGAGAGTAAGCGTGTTTTGAGACGTCTCAAAACAAAGGTGAGCTGGTTTATTTATACCCTCTGCTTCTCTGCTATACTGCTGCAACATCACTGCTGCAACATCACTGCTGCAACATCACGGCTGCAACATCACTGCTGCAACATCACTGCTGCAACATCACTGCTGCAACATCACTGCTGCAACATCACTGCTGCAACATCACTGCTGCAACATCACTGCTGCAACATCACTGCTGCAACATCACTGCTGCAACATCACTGCTGCACCATCACTGCTGCAACATCACTGCTGCACCATCACTGCTGCAACATCACTGCTGCACCATCACTGCTGCAACATCACTGCTGCACCATCACTGCTGCAACATCACTGCTGCACCATCACTGCTGCAACATCACTGCTGCACCATCACTGCTGCAACATCACTGCTGCACCATCACTGCTGCAACATCACTGCTGCACCATCACTGCTGCAACATCACTGCTGCACCATCACTGCTGCAACATCACTGCTGCACCATCACTGCTGCAACATCACTGCTGCACCATCACTGCTGCAACATCACTGCTGCACCATCACTGCTGCAACATCACTGCTGCACCATCACTGCTGCAACATCACTGCTGCACCATCACTGCTGCAACATCACTGCTGCACCATCACTGCTGCAACATCACTGCTGCACCATCACTGCTGCAACATCACTGCTGCACCATCACTGCTGCAACATCACTGCTGCAACATCACTGCTGCAACATCACTGCTGCAACATCACTGCTGCACCATCACTGCTGCAACATCACTGCTGCACCATCACTGCTGCAACATCACTGCTGCACCATCACTGCTGCAACATCACTGCTGCACCATCACTGCTGCAACATCACTGCTGCACCATCACTGCTGCAACATCACTGCTGCAACATCACTGCTGCAACATCACTGCTGCAACATCACTGCTGCAACATCACTGCTGCAACATCACTGCTGCAACATCACTGCTGCAACATCACTGCTGCAACATCACTGCTGCAACATCACTGCTGCACCATCACTGCTGCAACATCACTGCTGCACCATCACTGCTGCAACATCACTGCTGCACCATCACTGCTGCAACATCACTGCTGCACCATCACTGCTGCAACATCACTGCTGCACATCACTGCTGCACCATCACTGCTGCAACATCACTGCTGCACCATCACTGCTGCAACATCACTGCTGCACCATCACTGCTGCAACATCACTGCTGCACCATCACTGCTGCAACATCACTGCTGCAACATCACTGCTGCAACATCACTGCTGCAACATCACTGCTGCAACATCACTGCTGCAACATCACTGCTGCAACATCACTGCTGCAACATCACTGCTGCAACATCACTGCTGCAACATCACTGCTGCAACATCACTGCTGCAACATCACTGCTGCAACATCACTGCTGCAACATCACTGCTGCAACATCACTGCTGCAACATCACTGCTGCAACATCACTGCTGCACCATCACTGCTGCAACATCACTGCTGCAACATCACTGCTGCAACATCACTGCTGCAACATCACTGCTGCAACATCACTGCTGCAACATCACTGCTGCACCATCACTGCTGCAACATCACTGCTGCACCATCACTGCTGCAACATCACTGCTGCACCATCACTGCTGCAACATCACTGCTGCACCATCACTGCTGCAACATCACTGCTGCACCATCACTGCTGCAACATCACTGCTGCAACATCACTGCTGCAACATCACTGCTGCAACATCACTGCTGCAACATCACTGCTGCAACATCACTGCTGCAACATCACTGCTGCAACATCACTGCTGCAACATCACTGCTGCAACATCACTGCTGCAACATCACTGCTGCAACATCACTGCTGCAACATCACTGCTGCAACATCACTGCTGCAACATCACTGCTGCAACATCACTGCTGCAACATCACTGCTGCAACATCACTGCTGCAACATCACTGCTGCAACATCACTGCTGCAACATCACTGCTGCAACATCACTGCTGCACCATCACTGCTGCAACATCACTGCTGCAACATCACTGCTGCAACATCACTGCTGCAACATCACTGCTGCAACATCACTGCTGCAACATCACTGCTGCAACATCACTGCTGCAACATCACTGCTGCAACATCACTGCTGCAACATCACTGCTGCAACATCACTGCTGCAACATCACTGCTGCAACATCACTGCTGCAACATCACTGCTGCAACATCACTGCTGCAACATCACTGCTGCAACATCACTGCTGCAACATCACTGCTGCAACATCACTGCTGCACCATCACTGCTGCAACATCACTGCTGCAACATCACTGCTGCAACATCACTGCTGCACCATCACTGCTGCAACATCACTGCTGCACCATCACTGCTGCAACATCACTGCTGCACCATCACTGCTGCAACATCACTGCTGCAACATCACTGCTGCAACATCACTGCTGCAACATCACTGCTGCAACATCACTGCTGCAACATCACTGCTGCAACATCACTGCTGCAACATCACTGCTGCAACATCACTGCTGCAACATCACTGCTGCAACATCACTGCTGCAACATCACTGCTGCACCATCACTGCTGCAACATCACTGCTGCACCATCACTGCTGCAACATCACTGCTGCACCATCACTGCTGCAACATCACTGCTGCACCATCACTGCTGCAACATCACTGCTGCACCATCACTGCTGCAACATCACTGCTGCAACATCACTGCTGCAACATCACTGCTGCAACATCACTGCTGCAACATCACTGCTGCAACATCACTGCTGCAACATCACTGCTGCAACATCACTGCTGCAACATCACTGCTGCAACATCACTGCTGCACCATCACTGCTGCAACATCACTGCTGCACCATCACTGCTGCAACATCACTGCTGCACCATCACTGCTGCAACATCACTGCTGCACCATCACTGCTGCAACATCACTGCTGCACCATCACTGCTGCAACATCACTGCTGCACCATCACTGCTGCAACATCACTGCTGCACCATCACTGCTGCAACATCACTGCTGCACCATCACTGCTGCAACATCACTGCTGCAACATCACTGCTGCAACATCACTGCTGCACCATCACTGCTGCAACATCACTGCTGCAACATCACTGCTGCAACATCACTGCTGCAACATCACTGCTGCAACATCACTGCTGCAACATCACTGCTGCAACATCACTGCTGCAACATCACTGCTGCAACATCACTGCTGCAACATCACTGCTGCAACATCACTGCTGCAACATCACTGCTGCAACATCACTGCTGCAACATCACTGCTGCAACATCACTGCTGCAACATCACTGCTGCAACATCACTGCTGCAACATCACTGCTGCAACATCACTGCTGCAACATCACTGCTGCAACATCACTGCTGCAACATCACTGCTGCAACATCACTGCTGCAACATCACTGCTGCAACATCACTGCTGCAACATCACTGCTGCAACATCACTGCTGCAACATCACTGCTGCAACATCACTGCTGCAACATCACTGCTGCAACATCACTGCTGCAACATCACTGCTGCAACATCACTGCTGCAACATCACTGCTGCAACATCACTGCTGCAACATCACTGCTGCAACATCACTGCTGCAACATCACTGCTGCAACATCACTGCTGCAACATCACTGCTGCAACATCACTGCTGCAACATCACTGCTGCAACATCACTGCTGCAACATCACTGCTGCAACATCACTGCTGCAACATCACTGCTGCAACATCACTGCTGCAACATCACTGCTGCAACATCACTGCTGCAACATCACTGCTGCAACATCACTGCTGCAACATCACTGCTGCAACATCACTGCTGCAACATCACTGCTGCAACATCACTGCTGCAACATCACTGCTGCAACATCACTGCTGCACCATCACTGCTGCAACATCACTGCTGCACCATCACTGCTGCAACATCACTGCTGCACCATCACTGCTGCAACATCACTGCTGCAACATCACTGCTGCAACATCACTGCTGCAACATCACTGCTGCAACATCACTGCTGCAACATCACTGCTGCAACATCACTGCTGCAACATCACTGCTGCAACATCACTGCTGCAACATCACTGCTGCAACATCACTGCTGCAACATCACTGCTGCAACATCACTGCTGCAACATCACTGCTGCAACATCACTGCTGCAACATCACTGCTGCAACATCACTGCTGCAACATCACTGCTGCAACATCACTGCTGCAACATCACTGCTGCAACATCACTGCTGCAACATCACTGCTGCAACATCACTGCTGCAACATCACTGCTGCAACATCACTGCTGCAACATCACTGCTGCACATCACTGCTGCAACATCACTGCTGCACCATCACTGCTGCAACATCACTGCTGCACCATCACTGCTGCAACATCACTGCTGCAACATCACTGCTGCAACATCACTGCTGCACCATCACTGCTGCAACATCACTGCTGCAACATCACTGCTGCAACATCACTGCTGCAACATCACTGCTGCAACATCACTGCTGCAACATCACTGCTGCAACATCACTGCTGCAACATCACTGCTGCACCATCACTGCTGCAACATCACTGCTGCACCATCACTGCTGCAACATCACTGCTGCACCATCACTGCTGCAACATCACTGCTGCACCATCACTGCTGCAACATCACTGCTGCACCATCACTGCTGCAACATCACTGCTGCAACATCACTGCTGCAACATCACTGCTGCAACATCACTGCTGCAACATCACTGCTGCAACATCACTGCTGCAACATCACTGCTGCAACATCACTGCTGCAACATCACTGCTGCAACATCACTGCTGCACCATCACTGCTGCAACATCACTGCTGCACCATCACTGCTGCAACATCACTGCTGCACCATCACTGCTGCAACATCACTGCTGCACCATCACTGCTGCAACATCACTGCTGCACCATCACTGCTGCAACATCACTGCTGCACCATCACTGCTGCAACATCACTGCTGCACCATCACTGCTGCAACATCACTGCTGCACCATCACTGCTGCAACATCACTGCTGCACCATCACTGCTGCAACATCACTGCTGCAACATCACTGCTGCAACATCACTGCTGCAACATCACTGCTGCAACATCACTGCTGCAACATCACTGCTGCAACATCACTGCTGCAACATCACTGCTGCAACATCACTGCTGCAACATCACTGCTGCAACATCACTGCTGCAACATCACTGCTGCAACATCACTGCTGCAACATCACTGCTGCAACATCACTGCTGCAACATCACTGCTGCAACATCACTGCTGCAACATCACTGCTGCAACATCACTGCTGCAACATCACTGCTGCAACATCACTGCTGCAACATCACTGCTGCAACATCACTGCTGCAACATCACTGCTGCACCATCACTGCTGCAACATCACTGCTGCACCATCACTGCTGCACCATCACTGCTGCACCATCACTGCTGCACCATCACTGCTGCACCATCACTGCTGCAACATCACTGCTGCAACATCACTGCTGCAACATCACTGCTGCAACATCACTGCTGCAACATCACTGCTGCAACATCACTGCTGCAACATCACTGCTGCACCATCACTGCTGCACCATCACTGCTGCACCATCACTGCTGCACCATCACTGCTGCACCATCACTGCTGCACCATCACTGCTGCACCATCACTGCTGCACCATCACCTGCTGCACCATCACTGCTGCACCATCACTGCTGCACCATCACTGCTGCACCATCACTGCTGCACCATCACTGCTGCACCATCACTGCTGCACCATCACTGCTGCACCATCACTGCTGCACCATCACTGCTGCACCATCACTGCTGCACCATCACTGCTGCACCATCACTGCTGCACCATCACTGCTGCACCATCACTGCTGCACCATCACTGCTGCACCATCACTGCTGCACCATCACTGCTGCACCATCACTGCTGCACCATCACTGCTGCACCATCACTGCTGCACCATCACTGCTGCACCATCACTGCTGCACCATCACTGCTGCACCATCACTGCTGCACCATCACTGCTGCACCATCACTGCTGCACCAATCACTGCTGCACCATCACTGCTGCACCATCACTGCTGCACCATCACTGCTGCACCATCACTGCTGCACCATCACTGCTGCACCATCACTGCTGCACCATCACTGCTGCACCATCACTGCTGCACCATCACTGCTGCACCATCACTGCTGCACCATCACTGCTGCACCATCACTGCTGCACCATCACTGCTGCACCATCACTGCTGCACCATCACTGCTGCACCATCACTGCTGCACCATCACTGCTGCACCATCACTGCTGCACCATCACTGCTGCACCATCACTGCTGCACCATCACTGCTGCACCATCACTGCTGCACCATCACTGCTGCACCATCACTGCTGCACCATCACTGCTGCACCATCACTGCTGCACCATCACTGCTGCACCATCACTGCTGCACCATCACTGCTGCACCATCACTGCTGCACCATCACTGCTGCACCATCACTGCTGCACCATCACTGCTGCACCATCACTGCTGCACCATCACTGCTGCACCATCACTGCTGCACCATCACTGCTGCACCATCACTGCTGCACCATCACTGCTGCACCATCACTGCTGCACCATCACTGCTGCACCATCACTGCTGCACCATCACTGCTGCACCATCACTGCTGCACCATCACTGCTGCACCATCACTGCTGCACCATCACTGCTGCACTGCCACACTGCTGCTGCAGAGGAGCAAGGGCATGGTGAGTCAAATATGCACCAGTGCACGCTGAGACGACGTGTGCTAATCCACCCATGACCACCCCTCCCCATCCCTCCTCACCCTTCCCCACCGCTTTCCACCTCTGTGCTCTCCTGCAACATCAGCATCAGACCCGTGGGGTCCAGTCTCCAGAGGACCGAGGGGCTGCAGATGCTGGGCGTGCACCGGTGCAAGCTCAAGCTGAAGCAAATCGTGTGCTGTCCACCCATCCCCACCCATCTCCACCCCTCCCCGCCCATCCCCACCCATCTCCACCCCTCCCCGCCCATCCCCACCCATCTCCACCCCTCCCCACCCCTCCCCAGACCTGTGGAGCTCGGAGGACTACAAGGCGATAGAGGGGCTGCAGGCTCTTGGCGTGCACAGGTGCAAGCACAGGCAATGTGCGCTCCCCACACCTCCTCACCCCTTTCCACCCCTCCCCACCCCGTTCCACCACTACGAACAACATCAGATCTTTGGAGTTCTGAAGACTACAAAGCAATAGAGGGGCTGCAGGCGCTGGGGGTGCACCGGTGCAAACTTAAGGAGATAGCCGATGCCACCCAGGGGTTCAAGACGCTGCTGGGGGAGGGCGGATACGGACAGGTATATCTGTGAGGGGGAGGGGGATTGGTGTGCGGCAGGTAGGCATATGTGTGTGATGTGAGAGGGGGCGCATATGTGAAGGAGCAAGCAGGTGCAAGGTCAAGGAGATTGCAGATGCGACCCAGGGCTTCAAGGCGCTGCTGGGGGAGGGCGGATACGGACAGGTGTGCTACGGGTCGGGTATATGTGTGAGGCAGGCAGGTATATACCTGGAGGGTGCATGCGAAGGTGTGAGAGGGGATGGCACATATGGGGCAGGTATATCTGTGAGGGGAGACAGAAATGGTAAGGCATTTCTGTTGCTCCCGTGTGTACCAGTGAGTGCTTGTCTCAGTGGGAGCAGCACAGCAATCACACACCTTGATCCTGGTCTGTCGTTCGTATCTTCTCCTCTCCCCATGCCTTGCCTACATTCTCTTCATGTCTGTACCATCCTCATGTGTACAGGGGAGTGCTGGGATCAGTGGGAGCAGCACAGCAATGCTTTGCCTTCACCTCCTCTTCTGCATCTCCTCCCCATGTGTTGCTTTACCTCTTTCCCATGTGTGAACCGCTCTCAGGTGTACCGAGGAGTGCTGGAATCAGGGGACGTGGTGGCAGTGAAACGAGCAAAGGGGCATGTGAAGGTACGCCAGGAGCACTCTCAGGTGGCACTTCAAGTGGCCCTTCAGGTGGGTTTTCAGGTGAATCTTAAAGGTGAGCATATATGTTTGAGCTAGTAATGTGAGTAAGGGAGCATTCGATTGCCGGGGTGTCTAATATATGTTTGGGTACCTAATCAATCAATGAAGAGCTTGAGGTGTATTTTGAGGCGCCTCAAAAGGTGTATTTTGTATTTTGAGGCGCCTCAAAAGGTGTATTTTGTATTTTGAGGCGCCTCAAAATACACCTCACTGCACGCGGGGTGTCTAATATATGTTTGGGTACCTAAACAATCAATGAAGAGCTTTCCTCTTGATCAATCAATCGGGGAACTGCTTCTAATTGCAGTTGAGAGGCTAGGTTGAAATGCTCTGCCCCTTTGCCCCTTTGCCCCTTTGCCCCTTCGCCCCCATTCCCCATCCACGCTCACGTCCACGTCTCCCACCAGCTTTGAGCCACTGCAACATCGTCGTGCTCACTTCTCAAGGGCTTCTGTGACTCTCCAACCAGCTGTCTCTTCCCCACTCCCCCACTCTTCCACTTCCCCACTCCCCCACTCCCCTCCTTAAATATGTTCACCCATTCCCCCACCACCTCGATGCCACTGAGTTCCGCAATGAAATTTAGCAGAGTGCACTGTTGACAGCGGCACTCAGGGCACTGAGCTCAGTGTCAACAGTGCGCCACCGCAGCCTCTTTCCTCTCCAACTCACCGCCTTCCCATCCCCCGTTCCCGCTCTCGCACTCCCCCCCCAGCTCGGTGGGACAGAGTTTCGCAGCGAGATCCAGCTGCTCTCAGCCGTGCGCCACCGCAATCTGGTTGCCGTCAAGGGCTCCTGTGACTCTTCAACTCACCGTCTCCCCATCCCCCTTTCCTCCCCCCTCCCACCCATCCTCCCCCCAGCTCGGCGGGACTGAGTTCCGCAACGAGATTCAGCTGCTATCAGCCGTGCGCCACCGCAACCCCGTGGCTCTCAAGGGCTTCTCGAATGGCCCTTGTATTGATTGATGGGTGGTACACGGGAAGACGCAAACACAAGCGTATCAAGGGCTGGTCTGTCTCTCACACTCCCTTTATCCCCCATCCTATCCCCCTTACATGCCCCCCCACCAGTTATGTGGGACTGAATTCCGAAACGAAATTCAGCTCCTGTCTGCTGTGCGCCATCGCAACCTGGTGGCTCTGAAAGGGTTCTGTGTGGAAGCGGGCGAGCAACTGCTGGTGTATGAATTCATCGAGAGGGGGACTTTGGAAGACATGCTGAGAGGTGAGTGAAGTTGGTGGGGTTGGGCTGTCGTGTGGAGAGCAGGATTAGGGGGGAGTGATGAGTGCATTAAAGGGCTTCTGTGTGGAGGCGGGCGAGCAGCTGCTGGTGTATGAGTTTATCGAAAGAGGGACACTGGAAGACATGCTGCGAGGTGAGAAGAACTGATGTGGTTGGCATGTTGTATGGGGTGCAGCAGTAAGGGGGGGAGGTTAGTGCTCTTACAGGCTTCTGTGTGGAGAAAGGCGGGCGAGCAGCTGCTGGTGTATGAATTCATCGAGAGGGGGACGCTTGAAGACACGCTGAGAGGTGCGTGGGGAGCAGATGCTAGTAGGGCAGCGTGCAAGTGGGGTCGGGTGTAGCGTGGATGCCCCCTGGTGGCACGTCGTGGCTCTCAACGGCTTGTGTGTGGAGAAAGGCGGGCGAGCAGCTGCTGGTGTATGAATTCATCGAGAGGGGGACGCTCGAGGACATGCTGAGAGGTGAGGAGAACTGGTGTGGTTGGGCTGTCGAACTTTTGAGACATCTCAAAAGTTCACTTTCTATACTCGAGGACATGCTGTGGGAGAGCAACCGCAACTCCTTCCTCCCCCCCTCCCTCCCCCCACCCCCTTCTCCCCCCTCCCCCAATCCTCCGTTTCTGCTCCCACGAGCCCACTGAAAGCACTCAAGGTTTTAAAAGTTGCATTTTGAGACGTCTCAAAATCCTCCGTTTCTGCTCCCACGAGCCCACTGAAAGCACTCAAGGTTTAGGTGCCTCCTCCCTCATTCCAACAAATCTCCTCCTCGTTCTCTAAAGAAGCTCCTACCTTTCCTCCCCATCTCTCCGCCCCTCTCCTCCACCCATCCCCTCCACCTGTGTGCAGCAAGCAACCAGTTGACTCGAAGCACCAGTTGACGTGGTGGCAGAGGGTCAGCATCGCCTGGAGGGTGTTTTTGAGATGGTGGCAGAGGGTGTTTTTGAGAATTCTCCAGCTGACTCAAAAACACCCACCAGTTGACGTGGTGGCAGAGGGTCAGCATCGCCTGTGGCGTGGCCAGTGGGTTTTGAGACGCATCAAACATCTTTTCCCCCTTCTCCTGCCCCCGCTTCCTCCCTTCCCCTTCTTATGCGCTCACCAGCCGACTCAAAGCACCAGTTGACGTGGCGGCAGAGGGTCAAAATTGCGTGTGGAGCAGCCAGCGGGTTTGCGTACCTGCACCATCAGATCAAGCCACCTATTATCCACCGGGATGTGAAGGTGTGTATTTGACGAGTGCATGCAAGCTGGTCAACATCGCCTGTGACGCAGCCAGTGGGTTTGCGTACCTGCACCATCAGATCAAGCCGCCCATTATTCACCGGGATGTGAAGGTGTGTGTGTGACGTGGGAACATATATATGCATGCAATGCTCATGTGTGGGATGTGTGCATGTGCATGCATGTTGAATGGCGCGGCCAATATGAAGCCATCCTCATCACAACAAACCACGACGCCAAAGTAGCTGACTCGTGTGAAAGAAGTGATTTTCTGACACGTCTGGAAAAAAAATAAAAAATAAAAAAATACTTCTTTCGATGCAAAAGTGTCTGACGGCTGAAATATTTCCACGGCTGAAAAGCACACACGCCTTCTTGACTCCTTCCATTTCGCCCTCCTCATCCCCATTCCCCCATTCAATCCCTCCCCCCACTCCCCCACACCACACGGCCAACATCCTCATCACAGCAGATCTTGAAGCAAAGGTGTCAGACTTTGGAATCTCTAAAACTGAAAAAGATATATCCCCTGTCCCATTCCCCCTTCCCCTTTCCTCCTGCCCCCTGCCCCCTGTTTCCTGTACCCTTTCCGCTTTCCACTTCCCCCTTCCCTTTGCGCCTTTCCTCCCCACACCAGACGGCCAACATACTCATCACAGCAGATCTTGAAGCAAAGGTGGCAGACTTTGGAATCTCCAAGGCTGTTCCTGAGGAGGCGGAGGGAGGGGGGAGGCTGGAGACGCAAGTGAAAGGCACTGTGGTGAGTGTGGAAGAGGAGGAAGGGGGGGAGGGAGTGAGTTGTTTTTCCTCCTTTGAGTGTGGAAGAGGGGGAAGGGGGGGAGGGAGTGAGTTGTTTTTCCTCTCCAATCTCCATGGCTGTTTTTGAGGCGCCTCAAAAATCGTCTCCATGGCTGTTCTCCAATCTCTATGGCTGTGCCAAAGGAGCCAGAGGGGGGAAGGCTGGAGACAAAAGTGAAGGGTGGGGGGAGTGGGGAGTGCAGGGGAGAATGGTGCAGGAAGGGGTGCGAGTGCTCCTCTCTCATCCCTCCTTTTTCCCTCCTTACTTTCCCTCACAGGGCTATCCGGATCCTCAGAACTCCAGGTCTAATTTACTCACGGAGAGAGCGGCGCGTACAGCTTTTGGCATCGTGTTGCTAGAACTAGGCAGTGTTCTTCGCCCCTCATGGTCCTCTCTCCCCCGTTCGTGTCCATTTTTACTCTCCCCAGGGCTATCTGGACCCTCAGTATCTTCAGAGTGATTTACTCACCGGTCTAGGCCCCTCATGCTCCTCTCCCCCCTCTTGCCACCGTTTACTCTCCTCTACACCAGGGCAGGGCTATGTGGACCCTCAGTATTTCCAGAGTGATCGATCTACTCACGGAAAAGAGCGACGTGTACAGCTGCTTTGGCATCGTGCTGCTAGAGCTCGCCACTGGCCTCACTCTCCCATGCATCCTCCTCTCTCTCCTTCCACTTGTCTATGTCCCTTCAGGGTTATGTGGACCCTCAGTATTTCCAGAGTGATCGATTCACTCACGGAAAAGAGCGACGTCTACAGCTTTGGCATCGTGCTGCTAGAGCTGGCCACCGGTGTCCTCCTCTCATGCTCCTCTCCCCTCTTGTCTTGTCACCGTTTCCTCCACCAGGGCTATTTGGACCCTCAGTGTTTCCAGTCTGACTTGTGTACAGCTTCGGAATCGTGCTGCTAGAGCTGGCCACCGGTCTCCACCTCTCACGCTCCTCTCCCCCTTCTTGCCCCCTTTTACTCTTCCTCAGGGCTATTTGGACCCACAATATTTCCAAAGCGACCTGCTAACTGAGAAGAGCGACGTGTACAGCTTTGGAATCGTGCTGCTAGAGCTGGCCACCGGTCTCCGCCCGGTGACCAACGGGGAGCATATCAGACGGATCGTGATCGATAGGGTTACCAACGAGGGCGGAGTGAACAGTGTTATGGACCCTGTATTGATAGCCATGTGTGAGAGGGGGAGCGGGGAGGGGGGAGGAGCAGGGGGAGGAGCAGGGGGAACAGAGGGCGGAGGGGAAGGGAGAGGTGGTGGGGGAGGTGGAGAGGTGGGGATGAATGAGGGAAAGGCAATGGAGGAGACGTGTGGAAGCGAGGCCTTGGAGGAGACGTTTGAGTGGTTTGTGCGGCTGGCAATGCGGTGCAGCTTGAAGCAGGTTCAGAACCGACCGGACATGCAGCAGGTTTTGAAGGAGTTGGAAGGGATTAAGAGGCGGTTGAACCGGGTTTCTGCTTCTCGTGCTGCTGGTGCTGCTGGTACTGCTGCTGGTGCTGCTGGTGCTGCTGGTGCTGCTGCTGGTGGTGCTGCTGGTGCTGCTGGTGTTGGTGGTGGTGACAGTAGCAGGCGTGATAATGGCGAAGGGTATAATTGGGAAGAGGAGCCTGGGTGTGCGACCAAGTCCCAAACCAGCGACAAATTCTGGAGTGAAATTGCTGCTGCGGCGACGAGAGGGGCTGCAAGGGAGGATTGGGGTGAGGAGGACGAGGAGGAAGAGGTTTCGTGGTATGAGGAGCGGATGAAGCTGCAAGGAGGGAAGGGCGGGACGTCGAGCAGCGGTGGGAGTGGGTTGAGTCCCACGGTGACGTTCAGTGGGAGTGTGCATAAAAGAGATGTGAATCCCCGGTGAAAGAGGGGGAAGACTAGGGGAGGGCGGGAGAGACTGGCCGTGGATGGGAAGGGGTTGGGGGTATGCAGCGTCAGGTTTGACGGCAAGCAGTGGTGCAGATGGGTTGAGTTGAGTCCCACAGTACGTTCAGTGAGAGTGTGCATACAAGAGAAGTGAATCCCAGATGACATAGGGAAGGGGTCAGATAGGATTGGTGGATGGGGCGGAGAGTGGTTGCAAGAGTGGTGGGGATGGGTTGAGAGGGAAGGAGAGGGGTTCAGTCTGCCGGTGACGTCCAGTAATAGTGTTGCTCGGCGTGAGGTGAATTCGAGATGGAAGGGGAAAAGAGGTTGGGAGACTCGGTTGGAGGGAGAGGGAAAGGGGGAGTAGACAGATGGAGAGGGGGGGGGGGGGACTCGGGAGGGAGGAGAGTGTAAGATATGGAAGCGCATGGCCTTTTGGTAGCACAAGCAACAGGGTGGTGTGGGTTGTGTGGAGGGGGGTAGCAGTGTGGGGTTGTTGTTGGGCAGTGGTGGGCAGTGGTGGGAACAGGAACAGGCTCAGTCTGATGGTGACGTTCCATGATGAAAGGGGTGAGCTGATCTAGCACCAATTCAAGGCTTGCACCATACTTGGCAGCATGGGGAGATGTATGGAGGGTGGGCAGCAGGGCAGCATGGGGGGATGAGTGGAGGGTGGGCAGCAGGGCAGCATGGGGGGATGAGTGGAGGGTGGGCAGCAGGGCAGCATGGGATGTTGGGCAGTGGTGGGGACAGGCTCAATCTGATGGTGACGTTCCGTGATGAAGGGGGTGAGCTGATCCAGCACCAATTCAAGGCGTTCAGTTTTGCCATACTTTTACTTGACCACAAGTTTCTGTGTGCACTGATGTTGTCGCCAGCGACTTTTGAGACGTCTCAAAAGTTTTGCAATACCCTTACTTGGCCACAAGTTTCTGTGTGTGCACTGATGTTGTCCCCAGCGACTTTTGAGACGTCTCAAAAGTTTTGCAATACCCTTACTTGGCCACAAGTTTCTGTGTGTGCACTGATGTTGTCGCCAGCGAAAAAACGACGACACCCAGCTCAGTGCTCTGCTGGGCCAATAGCAGTAACACCGGTACTGTTGAGCTACAGATCACTTGTTCACTTCATATATCATGACCGGCTATAATAACTTACGGTATCTACGAAGAATGTCTTTAGTCTATCATCTCTTGATACACCTATTATATTAAAATACAAAGCAATAACTTGTTAGGCTATCTTGCAAAAGGTGGAGTGAGGCCTACCTGATGGGAAAAACAAGCCTTCGATAGACTACATACGGTACTACCGAGCACAAGTGCACTTTACACATACCGATGCCTAGTCAGAATCTAACCCCAGTTTATCCTGCTAATTAAAGCGCCTGATTTGGCTTGGATCGTTCAATCAGCTGTGTCAGCTTATCCTCTGCTTCACTTGTAATCCAGCAGAATTGCTTTAGTGGCTGTGGCAGCGAATCATGTACACTCCACCACCTATTATGAGCCGCCTCGTTAGCGAAGTCGACGAAATCGGGTATCAGCACGTTGCAATCAAATTCACGGTAACACCACCACGGCTTCATACCGAGGTAGTGTATAGCGTGGATTTCCGAAGGGTCTTGTGAAAACCACCTGCTTTTCATGTCGATGATCGCTTGTTTCTTCACAGGGTCAGTGGTCCAGACGGGTTTAAGTGTGTTTATAGACTCTGGTAAGCGGTGCCACCAGGTGAAGATGTTGTTCAAGAAGCCCTGGGCAGGGGGGAAGGGAAGGTGGGAAAGGGAAGAGGGGAAGTGATGATGGGGGGAAGAGGAGAAGTGGTGAGCTAGATATAAAAGGTGACAGGAGGTTGAATGGAACCATGTGGTTTTAGGGAAAGGAATGGAGGAGAGTGCACGCGGCGTAAGATGGAAATTAGCAACAGGCAATCGATTCAAAACATATTATTTGTTCCGTTTGGACTGCGCTTGCGACCTCCCGTGCAAGAAGGTGATAGGAAGTCACATCACATCACATCCCATCACATCACATCACATCACATCACATCCCACCACATCACATCACATCACATCACATCACATCACATCACATCACATCACATCACATCACATCACATCACATCACATCACATCACATCCCACCACATCACATCACATCACATCACATCACATCACATCACATCACATCACATCACATCACATCACATCACATCACACATGGTCTGACTCACCTGGTCCCCTCCATTGGCCGATCGCACTCTCCCCAGATGTTCCATCAGCATGCTAAACGTGCAATCCGACGGCTCCAGGACCATCACGCCCGAGTTGAAATCTGAGCCGTCGTTTCCGCGGGCGGAGATCTCGGGGTAGGAGAAGAGAAAGTCAACGCTGGTCAACAGGAGCAGGTCCGAGTCAATGAAGACCAGCTTGGTGTACTCCGCCTGCTGCCACAGCCGCAGCTTGCTGGAGGCGGTGGGGGCGGGTGGGGTCAAGAGGAGTGAATAAGTCAAAGCGAGTCAGCAGATGTCAGATTTGAGTTAATAAACCCAACAAAGACTGCGACAGTTTGTAGTAGCAGAATCGATGGGATGAATGAACATATTAATAATAAAATAGTCGACAAAGGCAACACACACACACACACACACACACACACACACACACACACACACACACACACACACACACACACACACACACACACACACACACACACACACACACACACACACACACACACACACACACACACACACACACACACACACACACACACACACACACACACACACACACACACACACACACACACCTAGCTCCACTCGATATAAGCACACAAACCTGTAGTTCCATTCGTTATAACTCCCATCGCGTGCGTTGGGGTTCCGAATCCTCTCGATCTCCTTCACCGTCCACCCCGCCCCTCTCAGCCCTCGCCTGCTCTCTTCTTTAATCTCCTTCGATACAAGCACAACCATCTCGTGACTGCTCCCCGTCCTCCTTATGCTGTGCCCCAGTACTATTGCGCCGCACACATAGCGTTCCGACGAGTGTAGCACTGTAGCATACGCGACGCGCTGGTTGGCTGAGATGGGAGGAGAAGGAAGGAGGTTTTAGAAGGGTGAAAAGACGGATGATTACATAGTGTAACTCATAATCATGCGCTGAATGCGTTGGAATAGTCTCGTGCTACCTGACACATTGCTTCTGATTGGCTGAGCCATGGCACATGATCCCAGGGGCTGTACACGTGTCAGCATGTCATTGGTCGTCAGGTTGTAGAGCCACGTGTCACCCTCCCGCGTCACGAGTCGCGAGCAGTGGAAGAGTTTGGGCGGCGGGCGGCATGAGGAGAGTAACACCACTGGTAACCACGGCCGATTCGCCTGTTACAAGAGAGACAAGGGGAAAGGGAATAGTATGAGGAGGAGAGTGATAGCAGTAAATGCAGAGGGGGTGATACGAGGGGGAGAGTATAACATGGAAGGACGAGAGCAGCACTTATGCACTTGTGCACGAAATTGTAACATACGGTAGTAGTAACAACTGCTACCACCTGTTCTCATCGCAAAGGATACACGGACGTAGCAGCTTGAGAAGCTTTTTCTTCAAACTGAGAAGCCTCAAGCGATGATTAAGGGCGCCTAAAATATTTCTGTTTCTTTTTTTCTTCTAAGTACCTGTCGCACAGATGTCGACATCATGTGATTTCTTAAGATTTTTTTTCTTACGCTGATGACGAATCCTGCGATCGTTAAAAGCTGCTGTTGCCATAGAATATCCTTCGCCAAAGAGTCGCTCGGCTCGTCGCAGGGTACGTGTGCGACAATCGCGTCGACGTCGCCCAGCCAATTCGGTCTTTCCGGCTCTGGAATTTTCGGGCAGGATGAGCGGGATTCGTTCACCCATACGGGGTACGCGTTGCTCCACGTCAAATTCTCGGGCACAGACGAAACGGGTAACTCGAGAAGCTCGTAGCGCCAGAAGCCGTTACGCGAAAAGTCATTCGTAACATTGGCCTCAAAGTTAAACGTCGCAATTTTCGCGAGCCGCAGTCGATTTTGTCGCTGCAACGAATGCAGCGCCGCAAATCCCTGCTCGTAAACAGTCGTCGAGCGATTAACATCGAACGGGCGGGAATGCGCCGCTAATACACGCTTAGTAGGCGAGTGCCTCGTGGGAGGATTTGAAAGGGGTGACTTTCGAGTCGACTCAAACGCATCGAACGGGCGGGAATGCGCCGCTAGTAATGCGCGTGACTTGGTAGGCGAGTGCAGCGTGGCAGAGGACTTGAAAGAGTGGTAAGTCACGAGGAGCAGACCGAGCGTCGCGACGAAACAGCGCGCCGCTAAGAATAGTCTATCTCGATGCTTGAGCTGCGGCAGGGTAACGAAAGAGGTATTCACTGGGTGACGCGGCGAAAGGCGCGCTTGGCCACCCTTCAGCCCGCTATGCGGAGCACCGACAACGATCATTGCGAAGAGGGTTTGTTTTCGTGGGTCTCAGTTCTAACTCTCCCTGGGAAGTCTTGTTGCGTTTATGTATTATCTTTGGGGGGCGAAGGACGTAGAAAAGCAGACGAGACAACTGAGCTGAGTCAAAGGCACTCACGACTCGAGTCACGACGACACTTCAAGCATGATATCTCGAACATCTGTCGTGGAACAGCAGATTTGGGCAGCGGCACATGTCATATCATTCGTGTTCGGTATTCCTTCCATCTGCTTGAAACGGGGGCTGACGCGGTTCAAGCTCATTGGAATCGCAGAGGGGCCTAACATCTGGTTACCACACCCATCCTACGGATTTGCTTATAGAAGGGGCCAGCACCGCGCATCAATACATACACCTCAAACCGGAATTTATCGCATGGCACGCTCTCTGGCCTTGAATGTGATAAGGGCGATTCGTTTGGCCAACGCGATGCGAGGATAGGGTGTGCTGTTTGACGGAGGAGGGGCGCTGAGCCCGTGGGTGTGTTGCAGTGAACTGTG